AGCACTTGCTGTATTGGGTGAGCGTATCATGGAAGTTAGGTAGGGATATGTGTGGTTGCTCGAGTGTTAAGAGGATGTCGTCTGCGAAAAGTGTGAGTTTATGTTCTTTGCCTTGTCTCGTAATGCCGTGTATGTTTGGGTTGTCCCTAATGAGTTGCGTGAGAGGTTCTAGCGAGAGAATATAAAGGAGAGGCGATAGTGGGCAGCCCTGTCTTGACCCATTGGTTATGTGGAATTGTTTAGAGCTAAAGCCCCCATTGGTGACTTTCGCTGTCGGTTTAGAGTATAATGCCCTTACTAACCGTAAGAAAGTGTCTGGGAAGCCATATTTGATCAGAACAGCTTGGAGGAAGGGCCAATGCAATCTGTCGAAGGCTTTTTCAGCGTCAAGTGACAGCATAACGCACTGGGCCCCCCCTCCGCTTCCTCCCTGTAGTAGGTCCGAGATCTTTCGGGTTCCGTCCGCTCCTTGCCTACCACTAACAAATCCCACCTGGTCCTCGTGTACCAGGGTCGGGATAATGTTCTTTAATCTGTTAGAGAAAATTTTTGCCAGTAATTTGATGTCCGTGTTAAGGAGGGAGATTGGTCTTAGATTTTGGCATTTGTTAGGTGGTTTGCCTGGTTTTGGCAATGTAGCCACATGTGCCATGAGCATGTCTTGGGGCACTTTGCCCGTCGTGAGGATATGGTTAAAGGTTTTGTCCAGATATGGGGTTAGGATTGTGGTCATTGTCTTGTAGTAGGAGTTTGTGAGTCCGTCGGGTCCCGGTGATTTGCCATGGGGGAGTGAGTGTATAGCTTGTTGTATTTCTTCTTGTGTGACTGGGTGTTGTAGGATAGTTTTCTGGTGTTCCGTCAGTGTTGGCAGCGAGAACTGTCCAAGTAGATTTTGTATGTCTTGGGATGTGGGTTGATGTAGTGTGGGGTCTTCTTTGAGGTTGTATAATGAGTGGTAATAGTCTGCCATAGTATCATTAATATATTGTGGGTTGTGGATTTTAGAGCCTTGGGAGGTGAGCAGATAGGGGATTTTTGCATTGGATTGTTTTTGACGTAGTAAAGTCGCTAGATTCCTGCCTGCTTTGTTTCCTTGTGAGTAGGTTTTTTGTTTCAGCTTATGTAAAATGTGTGCTGTTTTAGAGATTGCCATGTTGTTGATACTCGTCGTAGTATCATGGATCGTCTGTGCTAGTTGTGGTGATGGGTCTACTATGTTTGCCGCTGTTGCGTCTCTTAAAGTGCGCAGCAGATGTAGGTGTTCTTGTTGTGCTTTCTTTTTTAAAAAGGAGGCTCTGCTGATGAGGAGTCCTCTGATGACCGCTTTATGGGCTTGCCACACAGTGGTCGGATGGACATCCGGCGTATCATTAGTTTGGAAATATGATGTCAGGGCTTCTGTTAATGTTGTGGTGAATGTCTGGTCACCTAGAAGGGAATCATTGAGCCGCCACGGTGGCCGTCCCCTATGTTGGTATTCCTCAGTCAGCCCTATTGTGGTCGGGGCATGGTCTGACCATGTTATGTCCCCGATTTCGCTATTTGTTACTCTGGGAAGCAATGTACCTGTTATGAAAATGAAGTCTATCCATGAATATGATTTATGCACTGCTGAATAGAACGTGAACGTTTTCTCATTAGGATGGAAGGCTCTCCAAGGGTCGTATAGGCCATATTCCCCTAGCAGTGTATTGATTGCTTTACTTTGTGCTTTGAGTGCTTTGTGCCTCGGTGTCGTGGTGTTTAGTGTGGTGTCCATGTGTGGGTCAAGAGGGTGGTTTAGGTCTCCACATAATATAAGTGGGGCAGTCTGGTTAGGTGGGAGTGCAGAGAGCACCTTACGTAGGAAGGCGCGTTGGTGTACATTGGGAGCATAGAAGCTGACTATAATATATGGCAGGTTATTTAGGAGGCAATGTAGCATTACAAATCTTCCTTGTTTGTCTTTGATTAGGTTTAGGGCTTCAACTGTTAAGGAGGAATGGAGAAGGATTGAGGCCCCTCTCGATTTGGAGGAGTGAGTTGCGTGATATTGGTGAGGGTAATGTTGTGCTCCAAAGTTAGGCACCCTAGATGTAACAAAATGGGTCTCTTGTAAACAGATAATGTCCGCCTGAGTCTGTTTGGCTTCCTCCAGCATCATGCGCCTTTTATGTGGGGTGTTTAGTCCCCTGCAATTGTGTGAATATATTTTCATGTGATGGGTGGGTGATAAAGGGTGCTCGTTTGCAGTTCTGCTGTGCCTATATGGATTTGCAGATGTTGCAGGGTTCGTATGGTGCACCGCTTAGACGGCGCCTGTGCGACTACGTTGTTGCGCCCGGGGGTGGGAGGTTCGGGAATGACAGAGGAAAGGGGTAAAAGAAACCAAAGTATATACAGTATGACCCAAACGTGGGTCTTGGCACAGTGGCATCGTGCCATGGGGGAGGAGCGCTGAAACAGCGTCTCTGGTATTGTGGCCGTTGGGCTCCCTTGTGTACATAGTTGCTGTCTCTCCTCAGAGCTATAAGTCAATAGCGACCTAGGTATTGTGCATGGCATTCTCAGTGCTGGCCTGTGGGCATGGGTGGGAGAATCAAATCGGACCCAAGGGAAGGTTTTGTGGGGCGGTGTGCAGGTCACCGCTTGGTGCCTATCGTGGTTTTCCCACTTGTTGTGTCGTTCTTTATGATGGGGTGTGGTTCTCCCATCGTAACTTTTGGATGTGATGAGCCAGGCTACGTAGTTGGGCGGGGCGGTGCGGTTGTAGTGGGTTTGACCTACTCGTAAAACAATAGTGGTTTATATGGTGTCATGTACAATTTTCTCTCTATGGACAATGTCCTGGTAAATTACATAATCGTTGTGCACCTTTGTACATTCTTGGAGTACCTGTCTTATGTATGCATAACCTCAACCTTGTAAATAATAGTTAGGTATTAGGATCACCTCCAACTACTGGTCTTTTCTTTGCCTATACCATGCCGCCCTTCCTTGTTGCCCAAAGTTTGCCCTGGTTATCACCCATGTGGGCATCCCACCCGCCCACATCCAACAAACCATGCATAGTGTGGTATGATTGTGTGGTAAGTGAATAAAATGCTAATCAAAGCAGTTGATCACATGAAAAAAGAAAACTTAAACTAAACTTGTGATAACAGTTAGCAGTACATATTAATATCTCACGTGTCCCTGGTTATGGCCTGGACGGCCTAGTCCCTCAGGTGGATCATGGCGATTTGTTCCGTGTTGGGACCTGGCGCCATTCTGGTGTCAGACGTCTCGCTGGGCTTGCTTGAGTTGTGGAGGGGGGGTTAGTAAGGAGCCCCCAGTCTCTCAATAGTCGGGTGCCTTCTTCCGGCGTGGAGGCCACGTTGATCTCGCCGCTTTTGGTAATTAGGAGTTTGGTGGGGTATCCCCAACGGTACCTTATTCCTGCACGTCGCAATTCTTCTGTCACCGGTTGGAAATCCCTCCTGCGCTTGAGAGTCGCCGCGGACAGGTCTGCTAGGATCTTGACCGTGGCATAGTTTTCATGTGGTTCTGAGCGGATTCTGTTGGCGCGCAATACTGCCTCTTTTATGTGGTAGTAGTGTGCCCTCAGTAGGACGTCGCGAGGGATATTGCCAGGCAGATTGCGTGGTTTGGGCACCCTGTGTACCCGGTCTATTAGGAACATATCCGTGGGGATGTCCGGAGCGTATGCCCTCAGAAGGCCTTGCACATAGGCTGGTAGATCATTAGGCATGATGCTCTCCGGGACTCCTCGTAGCCAGAGGTTGTTTCTCCGCGAGCGGTCTTCAGCGTCAGCCATGCGCGCCTCCATTGTTTCGATTTTTTGTTCCAGCCGCGCTACATGGTCGGCCATATCGTTGTGCGCTATTGCATACTCGCTCAGCTTATTTTCCACGTGTGTGGTTCGTTGGCCTATGTCCTGGACTTCCCTGCGGAGTTGTCCTATGGAGGATTGCCATGTTTGTACTAGTTTGTTGGCCATGGCTTCCATCGCTGCATCCAGGTGTGCTTTAGTGAGGTTGTCCTGGCTGTCTTGATGTGCGCCCGTGAGTGAGATGTTTCCCGCCGTTTGTTCGTCGGCGCCATCTTGGATTGTGCCGCGGTCGGTTTCAGAGCCGCCCGCGGCTTTGTTGTTGAAGAAATTTAGTTTTTCCGCCTTCTGTGTGCTCTTTTTCCCCTTGGGGTTCGCCATCTCGGGTGTAATGAGGGTTTTCTGAGCCCTGGGAGACGATGTCGTCGGATTGCTGGAGCCCGGGTGCCGGAGCAATTTCCTAGGCTGCCAGGTTGCTCGGCGGTCGGCCACGCCCCCATGGATATTAATTTTAATATTCATATAGAAGTGTAACCGGGGCTGGTTCCCTCTCTCTCTGTCCCTTAACATTTAAAAGTACACCTATTTATACCTTAGGTGTCTTCATTTTAGGGTCACCATAGTTCATATATGAAAAAGTAACTTACTTTTATTCATTTTAGGACCTCCCTTAACTTGGCAAAAATACAAGGCCATAATGTAAGGGTGTACACATCATGGAAATTTTCCTGACTTAGGTCAAGATGGCATCTTAAAGTCTGAACATCCTTTATCTATTTAGGGGTACCGCAGTATATTATGTACTGAAAGAGTCGTAGCATAGCCTTAAAGCTTGTTTATGTATTATCGTTATTATATTTCATCTAGGACAAAATGGTGTAAACATATTATGCACTGAAAGTAAGTAAGAGGTTTTTGCTTAAAGAAACATGTATGAAAAACAATATGTTCCATTTCTAACACCTTGTCGTTTGCAATATCTCTTAAAGACAAAGTACACAGTTTGAGGAATACAACATTTAATTCTAAAACTTTTAATATTTGCATTTGCCCATAACAGAAGTAGACAGATAAGCCCTTAGGTCCTTGCTCTCAAAATTAATAATGAAGGAAATCCTTCTAGCTTTCTGGTTGATAGGTATACCAAGAGGGTATAAGACAAAGCATGAAGTGCTTTTGGTGTTTAGTGTTCATTTAATCTTGACCAGAGATGGCCAAAATGTAGATCCCAAGTTGTGGAGGAATTACAACTCTCATGAAACTATGCCAACCTTTCTACAAAAGCTAGGGAGCTACACTTTTGCCAATACTAGTCCAAACACAGACAAAAAAAAAGCATCACTAGTGAAAGCTTGGTAGAAATGCTAAGCATAGAAGAAATGTTTCCCGATCGTATCTAATAAATACATTGAGAAAAATGTTGTATTTACTTAAGCTTACATGCATTGCTCAAAATGTACAAATGAATATCTAATCAAAGTTTTATTAATACATTTGATTGTAAACCTACTACATTACAAGCTGCGTGAACAATGGGGCACCAGGCTAAACTACTCAAAATACCCCCCATCAAGATCATCTAAATATCCTGCATATGTATAGATTGAGAAGAGAGGGGGTTGAATGATTGAATACTTAGCATACAATATGGATTCAATTAAGTACAGGAGGGAAATAGATTTGAGGAAAAGCTCGGCCAGAACAAGAGTTCATTCTGAGGCTGGGTAGAGGCACACTCCTGAGAGTAAAAGTGTCTTTGAAAACAAGCTACAGATTTATGAAATAGCATAGAGCATTTTGGTATAGAGAATGGAGGCACATGGAACAATGGGGATTGATGTAAAATTCAATGTACCCTATTAACCCATTCACTGATGTTTAAAAAGGTTTGTGTCCCACTATGGTGCCTATCTACTAAACAGTTAATGTAACCAGGAAATAGCTGCACAAGACATAAATAGGCTAACTGTAAAAATTTCCAGCTTGTTGAAATTCAGAACATTTAAAAACTTGAATGATCATGATCAGACATGATCTAGACCTTGGAAAAATGGATTTGAATTTATGTAAAGGATGGATACATACATAGATGTGAAATCTACAACCAGCTACAAGAAAACCTTCCAAGCTGTTTGTTTTCTTTTGTCATTTGAGTTTAAATTTTATAACTTCTTGTGAACTGTTTGCTAAATACAAAACTCTGTATTTGAAACTTGTGGACAAACAAAACTTATCAGTCTTAGACTACAATGGATTCTGTAAGTCTACAAAGCATCATAGTTTACTGGCCGAAAAAATTGATTATCCACAGCTGGAGAACATTGCAGTTCGTATTACGTTCTTATTAGGTCCTGTGGGCCTCTCTTAGAACATAAGGCATTCCAGTTCCCTATGTCATTAGCTGGAAAAGAGAGGAAAAGGGGGTCAATACTAGTTTAACCTTTAAGACCGCAGTGTTGGATTACATTTTTTTAATACTTAAAAATAAGGGGTATACCTTCTATGACATATTTTGGGGATTTATTTACTACACAGTGAATTGGGGTAATTGAATAGTACACATCAATTTAAAATATGGCAAAAAATAAAGATTCCAATTTGCAATCATTAGCTTCCAAAGTAGTATCATTCATGTTTTTTTTTTTAATCAGCTTTTTTGGTATATGTGAGACACACAGATCAAGAATATAGAAAGATCCCAATACACAGTATGTTTGCACTTTATAAATAAATATTTAACAAACTCTTTTATTCTTCTACAACTTTTATTTTAAGTATATAGATATTAAACAACAATGAAAATAATAAGAAAAGAATAAAAGGTCATTCAGTGTTTTTTGTTTTAAGGATGCAGATTCGTCCCTTGTGTTGACACTGACACTGTAGTGAAGGTCTTTTGACAGATTACTAGACATATTGTGTGCAACACCTAGATTTAAGCCCGGTAATGTCAGGGAGAATTGATTTCATTCCCAGTTTCCTCTTCATCATCATCAGTTACCTGAAAAGGAGAATAGAAAAACGTGTTTCCATTTGATTCTGGAAAATGTTTCAAGCAAACATGTATAAAGAGAATTTCAATATTTTGCTACCAGTTTGATTGCATCACTGGATGTGTGTAAAAAGAATTAATGCCCAATTAAACAGGAACTACAAAAACCCTCTTATCCCTCCCCCAAAACACTAATACAATTATCAGTTCATACAATTCCATTTCATGTTTTAGAACAGTTTGATAACTTACTTAGATGGCCTGGATGCTTACACCACATAAGGTCTACTCTTGCAGGAGAAGCCTTATGTCTCCCTGCAGCAAAGCACAACCAATACTCATTAGCTGAGACAGCTCATCTGACTCTCAGTTGTACTAACCGGATTCTCCTTCAAACAATCTGGAAGCAGGGCCAGTGGAACCAAGGCAAGTTGTCAAACCATTCTGAAATGGATTGACAAATTACACTTGGATGGTGCCAGGGCAATCCTGGAACCCTAACCACAACAGCAGGGTAGCCAACTTAGATTTTTATTTAGGGTTGCCTATAAAAAAAAAAAAAGTATACATCAGGGCTAAATTAGTTAAACTGTAGCACTGATGATTTTTAAAGTGTTCCTAAAAAAATACTACTGGTCTAGCAACTTTTAATCATAACAGCGGGTTAGAATGTATTTATTCATATCCCTTTAACCCCTTAAGGACCAAACTTCTGGAATAAAAGGTAATCATGACATGTCATGTGTCCTCAAGGGGTTAAACTAGTATCTTTTCACAAAAGCCTAAAAAGGAATCTATAAGAAGTACAATATGGAATCCCTCCTAACAATGTCAAATGATTAGATCAATATGAAACCGTGCTCACATATAGATGTTAATTGTCAATTCTTAAAGCACATTTATATAAGTACATGATTTTCGGATAAAGTTTTGTTTACAGTCTTTCATTCAGTTCAATTAAATACAGTGCTGACAGACACATGGACCTCTGGCTGTGCAAATATACCAAAAGCACAGTCAAGTCTCAGATACGGATTGCACAATAGTTGCACAACCAGTAAAGCAATTACCAAATTAAAATAAATAGAATATTTTTAAAAAAAAATTAAAAAAGTTTAAATCAATCATTGATTAATCACACAGAAGGACATTGCTTATAAAAGCCTAACTGGATCAATACATACATTGTATTTTTGTTTACACAGTTGTGCAAACTCAAATCCTTGTAAAATAATGTGCAAGTCTCCACAATTTCCAAACCTCCAATAAATCTATAATTTCATGCTAATTACAGTATATACAAGCAATATTTAGAAAGCAATCAGTGAAGGGTTAACTTGTGGTTTAACAATACTGATGCCAGGTCAATCATATTTTACTGGACAAATAAATCATTTCAGCAATGAAATGTCCTGCCCTGAAGCATTTACAACTAGTTCCTGGAGGGAAATAACCAAAGAAGTCAAGGTAGTTTGTTTTTTCTTTTTTGGGAGAGGGGAGATAAAGGGGGGGGGGGGGGGAGGGAGAGAGAGAAGGATCCTCATTGATTATATATTCACCCTCTCACACCATATGAAATTCTATGCAGGACACAGTAGCACTTTTCATATAGTGCCTACCATCATGTATGAGTGATAAATGTCAAAGAAAATATTGTTCCTCTGGCAACACTAGTTAATATATTAAAAAAAAACAAAAAACCTAATCTTCAAAACTGTCTGGTTCCTAAATTCTAAAAACATTTGTCATATGCTGGATTTACTTAATTGTCTGGCTTTGAGGGGTGTGTGTTCAGTTTTCCACAACTGAAAGTGATAAACAGGTCAGGGGGTCAGTGGTGATTTAACATAAATCATCATGTACTTAAAAGAAAAACTTTCCATTTACAATTTTCTATCTGAAGCCCTTCTTTGCAGACCCCACCCAATCAGATTCAGCCAATTTCAGCATAATTGTATAAAAACCTCTTTTGCCAGAAGTGACTCGGTCATGGATCACAGTAAGTAATAATACCATCGCTGTCTTCATAGAACGGGAAAAACCAAGATGAAACAAAAAAAACAAAAACGCGCTCATATGCTTTATGTATGCTGGCAATCAGCATACAGTAGTAATATATGTTTTTAGGAAAACATGGAGGATCTGGCAACACTCCCTTTAGAATATGTTTTTACTTATTTTCTGTATATGTTTCAGATGCTGTTTTAAAAAAAAAAAAAATTACACTTATTTTAATTGAATGTCCTTTTCATAGCTAGGACATTTTTCCAATATAGAAAGACATGGAGGATTTTGACGATCTTTTATTGTACAAATAAATCCTATCGCCATGCTATAATTTACACCAAAAAAAAACAAAAAAAAATATATATAGATTTTAAGCACAATTCATAATTTGTAATAAATGCATTAAAATTGACACATTTATTCGTATTGTCTTTAAATTAGCATATGAGAAATGCATGTTTTTATTTTGTTTTTTTAATGTCCTCAGTGGCAAATATGTCACTAAGTATGTGGTGTTTAAACATACAGGCGAAATATGAGCCAACACAGTAAAATAGTTTCCAGAAGGATGTACAGTACTTATACATAAAAACTTAGGTATTGAACATGATTTTGCATAATAGGCTATGCTAATTAATCTCGCAACACGTTATTTTGAAGCAGGTTTACAGTAAGATAACCCTCCTAAATGATCTAAAATAGCCCCTTTACACTTCACGCCTCATATGATACAATATCATTTTAAACCATATGTCTAACATTTTGGTATCCAATAAACACAAATTGGTAACTGTTAAAGGACCACTATAGTCACCAAGACCACGTCAGCTCAATGAAGTGGTCTGGGTGCCAGGTCCCCTAGGTTTTAACCCTTCAGATGTAAACATAGCAGTTTCAGAGAAACTGCTATGTTTACATTGCAGGGTTAATCAAGATTCTAGTGGCTGTCTTCCTGACAGCCACTAAAGGTGTTTCCCCGACGCTCAATGCAAAAAAAATAATTGAGAAATGTTTTCCTATGGCATTTTTAAAGCGCGCGTGGCTCTGTCCGCGCATGCACATTCGGCTCCACTCAGGAGCTGACATCGGAGGGGTAGAGAGGTCACCGGCGCCGAGGGTAAAGGTAAGTGGCTGAAGGTGTTTTAACCCCTTCAGCCAAATGGGGATGGGGGCCCTGAGGATTATATAGTGTCAGGAAAACGTTTTTTTTTTTTTTCCTGACACTATAGTGGTCCTTTAATCTGTTATGTTCATAATTTAACACTGGTGGTGACACAGACAACTACTGCACTAGAGCTGCTGCAGGCTACAACTCTAATGACCAAATAGGGTCTGGCTGGGATTGATGGGCCTTGTGTCCCACTATTGTTGTGAATCAAGAGCTCTAAGGGGAACTGGCATCTGTCTTCTATCTTTAGCACAGGTGAAAGAAAAATGGTCTAGATCACTCATTATATGAGTTTCCAGCATGCTTTCTCTTTAATAGCATGGCTTACTTAAAGGGACTCTCCAGTGCCAGGAAAGCAATTCCCCCTCCCGCCCACCCCCATCTCATGTTGCTGAAGGGGTTAAAACCCCTTCAGTGACTTACCTGAATCCAGCACCGATGTCCCTCGGTGCTGGGTCAGGCTCCGCCCACACTCCTCCCCGAGACCAAATGCGCATGCGCGGCAATAGCCGCACGCATTAGACCTCCCCATAGGAGAGCATTATTCAATGCTTTCCTATGGGGATTCCGGTGACGGTGGAGGTCCTGATGCATAGCATGCGGATGTCCAGCGTAGTTTAAAACACTTTTTGTGTTTTAAGAAGCCGGAATTCCCTCTAGTGGCTGTCTGATAGACAGCCACTAGAGGAGGACTTAACCCTGCAAGGTAATTATTGCAGTTAATAAAAACTGCAATAATTACACTTGCAAGGTTAAGGGTGATGGGAGTTGGCACCCAGACCCCTTCAATGGGCAGAAGTGGTCTGGGTGCCTGGAGTGTCCCTTTAAATGCTTGGCTTCAATATTCCTTTGCCTATATATTAAGGAAAATAAAATTAAAAAACACTCCCACAAAGCACTAAACTAAAAAAGAATTTATATCCTAAACCTGACACCTTTTTATACAGTTCCACTTCCTCACTTCTCCCCAGAGTCTGCCAAGGTTTAGAGCATGAGCTCTCCATTTCCCAAAGTTCATTACCTCCCTTGTGCCCTCTCCATTTCTTTTACTCTTTCACTGCTAACCAAGGAACTTGAGAAAAAATGCAATTGTTCATCTATGTTACTGGTAACCAGAAATGTTGCTCTATATTTTTGAGGACCAAAAGGAAAAATAAACCTATTCTAAGATTATAGCTAAAGCTATCTTACAGGATTTACAGCATGTAGCTGGACCCACAACATTTTAAAAATATCAGTTCTTCCTCTTGTGCAATACTATAGTGTCTGTATTGAATCTCTAACCTAACTGCCATTATCATGGTCAGAAGTTAAGCCAGGAACAGTTTTTTAAATTTTTTTATTATGGAGGTGGGTTGGGATGCCAGCAACAAAGGTTACTATAATTAAAAAAAATAATACATTTTGGTTACACTAACCCTGTCATCAAAGTATTTATTTAAAACAATAGCTTTAGGTTGACTACCAATTTAAACTATCTTATGAAAGGTTTACTAAATCAAGTTGTACCGCTAACATGCAAATAAAGCAAGACATGAAAGAAGAAATGTACATCTCTTTCAAGCTGTGTTTATATAAGATGGAAAGGCAAATGCTGACCTCCGAGAGTCTCTGCGATCACCAAAATTCCATATTTGTACGGAGTGCAAAAATAAGCTACGTGCTGCTCTGCACCACCTCACTAAATGAATAGTCCACAGTCTTATAACTCACTGCATGCCAGCTCTACGAGGAACTCATATTTAAAGGGACAATATTAGGAAAATATAAAACGAATGCTATATCCATGACCTCAAGTGCCGGTGAATCAGGTAATGATGCAATAAAACATAATAGTATATGCTTTGTTTAAATTAATGTAGACCTATAACTTCTATTTTACTTTAATTGCTATCTGCTAAAATTCCCATAGGAATGCATTAAAAAAACAATTAATCCATTCCGTCAGTCAGAAAAAAGTCAAAATGAGCTGGCATGGAAACCAACCCACAATGCAGAACACACAGTAAAAGGCATGCAAACAACAAAGCTCAGCTCCCTACCTTTCAACCACTTGAGAAATGCACCAAAAAAGTTACAAAAGCGCTGCAAAAAAATTCCAGAATGGCTCCAAAACTCAATGCAAAAACCATCTCCACACCCGACGCCACGTGCTACCCACAGACTCCAGCATGCATGTGGCGGCGCTATAAACCTCCCAGGTGTAATTCATCCTGGGGAAACTTGCTGCGTATTGCGAGAAAAAAAACGAGGCATTATTGTCAATGGATTTTCACTTGTAAACCGAAATTATGTTAACGGAGGAATTTGTAAACCAAGGTACCACTGTAATTTAAACTGATATACAGAAGTGTTAATTCAACATCATCTATGTGCCAGAAGAGGGTGGTGTTCTCCAGGTACTGGAAAGAGCACCATTTTATGTCACCAGGTGGATTAAGCCTGTGAGTTGTAGTAGTTAAGTTGCTTAGAGTGCCCCTTTAAACACTCCATATAGCCCCTTAATAGTTTTTTTTTTTAAATTCAGGAGGGATAAGGTATCATTTATATGACGTAAAAAAGACTAGTTGCATTTTCAGAGTCTAATTGTCACTAGAGAAAAAAAGTCAAAATCAAAAACGGCAACTTGCAGTGAGAGCATTTAACCCCTTAAGGACACATGACATGTCTGACATGTCATGATTCCCTTTTATTCCAGAAGTTTGGTCCTTAAGGGGTTAAAAAAATTAGCAAGATACCATTAAAAAATGTTTCTATACTGAGTAGTAATGAAAAGTAAGCAATACATTATGGAAAACAAAGCTGATTTTTCAGCGAGAAGACTCCAAACTATAGATTTAACTGTGCTTAAAATTTATCTGCTTGGCTTGGATACAAGGGGAATGTGGATCAAGGAAATTTACACATAAAGGTCTCAAACAGAAATCGTTAAAATGCATTCTTTGAAAGCTGCTATAGTAACTGTAACAGTGCATTCATTGTCTTACATGTATGCAGTATACAATACGTAGGTCAGTGTTTCTCAGCCCTGCAGGTCTCAGAAAAATTCCTAAGTACCCCTACCTTGAGAAAATAATTTCTGTCAATTTAAATTCTAAATGAAATGTGTAGACACTGATAGTTAAGTTACTCCCATATTGGAGAACAAGCCTGATTAAAGGTACTCATGGATATTTTTAAAATAAATGATAATATGTGAATATTGTGTATGTAAGGAATTCTATAACTTAACCCCTCAATCACATCGGCTCCTAGAGAGTCTTTTCCAACCTTTTATATCGTGGCCAGCATTCATTTGTTCAGCAATTTAAGGTAAAGTAGCTCTTCTGTGCGATCAGACCAGACGTGCTAGCCATCACTCCCCAAGTACATCAAATAGCTTTTAGCATCCATGACCCTGACGCCTGTTCACTGGTTGTCCTTCCTTGCACCACGTTTGGTAGGTCCTAACCACTGCATGCTCTGAAACAGTTGTCTAGCCGTCACTACTTGGCCCTTGTCAAAGTCACTCAGATCTTTTCGCTTGTCCATTTTTCCTGCTTCCAACACATTGAATTCAAGTTCAAATTCAACTGGCAGTTCACTTGATACTTAAAAGGGACACCAAAACAACTTTAGCTCAATAAAGCAGTTTGACTGTATAGATCAAGCCTCTGAAGTTTCACTGCTCAATGCTCTACCACTTAAGAGCTAAACCACTTTTGTCTCTGTTTATGTAGCCCTAGACACACCTTCCCAGACTTTGACTGGCAAAGTCTGCATGAAAACAAAATGGTTTTCAATCAGTTGTAACTTACTTTAAAAGTTTTTATCTCCTGCTCTGTAAATTGAACGTTAATTACATACAAGAGGCTCCTACAATGTCTAGCAAGCTATTAACAGAGCAGGAGATAAACATTTTGTTTAACTTAAACAGAATTTGCACTCAAGGAAGTGTAAACATTAGATGACTATTTACAGGAAATGTTTAGGAAAGTTGTGTAAGTCACAGGCAGGGAGGTATGCTTATGGCTGTATAAACAGTAATAAAGTGATTGAACTCCTAAATGGCAGATAATGTATCAGTGAAACTGCATGGGCATGCTCTATACACCAAAACTGCTTCATTAAGCTAAAGTTGTTTTGTTGACTATAGTGTCCCTTTAATATATCCCACCCCTTGACAGGTGCCATTGTAATAACATAATCAACGTTATTCACTTCACCTGCCAGTTGTTTTAATGTTGTGGCTGATCAGTTTATATCTCAGATTATGTTTCAAGTACCCCCAGCTCTGTGTTGCAGAGGAAGTGAGAACATTTAGTCATCTTATACAAACTGTACAAGATTAACCAGTGTTTACCCCCAAATAAAAGTCCTTTTAATCTTACTAAATCCCCACTGGATTGCATGAGAAATATGATTATCTACATTCACTGAAATCAGCTGGAGTATTCCTATGCAAAATGTGTTTCATGTGATCTGTTTACATTGCTTTACATAAAAAGAGAGTAAACAATGCACAAATATCCCCATTTACAGTAAAAAGTGAAACCTGAGCACAGTCAGAGATTTTACCTGCTCTACTCCTTCTACTTCTGGGATGTAGAATTGCAGCATGTTCTGGATGCCGCTTTTCAGAGTGATAATAGAACTGGGGCAGCTCGTGCAGGATCCCTGCAGCTTCAGCTGAACGATGCCATCCTGAAACCCTCTGTACAAAACATCTCCGCCGTCCTCCTGGACTGTGGGCCTGTAATAGACAAGGAATGATTCATTACATATTACTAAAAGGACATTGTCTTTACAGTGGCAGAATGTACTTACTTTAGAAACACAATCCGTTTTACTGCCTAGAATGCCATCACCTCTAGCACGTATATCCAGGGCTCCACTCTAGCACTCTAACAGAGATACAAGCACTTTGCAGGAAAGTATTCCTTTCAAATTATTGCTTTAACATAACTTTCCTTATAAAAATAATTTTCTCAATTTGACAACTAGCTTGGTATTCATATTGGGGAGCAAGTCATGTTCAGCACCAACTACTCTCTGCATCCTATAGCCTACATCTGCAAGTATCTACAATGAATCCCAGTAACAAGCAGTATTTGGCAACTCAAACTTGAACCTACATATGGCATCAGTGATGGCTGTGAGGAGATTGGATGGGGGTGTTGTAAGAGAGCAGGCAGGAGCCTCTCTCTTTATAACATCCCATTATTTAAAGAAATACAACAAGCTTCAACAATTGACCAAGTGGGAATATTCCAGATTTGAAGAGTGACAAAAATGTTAACAAACATGTGATAAAGGCACCTATCAGAGTGAACATCATTGGTACCACTTAACTGTACAACAATTTCTCCTTGATAATGCAATCTGCAGGGCTTTTAACAAAACACACAAAAACATACAATGACAATGAACAATTTTCTGTGTAATCCACCAAGATATCAGATCTTGCTAAGCAAACATTTAATGCTGGCCAAATAATTATGAACTGTCTACCAAATAGTTAAATAACCCAGTTCTGTCTGGTGTTTATCGAACATGAAGTCTATTCCCCTGTATTATACAAGTCTAGTGTGACACATTTTGAATAATTTGAAAGAAAATGCTACAACATTTCAATTACATTCATACCATGCAGGAAAATGTTACAATTCCAGTTTATTTCCTACATAACAGATACAGTGGCATCCAAGAAAGGTTTTTTGACCATGGTGACAAAGGAGTCACTCAGCTGGTTGTATTGCAAAATATCACACAAGGGAGTAGGAATTACGGATGTTATTTACAACCGCTCCACATTTCTAGAAATCCTTATATGTCTTGAGTGAATCATAAAAGAAACAGTGGATGACAGACTAACTTAAAGGGACGCTATAGGCACCCAGATCAATTCAGCTCATTCAAGTGGTCTGGGTGCAGTGTCCCTATTGATTCAATGCTTTCCTATGGGGAGGCCTAATGCACGTGCTCTCTTAACATGTCTTCACCTCTGACAACAATCCTAAACATTTTTTTTTTTTTTAAATAACCACAGCAGATTACAAATTTGCCCTAAGGACTAAGTGGTCAAATCTGAGAAGAAAATATTACATAGAAAAAAAACACATGGCACTCAAAAAGAAAAAAGAGATTCAATACCATGTTGCAGTGATATCTGACACCTGCAAGCATGTCCCAAATGAAGCTTCATAGAAAGGAAAAACATTTTAAGTAACAGGGAAGAGTTGACATAAATCAACACTAAACTCTCAAATGTAGTGATAGTGATAAAAGAATCACTGGAATTACCTGTCATGTCATCACAATAGAATATTCCACTTTCACATTGAACAAACTGACAAAGCAGGTACATGACGCCATACAGATCTTTGACAAGAAATGGATACCAGGGACACTAAACTAACAAAACTCCACCTCCATGAATAGATTGAGCTAAGTAGTAGCTCGTAAAGCTAAGAAATCTAGTGTCTTGTATGGTGTGTTTTTCCCCAATATACTACTCTATTTCACTCTCTCTTTTCTAAAGTGTGTTTATATTTTTCTCTTCCATTTGGCTTTCCTCACCTCCAAGCCTGCATCACAAAAAATGAAGTATGTAAACAAAATACTATTTAAATGCCATTACGTTAATGTCACCTATAATTAGAGTATTGCAAGTAAATGAAAAAGAAAAAAAGTATCCTTTGTGCTAAAATATATTGTAAGACAAATACAAATACAAAAACAAAACAAGTCCTGCACTCAAACTCCCATTACTCCTGGTCGGCAGCAACGACCATAGTACACATCATCCCAAATACATACAGTAAAAACCAAAGAAAAAAGTTACCTGCGTAACTAAAAACCTCCATTTGTTTAAATATACATAGGGATTTTGGGAAAGAGTGCAGGTAACTTTTTTATTTGGTTTATATTGTAAGACAAAGTGACAATATAACAAGAACAGAATTAAAGAAAAAAAAATGCATGCCATTTTCTCAAACTTGAATGCATATTTTAAAAACACCTTCTGCTTCTAAAAGAGAAATAGTTACTTTTAAAGTTTATTGGCTCTAAGCTGGACTCAGAGACATCAAGTGAAATGTTTGTGCTTTTACACATTTATCAACTTGTCTGCTACAAGTCAAAAAATAAGTAACATCCAGTCAGTCAAATGGGCATCTTTAGTAAGGGAAAGAATGAGAAATAGTAATATCAAAAAATTCAGACACTACTAATTATGTGGGTGAAAGCTAAAGAAAACCAGTCACGTTTTAAGATCATTTTAAGTAGTAGCTAGCCATCTGAGACACTAGGTTTTTACATCTTCAAAACGCAATAAACACTCTGAAAAGCCCTAAACAACTTTTGCCTGTTACAGGAAATTTCCATATTCGTGTTATGGCTTATTAAACTAGTAACAACTTTTGTCATGCATTCATCTGATTTTTCCTCTATGTGCAGTGAGAACTCTTCTTAAATAATAGTCTGCTTTCATCATTAATTCTGAACAATTAGATATATCCTACAGATCCGTCCATTGATTAACACAATGTGTAAACAGGGCAAGAATCCAGTACATAACATGGGGTTTAAAGTGGATTCTTGGCTACTGCAATATAATGGGGATTACATCTATATACAGTATGTTGATTCGCGGATCGTTGCGTGAAAACGCTTACTTTGGTAAGACAGCTGTTTAAATATGTTCTTTAACAAACAATGTTACATTTTGTGCTGATCCTATTCCCTTACCCAAGTGGCAGCATTTAAAGGGTTAATTGGAAACAGGGTGAACCGGGTGTGCAGTACAACTGAGGGAAAAAGTGTTTCTTCGCCACACATACAAAGATCTTCTGTAAAGCATTAATGACTACATTTTCTTAAAATATTATAAACAGAGCCATAATAAAACGTGTGTTTTTTTGGTTTTTTTTGCATCAATAATACACCTGGTAGAAAAGCTAGTCCAAAAATACAAAATTAGGCCAATCACAGGGAACATTACATTGGTTTGAATGATAAATGCTTCACTTTAAAGGGACACTATAGGCACCCAGACCATTTCCGCTCATTGAAGTGGTCTGGGTGCAGTTTCCCTGTCTCCCTTAGTCCTGCAATGTAATTCATTGCAGTTTTATAGAAACTGCAATGATTACATTGCAGGATTAAAACTGCCTGACACAATCAGCCCCTAGATATACTTCCTGGTGGCTAAACGACCTATGGTTGCCTAACGGACGCTGGACTTCCTCACGCCTTGCATGTGGACATCCAGCATCGGTATATATATATATTGATGCTGGATGATAGCACTGAGCAATGCTTTCCTACAGGGAGGGCCCAATGCGCTTGTCACACATGCGTATTAGCCACCCTTCCCTCGTCGGATGACATTGGAGAGCCGACCCAGTTCCAAGGTGGATCGGTGCTGGAATCGACTGAGTACACAAAGGTGTTTTCCATGATACTTTACACTTACACAATAGAATCCCTGTACGAACTTAGTTTTTTTGTTTTGTTTTTTAGATTACTTGTTATATATTACAGACATAGCATTATGAAAAAAAATGCTACAATAGAAACAGAGAAACTTGGAAATAAGTGCACTGGGAGGATATATACAGAACAAATGCAGAACTGTCAGACACAGGGTCTTATTTGTCTTACCGGATTCTGGTATCTAGAAGTTCTTTAATCATTGCCACCACTTCATCATCATCTTCTGTAACAGCTTTAAGAAAGCATACACAAAATAATCTGGGCTGAGATTTTATATCTTACTTTAGTAAAGTCAACACAAGAAAAAAATAAAAAAGGAAGAAGAAATGATATCCCATAGCCTAATATATCCTTCTCTAGGTGCATCCGTCAATTTCTTTGGGCTGTGGTCACACATAAAATAAACACAGAGACAGTACTGCTGCCCAATCTATGAATAAATCAATACCAATGAAACAATATATATTTACACAAAGTCAGAAAAGTGTCCACTCATATGCAGAGAATTACATAAAAATACATAAATACATAAAAATACACAGAACATAATAAGCCCCCAAAACACCTCCAATACAGGCATATCACTGGGCAATATTAAAGCCAATTTTTGGCTTAATGCTGTGTAAGATTCCACTAAAGGTATTTTGGAATTTAATTTGGGATTTCTTTTCAAAGCTGTCTGTATCGTTGTTTTCTTTCTGTACATTTTTTTGTGGAGTGATTTTATTATTTATATAGCGCCATCAGATTCCATAGCGCTGTACAATGGGAGGACTAACAGACATGTAATTGTAACCAGACAACTGGACGTACAGGAACAAAGAGGTGGAGGGCCCTGCTCAATGACCTTACATTAGAAGATGATATCCTGATGCTATGCACAAAAATAAACTTGAATAGAGATGTACATATTTTTTTTTTTTTTTTACGGTGTGTGTATTTATGGAGTGCTGTTTATATATATATATATATATATATATATATATATATATATATATATATATATATATATATATATATAGTATTTTACATTATCTAGTGTCTTATAATTGGTAATTTATATATTTTTAAGAGCATCTTGTTTTACTTAAATACAGTTTTTGGGACATTTTAAAGAGAAAGAATAATAGGCTTCCCCATTATTATGTCTTTATACATTAGTGTGAAAGAAGAAAAAAAACAACACTCTATAGACAACAAATGACAGAAGATTAACACTAGGTAACTGTCACACCCCTGCAATATACATTCTTCAAGACAACATAAGGAGGTGTGGAGAGGGTGCAGTTTTTTTTTTTTTATCTGTGCTGTTTGCGAGTTTTACTTCTAAAATGTCCTCACAGTCTGAGCTGCATTAAATATCACACAGAGATATATTAGTTCTCCCAGAAGTGCTGCAAGACATGCAAGTATATTTGTTCAGTACCAAGAAATTAACATAACTTATATTTATAAACTTGCCACTGGATATTCTAGATTTCATAATAAGGAGTTCACTAGACTGTTTCTCCTCGTGTATGAATCACTGTACAACTCATCTGCCAGAGAAGGGCAATCGATGAAGAAATGTTGTTAGCGTGTTGTAAAAGAAGTTCACTTGCTGGGTGTATAGCAGAAACCATCATGAAGTGACACAGCTGTACTAACAATGCTTGCATGAGGTCATCTCCCTCAACAGCATTACATTTGGGAAAAGTTGCAACAAACCTAGGTCAAGCAAATGAAAAGCACATTGTAGCGTGGCTCAGGTTTTAGTCAAAGTATGAAGCAATCGTTTGATATTAATGCGCACTCTACCCCCTCCAAAGTGTAAAAAAAGAAAACCGTAAAAGATTGCAGTGACATTAATCATCTTATCATTAGTCTAGCTTTTGTTGGCAAGGGGTCCCAAGTAAAACTACCTGAGTCACTGCGGGGAGCATCCTCTGTCACTACGGGCAAGCCAGACGAGAAGAAATCCATAAGGGTTGCGTAAATATCGGGTTTCATCAAATTCCAGTCTATTTCTTCACTCTCCTATTTGGGTAACAATCATATCATGAAATAGCATCTCTTATTCTGCCCCTTCCACCCTGACTGGTCACCTATTAGTCTTACCTTTGTGATCGTGACAAAATCTGGCCCAAAGAAGACACCTTTTACTCCCTCTATTCTGAAAAGGTGTCTGGAAGAAAGGAAGGAAAAGATTTGCAATATGTATTTTTTTTTTTTTTTATTAATATTTTTTTCACTTCAGAAATAATCATTTTTTTCTTAAAATTTAAAGTTCATACAAACCATCCTAAAAAAAACAAATCTCAAAATTATAATTTCATAGGAATTTTAACAACTAACAAACAGGCATCTAACAACACCCGACAAAACATTGATCTGATTTAGTATGCCAATCGTAGAGAATTGCCAGTGGCCGTGATTTCCCTAGACGCTGAGAAGGCCTTTGATTGCCTCCTTTGGCCTTACTTAAGCTTGGTCAGAGACCACTTGGGATTTCCAGCAGACTTCCAGAACTTCCTCACCATGACATATCAGTCCCCGCAAAGCTATCTAGTGCTTCCTAATATCCCACTTTCCTCTTTCCCAATCCACAACGAGACACGTCAAGGATGCCTACTGTCCCCTCTTCTCTTCGCCTTGTCACTAGAACCCCTTTTGCCACCGATGCGGGAATCAAGGAAACTGAAAGGAATAACAAGGGAGAGACATTTAAAGTCTCAGCATATGCAGACGACATTCTGCTGACAATAACGGAGTCAGAAAACTCGATACTAGCCTTATTACACCTCATTCAAGTAACTACAAGTTCCCTGTTACTGTTACTTCAACCTGCCTTTTCATTTCTGTAACAATTAAGTTACATAGTTGAAAAGAGACTTGCGTCCATCAAGTTCAGCCTTCCTCACATTTGTTTTTTGCGTTTTTTTTAAAATTCAAAAAAAAAAAAAAAGAATTAAAAAAAAAAATGGCAGCTGACTATTTATTCATATGTATCACTATTATATAGCGCCAACTTATTATGCAGCACTTTACACTTTTTATATGGGGAAATTAACAAAACAAGACAAACTATAACAAATTCTGAAAGGAACACTAGGCTGGTGAGAACTCCGCTCGCATAAACTTACAATATACAGGAACACAACAATATACTTATTTTCAAGGCCTTGACTGAAACTAAAGTTTGAGTATATTTTTAGACTTAAGGCAGACCCATTAATACCAATACGGTCACTAATTTTTAGACCGTTTTATAGTACAGTGGGCTTGCTGCATCCTTTAATGGCCTTGTTGCATACTTTGATGGATTTGTCGCATACTTTGATGGTCTCAGACAATTCTATCTGTATCTCCTTTTTACTTTATGCAAGATGCTTCCTCAACTTGTTACATTAAATGGCTTTTTGGCTGGATGATTATGGGTCCAAAATTTGAAACATTCTTATTCCCCGTTGCACCCCAAAATATCTTGTCTACTTATTTGGTAAACCAGTGGTGTATCCTGGTTTTGATCTGCCCTAGGAAGTAACACACATTAACAGACACACACTCACACTCACAGGCAAACACACTCACTGACACACAGTCAGACACACACATACACACTAACAGACACACACTCACACAGTCAGACACACACACTAACAAAACATACACGTCATATTCTGGCTCCCAGCCTCACTCTGCAGCCCAGCGCCCGGCATGTCAGTTGGCCGCGAGGCTAACAAGGCATTTGCCTGGGCATTTGGGGGGCGGCGTTTTTTGCCGCCTTGTTTGCCTCGCGGCTAAAATGCCCCTGGATGACACACTGAGACTTTGCAAACTGGTACAGTTCTAAGAACACATTTTGAAGGGAGACAGACCTGGAGATCATGAACTTATGACCTAGCCCTGTTGTTTAGAGTGTTCTTTTCATTTCTGAGACTTACTAATTTACTCTATGGCAGGTGAATATGACACCATTTATCTTTATCTTCTTTCCTGAGTTCAACTCACCTCTCCTTCACCAGTACAACTTATATGACTTAGTTGTTTCCTTTCAACATTTGCTTACCACAAGTATATATTGTTTATACACACACACACACACACACACTAATAAGCTGCACCATTTCTCTTTAAAAGAACATTTGCTACCATTTTTAGAAAAGAGTCAGCGATTGAATTGTATGATTGATAAAGATCGCTACAACATGTTTTAAAGGAACACTATAGTGTTGGGAACACAAACATGTATTCCTGAAACAATAGTGTTAAAATCACTATTTAGGTCAAATGCCACCCTTATAAAAAAAAAAAAAAAAAGTTTAAGCTCACCTTTTCCCCCAAGGACTGCTGGTATCACCCCTGTGGCTGAGACCAACAAAATTGGGAGGCTATTACGCAACACTCAGCAAACCACTGCACTGCGCCAATCACCATCTCTTCATAGAAATGCATTGAATTAATGAATCTCTATGAGGAGCGCTCAGCGTCTCCAAGCATAGTGTGGAGATGCTGAATGTAGGTGCCGCATGCTGTGCAGCAATCACCCAGGAAGCATCTCTAGTGGCTGTCTTAGTGATTGCCAATAGAGGTGATACTAGCCAGTAATAAAAATACTGTTTTTACTCTGCAAAGGCACTGTTTACATTAAAAGGCCTGCAGGGACATTCAATGGCAAAGTGCAGCAGTTTGCTCAGTGTTGCTCAATCGCCTCAGCCAAGGGGGCGAGACCAGCAATGCCGTGGGAAAAAGGTGAGTTTAAACAACTTTTTAAAGGGGGCCGTAATAAAGAAACAATTTGCACAAAATCTGTGGTGCCAAATCACTTTACCTGGCCAAAGGTGAACAAAATGCAGCAGCACGGTTTGGGAAGTCCATGGTTCCCCCATCTAGCACAGCTCTACCAGGGATAAATTTGACACTGTTTGGGTTTGGAGTTTCTTGTGTTTGGATGAACATGCATCGGACTAGAAAGAAACCTAAATGTTAGAAATATTTCCTAGCTTTGTTTTGTAAAATCAAGAAGAAGAAAATATACATACATAAAGCTCTTGGCTTGAACATGGGGGACAATGAAACATAAGAAAAAATTACATAATGATAAAAAACAAACAAAAAAAAAACGACAGTATGTAATGCAACTGGTAACTCTCCTCGTTATGACTAAAAATAAAGTGCATAGTGGAATTTAACAACAAACTCTACAAAACATTATTATAATTACTATATTGCTATACAAAGTTCGCACAATATAAATATGTTATATTGCATGCATCCCAGAAATAAATAGACTGGTCACGTTACAGTCATATATTGAACATTATGATTGAGAGTTAATTGCTACATAAATGACACCATTATATTAATAGAAATGTGATACACGTGCCTCATTCCCATATGGGTGAGGTCCTATGAATATGCAACAGCCTTAGGAAATCCTCTTATATAAGGCAGATGTTCTCTCAAACATTCTAACAGTCTAAGATTGGCTATCATTGCGGATTTTATATTTGAAGAGCCACTAAACTTTTTTAACATTGCCATGTAAGGCTTAAATTAAGACTCCAAACACCATAACAACTACAGCACATAGTAGTATTTATGGTGCTAGAAGTGCCATGGCACCTCCCAATGTAAGAAATCAAACCAATATAAGAAATAAAATGTTTTGACTCGTTACCTGGAGTCCACTGGGTTCTGCTCCATGCTCCTTCCCTTCTGGTACTGTTGGTGCCAGGAGTTCCTGCGAGGAGCTCCTATTAGTTCTCCTGAGCCAAGCCCTGCAGTGCAAGTCCAGATCAAAGGCCAAGAGTGTTAGCTGATCGCTTTCAGCCAATGAGCTAAGCCCTGAACCACCATGCTTCATTCAGACAGCAACCTATCAGCCTACATTGAGGCAGAAAGCGACACCCAGCATATCACCGGTAAGAAGTCAAAGTATCGACAAATTATTTGATTAATTACATTAAGGGAGCATGGTGTTTTTGTTAGAGAGCTTGGGATGTTCTTTTAAAGGGAGCAGAATTTGCATTATATAAGGGAAGCAAGCTAGGTCAAGTTAAAGGAGAACTATAAACTGTGTATATAAGTCATCTGTACATCTCAAAACCAGTGAACTTTTATTAAAAAGAAAGATCGGGACAGCTCAGCAAAATATCATTCAGTGTTTATCTTCAGTGTTTTGAGATGTGTGCACAGCAGTATATTGACTAGATGTGCTGCAAAATATGCTCTTAGCTGCTCTTTTTCCCTATAGGAGCAGTTGGGTGAGATGGTGTGCGGATCAAGTAAACTCTTCTGTAAACGAAGTTCAATTTGGCAAAATCTAGCCGCATTTAAAGGAACACGATAGGGTCAGGAACACAAACATGTATTCCTGACCCTATAGTGTTAAATACAACATTTAGGTGGCTTGCCCCTCCTTAGCTCCCTTGGAAAATGTTAAAACTCACCTTATTACCAGCACCGCGTGGGTCCACCAATCCCGTAGGGAAAGCATTGGATTGACTGAAATGGGCAAGGAGGCGGGATGGGGGCAGGGACAAACACAGTTTTGGCCAATACGCACCTCCTCATAGAGATGCATTGAATCTGAGGAGTGGCCACTTGGAGGTGTCCTTCGGGGGCAATGTAAACACTGCCTTTTCTCTGCAAAGGCAATGTTTGCATGAAAATGCCTGAAGACAATGATTATACTCACTAGAACAACTACATTAAGCTGTAATTGTTCTGGTGACTATAGTGTCCCTTTAAAACAAAGGCAGATAGAATCTAAAACGGTGTGTGTCTCTACTATATCTGATTTAATGGAGCTATGGCTTAAGTAAATCGGTGCGGACCCTTCCTCTTGTGTGGGTTGGGTTATGTCAGGTCTTGAAAGATGGCTATTCATAAAACACAATGGCATTTTTGCTTGCCTTCATAAAGTATTTTTTTTTTTTTGTGATGAAATAATCTTAGGACCATAACAACCATTCTCAGAAGCCAAATGAACAACTAAAGTCATTCATATTCAATGCTTCTCTTAAAAGCGTCAGATACTGAAATTTGCTGTTTGTGTACCACAGGTTTCCAAACGGTTCTATGCAAAATGCATAAAGAAGAATTGGACCAAGATCATCAAAAGTGATAATCTCATTAGTGAGTTGTTGCCAACTGGAAACTGCCATGGAGACAGACTACAAGCTTTTTTTTTTTTTTTTTTTTTTTAAACCCCTTTTTTTCTTTTTATAGTAATATAATTTTAAAAGGATGAAGTGATATAAATCAAGAAAGGAACACACACGTATATATATATATATATATATATATATATATATATATATATATATATATATATATATATATATATATATATATATATATATAAAATGGATATTATTTTATTTAGTTTTACCCTCTGTGTGTTCCTTTATTGATTTATGATTTAAGAGCATTCCTTTAAGAGGTTTCATCTTTTCTTGTTGTACGGTGTTACAAATAATTTTGGTGCCATAGGGCATGTAATCTCTGGTTCCTTTGGGATTGGCTTCTACAGTTAGGTCAAAGTTGTCCTACAGTTTACTTTTATAGTATTGGGAAAAAAATAATATAGATAAAAATCCAGCAGGCAGATACAAATCCGAGTCAGCAATTAGCAACCCAGTTGATCTAAATACAAGCAAAACAGGAGAGATTTCCCAGAGACACCGAAAAGATTATTAGACTGTATGACAAAGCACTGTATTATCTCAATAGAAAGTAATTTATACTTCTTGAATCTTTATAGTTTGTCACTACAGAGGCATTCAATTTATGTGTATTACACAAGAAATATCTACAAATAACAAACGAGGATGGACAACTAGGCCAGGGAATACATCACTTATACTGCTCTTCCCAGTGTAAACGTCTAGCCTGTATTTTACATAGTGATCCACGCCGTGATACAAATTACCCCCTCAAGCTATATGACAGGCAAGTCAAACAAACAACAGCTACACTTGCGTAGATATTGAGAAACACGTAAGGGTAAATGGCCCTTACGGCCCACAACTATTTACAGAAATAATTTGCATTTATCTCATCGATTATGGGAAAAGGCAACTTTAAATAAAACCATACATAGCAGATTTCATCCTTTGAACAGAATTAGCTGTACTTAAAGGTAAACTACTTGCACCATTATCCACTATAACTGGATGTGTATACTTATTTGTGGGATATAAACTGCAATTGAAAGTTTCGCTTTTCAAACTAAATGAAAATCTGAAGGTTGAAGGTGGTGAGGTCATTTTGTGAGATCTGTACATTCTGACAGAGAGAATAATAAAAAGATATAATCTGCTTATATAAAGTTATTTTAAACACCACACGTTTTAAATTCCTAAAACTCTCATAGATGTATTTCAAGTTCTGCTGTCACATTCATTTTGCTGATGTCACTGTTCCAGCCTAACCTAGTAGCTTCATCGTGCCCTCAGCGTACTTTAAAGATTAATCATAACAAAAACTGTTAGTACTTTGAATCATGATATACTGCACCTTAAGTTCAAGTGCTAAAAGCACACCCAAAGGACAACTAATAACAATGAATTAAGATCTCAAGAACGTAATATTATTTAATATATTCAGTTATATTATTAAGCATTAAAATCACCTTCTAGGTAAAACTAATTGTTTAAGCAACCTTTTTAAACAGAATGTTACATATGGTTGTATTACTGCATAATTACACTTGTTCTGTCTCTATAAGAAGAACCATCTTATCTTGAAGAGACATTAAGCATCATAAGCACTACAGCTTTTTGCAGTGATTATGGTACTGTTCTGTTTCTACCCATTACTGCCAAACCATATATCTGTGAGATTTTAACAAAAGTCAGGGTTGTCTTGTCACCCAAAGGCAAGACCATAAGCTGTTGCAGAAAATATGGAAGTTTTACTTCCCCCATACAAGATGGATATGAAATGATAGGCAGTGAGCTCTTGAGCTTATATTTATAAGTCCTTGTCGTTGGCACAGCAGTAAAGACTAAAAAATATTTGAGTACCATAGTGTTTGTGGTATAGCATATAAGATTTCTAGTGCCTGTTGGGCATGGGTAGGCAGCAGAAACAACCCAAACCACAGTCTCTTCTTTCTGGTCATGAAGGGATACAGTACAAAAAGGTGGGGGGAGGCAGCCTAAATTTATGGTGAAATGCGTTCGTGTGTTACCCTTGTATGGTTTTATATTTCATTTCTAATAAAAACTAGTGTTTTTACCCAACCCTGGATCTTCCTGATTTTATCCAGATGCTTTTATCTACAAGATTCTTACATCAAATTCCTTGGTGAGGATTGTACACCACGCAGGCTATATGGTTTTAGTAAAATCTCTTGCCTTTCCTTTTTGATACAATCATCTAAAAAAAAGAGTGCATAAGGGGGCACAGTCTTTCATGACTTCTGTTTTCACAGCCGCCAAGACCGGTTTGGCACTAGATCTCAATCTAAGAGAAGGGAAATGTCGGCGGCCTGCCCAAGATGTGGTGCCAGGCCCTTGGAGAATTGCAGGCTTTAACTAACAGAAATACCCAAGCAGTAAGAAAACCACAGGGAGAGAATTGATGCCAAAAAAGTTTAATTAAATATGTGAGATTCAGGACTGAAAGGCAGCAGCATATATAAACCACCAAGAGCTTTTCCCTGATAAAAAAAAAAAAAAATTAAACCAATTATAATTTGGGCACAACATAATTTAGCAGGCTTGTGTGCAATGTTTCTCCCAGTGAAGGAAATATGGTGGCAGATTTACTGAGCAGACATCAGGTGAAAGACTTTCCAAGAAGGTGTTCCTGCAGTTGGTCCAGAGGTGGGGGTCTTACCCAGGTGGATCTCATGGCCACAGCTTGGAATGCCCGGGTCTCAAATTTTATAACAAAGAGGTTACATCCTAGAGCAATAGCCCAGGAGGCCTTGTCAGTGGAGTGGAACTTCAAGCTGCCGTACATCTTCCCTCCAATTCCACTCATACATACAATCCTCAGGATAATATGCAGGGAGAGGTGCAAGTTGATAGTCATCATTCCCTTCTGTCCTCTTTGTACATTGTTTCCTATTCTGCAGAAGCTTTTAATAGATTATCTTTGGTAAATTCCGATATCAGAGAACCTGCTGTCACAAGGTTCACTGCTACATCCAGAACCCACAAGCTCAGGTTATAGGCCTGGCTCTTGAGAGGCACTCACTGATTTCACAGGGCAAAGATGTCACAAACTGGAGCTTAAAAGATGCCTCTCGGTATGTATTCAACGTACAGCCGCCAGTTGTTCATTATGCCTTGGGGTTCCCGCAAAGGGGAAGCTGCTTCAGTTTCCACACTCCGTTTCTGGATTACTGCGGTAATCTCAAAAGTCTACAATGCATATGGTGTTCCAGGTCCTAAAGGCAACTGTGCTCACTCTCCAAGGTCCATTTTTACCTCTTGGGTAGAGCTGCAAATTATTCCTCGCTTAAGACATTTGTTAGTCATTACAGGGTGGTTGTTGCTTCAGTTTGGCCTTTCAGTCCTGAATCTCACATATTTAATTAAACTTTTTTGGCATCAATTCTCTCCCTGTGGTTTTCTTACTGCTTGGGTATTTCCGTTAGTTAAATGCTGCCATGATTAGCCAGGAATATGGAAATGTATTCATACTTATCATAATTTTCTTTTCCTGGCTATTATTCGTTACAGCATTTGGGTTTCCCCTCTTCCTTTTTTGGATTCATCTTTTACTTGACTGGGGAGCAGGTGCTATTGGGGATAGTATTATACCCAGGGGCATTTTAGCCGCGAGGCAAACAAGGCATTTACCTTGAGCGGCATTTTTTAGGGGGCGGCAAAAAACGCTGCCCCCAAATGCCCAGGGCAAATGCCTTGTTAGCCTTGCGGCTAACAGACATGCCGGGCTGGGCGGGCGGCTGGCGAGGGAGCTCTTCCTCTGGGCTGTCTGCTCAGCTCCCTCGCGCGCCGCAGAGTGAAGCTGGGAGCCGGAATATGACGTCATCTTCCGGCTCCCAACCACTAAACGTAAGCGGACAACTCAATCCCTAACTCGCAACCACTGGACCACCAGGGAGGATAGAACCCCCCCGCATTCCCAAAGGTAAGGGGGGGGGGAGGGGTAAATTAAAAAAAAATGTGTTCATGTGGGTGTGTTTGTTAGTGTGTGTGTCTGACTGTGTGTGTGTGTCTGCTAGTGTGTGTCTGCTAGTGAGTTAGTGTGTGTCTGACTGTGTGTATCTGCTAGTGAGTTAGTGTGTGTCTGTGTGTGTCTGCTAGTGAGTTAGTGTGTGTCTGACTGTGTGTCTGTTAGTGTGTGTCTGTTAGTGTGTGTGTGTGTGTGTGTGTGTCTGACAGTTTATGCCTGTTAGTGTGTGTGTGTGTCTGACTGTGTATGTGTGTGCATGACCGTTTGTGTCTGTTAGTGTGTGTGTCTGTTAGTGAGTGTGTGTGTCTCTGTTAGCGTGTGTATGCGTATCTGTCAGTGAATGTGTGTGTGTGTATTTAGAAGGCGGGGCGGGGCTGGGGCGCCTGAGTTTTGTCCTGCCTAGGGCAGCACAAAACCAGGATACACCACTGATTATACCTACTTACATAATTGTTTAATTGTTTTCCTGTCCTATTGTCTAGAGGGAGGAGCCAATCCATTAGTTAAATGTCGCCATTAATAATCGTCAAGAAAATTATGGTAAGTATGAATACATTTTTTACACTTAATGGAATATATATATATATATATATATATATATATATATATATATATATATATATATATATATATATATATATATATATATATATATATATATATATTTTGCTTCCCAAGCACTACCAAGCCTCACTAAGCAAACCAGTAACCAACCTCATGCTGAAGAGTTGCATGAACAACGAAACAGCTGTCCATGAGTGGTTCACTGGTTTTGCATCTTATCCTAAATTGTGTTCCAAGCAGTTGTATACTGCAAACACAAATTAAAAGGTATCCATGTTTAAAATGGAATGAGGCAAAAATGTGATTCTTTGTTAAACTAATTTGCATATGCCCACCCAGAATCCTTTGCGGTTGTAACATCTCTGCTGATTTGGGATTTCTGTGGGAAAAGCAAGTCTTATGGCTTGACTGGTGTGCAGATTTTTGTTTAGCATTGTATTAAATATATATATATGTCAGCTAAGCTGACGAGAGGAACTGGATTTGGCAGTCCTGAATTTCATTACAAATCCATCCCAAAGGAACAGCCCAGGATGCTCAGTCAGTGCAGTGGTTTTTCAAGCGGACATTATTAGGTGTAATATCAGTAACTATTTTTACAGAGGGATTTGCAGAGGAGATGCATGGAGCAGGCCCCCAGCAGGAATCAGCTTTCCTATTAAGTAAACAAAATCAAGAGGGAAGCCTGTGATATAATATAAGAATTGGGCAGACCACATTATCCAAAACAGCTTTCATCATGTCTACTGGGATTATTCACTAAATCAAGAATTACTAGAGAATTACAAAATTAAGGACAAAATAGTGGTTTTGGAAAATATAACTGAAATGGCCTTGACAATTCTCCCCAATTCATGTTTTAGTAAAAAAATAAAATCCAAATCTCAATATTAGACAAATACTTATATTTGCTTAAATGTTTCCCCCTCTACACTAAGCCATTTTTGCCTGTTTGATGAATAAACTGCCAAATGACTGCAAAACAGAATACAAAGCATTGTTTCTAAGAAGGGCAAATGTCACGCTGATCCACAATTCACATGAGTTGCTGCTCAATGCGATCTGTCATCTCTTTTCAATTGATCAAAATGTAATTGCAATACATTGCTCTTGTCAAGGGTAGCGGTCCGATGACCGGGCCCCAGTATGCCTGATCTTGATAGTAGGAGTCACTGTGTGGAAATAGATTATAAGGGCCTGGTGCAGGGTAACCGCACGCCCCCTGGTGTTGAGTACCAGCGTCCTGATGCAGCTTCTGCGGATCCCAGATGCCAGATGACAAGAAGCAGACCTCCCAGGATCTGAATAGGGAGGCTCTGCAGCAGATATGTATCCAGTACAGAAATAAGGCAAGACTAGAGTAGGCACCAAACAAGACAATACTAGAAGAAACCAGAACCGGAGCAGGACAAAAAGCAGAACACAGAACATGTACACAAGACATGAGGGAAACATGAACAGGGCAGGGCAGGACTGTACATGAACTGGGAATACAAGACAAAATAAAACAAGACAAGAGATACAAGGCAAAACAACAGGAGACATAACTTAGTACTATATATGTAAAACATTGAAGATTTAGACCTACATAAATGGCCAAGATGTATGCAGCCCACCACTGAGCCAAAGTGCTCCAATTAAGGTGGGTTCCTATCTGCCTAGATATGCATGACCAAATAAACAATAATAAAACACACACAGCACTTACCTGCAAGAAAGGGGCAGAGGACTTGGAGCAACTGCCTGCAGGAACCAACTGAAACAAAAGGATTAATGGAAAAGGAAAGGGTGTGGCAACATAAAACAAACATATAATGGAATCCAGGATACTGGGAATTCCAGGGACAGAATAAAGGAATGAACCCAGAAAACCCAGCATAAAGAAAACCAAACACAGAATAGAAAACCAGAAAAACTAAACAAGAATTGTAAAAAGAGTACTGGATACCAGAAGCCAAGGAAAGACATCTCCGCAGAACAGAGCAGCATGTGACAGCTCTTTAATCTATTCATTTGCATCTGGGTATTTTGCCATTTGTAAGGTAAATTATTCAGCAATTTAACTTCACTGCTATATATTGGTCTATCGCAGCATAGAAAGCGTGGAGATGCTAAACATCAATGCTGCACAACCCAGGAAGCACCTCTAGTGGCCATCTGAGTGATTGGCGCTAAAGGTGTACCTAGGCAGCAATGTAAACACTGCCTTTTCTGTGAAGTCTAGAGAAGTCTGTGATTGAACAGCTACAGAAAGACTGGGCTGGGTTAGAAGCAGATGGCTTGCAAAGGAAGCAGACAAGAGAACTGCAGCTTTTGCAAGTTATTTTTAGATATACCCCAATGGAAATAATGCATGCTTTCATTGGGGGTATACCCAATAGTGATTATTTATTTTGTATTTAGACAGTGAGTGTCCTTCAATTATTCAATTGAATCTCTTCACCACAGTGTATGAGAATGTTTTGCCATAGGTAACCAATGATCACTCAACGGTCACTGAATCTCATCAAGCTAAACACATAACTTTATTTCATAACATTTTTATCCATGGAACATCAAATAAAAGTGAGATTAAGTTTCAATTGCTATTCGATCCAAAGTATTGTAAAACATTTTTGAGCAAGAAAGCACCTTTTAGTGTTTCAATACAACTATCCAGGGCAATTATACAAATTTCATGACAATATTACTTCAGGAACTTGCAAACAAGGCCACAACCCCTGTGTCACTGAATCACTGTGAATGGAGGTCAAGTGGTAAGTGCACTAAAATGTTTACTTATCGAAAGTCTGTTTAGAACGTACATGTATTGAAAAACTGAAAAATAAAAAAATGCTCCACTTTTGTAGGAAATCTTGCTGGAAATCTGTGTACGGTCAATTTAATTTGCAGCACTACATTTGCCAGGAAGTGTTAGCACAGGTCACACAACAGATGTGCCGCTACTCCCAACATACATACATGCATGAAAACACATATGCTTTACAAGAGGCCACAGAGATGAAATGTAGTGTCAGGCAAACTATGATAACCAGACATTTCTTTTACAAGATCTACAAGTGATGATGATGGGCTCTTTTAACCCCTTAGTGGCTGCGGACATACAAGGTATATCCGGCCAAAAAACAGTCAACGATCGCTGACGTACCCTGTACGTCCGTGGCCAAAAAGCGATCGTGATCGCTTCCAGCCGCTCTAAGGGTATTACACGATGCATCGATATCAAGCCATCATAAAAATACCCACCCCCACACTGCCGGGCACCCGAGCGATCATTTCCGGGTTGCTGCATGTGGAGCCCGGCAGTGTAGCGCATCGGAAGCCTTCAGGCAGGGTCGAGGTACTCAGTAATAGTAAAAATTTATAAATAAATAAATAAAATAATTAAAAAAAAAATTGTATTAAAAAATTAACCCTCTACCCTCCCTCCCTCTTCCTTCCCATGTACTTTCCGCTGTTGATCAGTCTTCTTCTGAGGGTGACTGCCTGGGCTGAGTGGATACCAAGCAGCTCCCACAAATCCAGGCAAATTGCCTTAATACATATAATTTTTTCTAACTGTCTTTTGAGATATATATATATATACACACACATACACACTTAGATATATATAGTCACTGAGGAGCCAACTTGTAAAGAAGCCATACTAGATTTAGTGTTAACAAATGGAGATTTGGTATCTTATTACTGCAGGTGAAAGTTTAGGATCCAGTGATCAGTAGTCAGTGTGGTTTAATAGAAGAACAGTGACTGAGTCTGCTATGTTTACATATGGGTTAATCCAGCCTCTAGTGGCTGTCTCATTGACAGCCACTAAAGGCGCTTCCGAAGATGCCAGGGTCCATAGGAAAGCATTGAGAAATGCTTTCCTATGGACTGTCTGAATGCAAGCGCGGCTCTTGCCGCACATGCGCATTCAGCTGATGACGTCGAAAAGAGGAGGAGAGCCCCAGCGCCGAGGAAACCAGGCGCTGGAGAAAGGTAAGTGTTTAACCCCTTCCTCCCCCTTCAGTTTGACGGGAGGGGGCTGACCTATTAAAACTATAGTGCCAGGAAAACAAGTTTGTGTTAATGTGTATAAGTTCAAGATAATGCATCGTGGATGTAAAAACCCAAGGGCAGAGTACATAATATTTGATAGAGTCCTAACCTCAACATCTGAGGAAAGGGATTTAGGGGTGATTATTTTTGATGACTTAAAGGTAGGCAGACAATGTAATAGAGCAGCAGGAAATGCTAGCAGAATGCTTGGTTGTATAGGGAGAGGTATTAGCAGTAGAAAGAGGGAAGTGCTCATGCCATTGTACAGAACACTGGTGAGACCTCACTTGGAGTATTGTACGCAGTACTGGAGACCGTATCTCCAGAAGGATATTGATACTTTAGGGAGAGTTCAGAGAAGGGCTGCTAAACTGGTTCATGGAATGCAGGATAAAACTTATCAGGAAAGGTTAAAGGATCCGATCATGTATAGCTTGGAGAAAAGACGAGACGGGGGGATATGATATAAAAATTTAAATACATAAATGGAATCAACACAGTAACAGTAAAGACTATATTTCAAAGAAGAAAAACTACCACAACAAGAGGACAGTCTTAAATTAGAGGGGCAAAGGTTAGGAAAAAAATATCAGGAAATATTACTTTACTGAGAGGGTAGTGGATGCATGGAATAGCCTTCCAGCTGAAGTGGTAGAGGTTAACACAGTAAATGAGTTTAAGAATGCGTGGGATAGGCATAAGGCTATCTTAACTATAGAATAAGGCCAGGGACTAAAGTATTTAGAAAATTGGGCAGACTAGATGGGCCAAATGGTTCTTATCTACCGTCACATTCTAAGTTTCTATATTTCAAATGCTGTGCCTCTAGAAACATTCATATATCAGAGCATCATCCTACAAAGATCACATCATCAAAAAAAATTAAAAACAGTTTAGAGCTGCTGCAATAGGAATCCACGTTTCAATCCACATTGAAATCTGGTCTTTAATGAATCTGAATGTGATGATGTCACGGAAAGTCATTGGAAGGTTTAAATGTATCCACATTGTGACGGGTGTTGAGAAATCAATCTAGATGATGACATTCTACTAAGAATATTACCATATGTAAGCTTAAAGGGACACTATAGTCACCAGAACAACTACAGCTTATTTAATTTGTTCTGGTGAGTAGAATCATTACCTTCAGGCTTTTTGCTGTAAACACTGTCTTTTCAGAGAAAATGCAGTGTTTACATTACAGCCTAGTAATAACTTCACTGGCCACTGCTCAGATGGCTGTTATACATCCTTCCTGGGTCATGGCTGCCTAAAATGCATCCAAACATTCAGTATCTCCTCCCTCTGCATGCAGACACTGAACTTTCCTCATAGAGATTCATTGATTCAATTCATCTCTATGAGGAAATGCTGATTGGCCAGAGCGGTGTTTGAATCATGCTGGCTCTGCCCCTGATCTGCCTCTTTGTCAGTCTCAGCCAATCCTATGGGGAAGTACTGTGCTTGGATCAGGCTACCACTTCTGCTGATATGTTTTTTTGAGGCAAACAGCATGCAGAGCTACAGCTTCAGGTTTTAATACAGTAAGATGTTGCTATATTTATGGAGGCATGAGAGGTCCAGGGGGGCTAGATGGTGGTTTTAACACTATAGGGTCAGGAATACATGTTTGTGTTCCTGACCCTATAGTGATCCTTTAAAGAATCAAAATGCTATAGAATAGTAAAAACAAATAGATGCTGGCGTTTGCCCATTTACCCCAACACTCTGTGTGAAATGACAATTCATTAGTATTCACAGTCTAACATGCTGCCACAGGACACTAAGGTAGGGAGGGTGTAACGGAGCTCCCTGTACCTCTGGCTGGGTACCTCCGCCAAGGACTGCTTCCTAGCTGGAACAATGTACAAACCGAAGCACTTCTGCCCACAGTTGCCGTTGCTTGACTGGGGCCCTGGAACCGCTCCTTCCTGGAGCCGAATGGGGAATTCGCTCTAGGCACCCCCAGGCACTGGACGACACTCATTCCCTGGAGCTCTAGTCCTTAGAAAGACTTTCCCTGTTGAATTCACTGCAAGCTGGAACAGCAGACACAAGGGTTATTCAAAAATCACCCAGATCAGTTCAGGGGTTCAGGAATTTCCTGGAAGTCATTTATTTGACTGACCGCAGACATGGTCCCATGCTCAAAACAGTTCCAGAGAATCAGGGCTTGCAGTCGGTCTGGTTCGGTAGTTTGAGAACGAACAAACTACCGAACAGAGTCAATAGTCTTACCCTGGAGCTTGTTCCCCTCATCCAGAAGAATTATTTCACCGAACAGTGCCCTTCTAAGTTGTATAGAATGGAATGCAGGCAATGGTGGAAGTCCAGCGGTGTTCAGGAGTTTCTGTGTCCGATTTTAGTTCCATGAGATTCATGCCTGCGTTCATGCGAACAAGATGGCCGCTACCTTCTGGTTGTCCATAGGAATTGCGGCCACCCAGACGAACAATTAGAACACAGTGGTGAGAAACGTTCAAAGTTGTTAATAGGTGTTAACAAGCTCCAGGGTGGTCTCTGGTTCGTGCGGTTGTTCGGTAACTGAACCATAAAATCCCAATTGCACGAACAGAGACTTTTACATTATATTTCACAGGGTCCATAGTCTGTAGGCAGGAGGCTGGCAAGCAAGCTCCTCCAGGAACTCGTGGCAAACTCACTGGAAAGGGGGAGTTTGTCACAGAGGGTTTCTACATTTTTCAACTTGTGCAGGATGCTTATAAATTCTGTAAACTCTCACACAGGGTTTGAAAGTGTTGCCAAGCAGTACTTTGAAATCGATAGTGCCTGATTTGAATTTAAATAATCAACGGTGGGATCCAAGGTACAAGCCTAATACATTAACTGATTTCTCTCTAGGAGCACATTAATTCCATACATTCCTTAGAAGTATCTGTTAGTCCTTCCAGGGCAGTGCCTACTCAAAGGGCTAAGAAATTACTTGGCAGCTATAAAATATCTGATGTAACTACATTTTGGAGCAATATGTGCCGCATAACACATAGCTGGTAATGGAGTGTGGAAATAGGCACCATCAGAAAACATTACAGTTTCCCTTTTGCCTGTTTTCCTTTTAGGTAAGTTCACATAAAGGGTTAAACGGAAGTCTGGTGAGTGAATGCATGGTTGACAATCTCAATGTGTTAACACAGAGGAGGGAGTGTAATCTGTGCACCCAGCAGAATTCATAAAGTAGTTAATTTGAAACAGTTGGCAGATGGGGGTCTATTTGCAAACTGAGATACAAAAGCTGTATGTGAATAAAGGAAATGATGACAGATAATCGTGAATGTGCACATCACAGGAGTAGGATTCAGGGTGACTAGAAGTGAGACCAACATAAATCAGTGAAGCAATGTGTTTATGAAAGAGGGGCAATTATATCCATGTTTATAGAGACATTACTGGTGACATGATCAGAAACAAGTTTGGAAATTCAGAGAAAAGGGAGGATATGTGTATTTACCAAATGAAATTATCCTCCAAAGTAAGTTTTACTTCTTACTGATGGAAGGAATGATTTTGTAATATTAAAAGCAATTCCTATCTCATGATGCCCAGAACAGGCAGTTTTGTGCAATGGGTAGGTAGGGTTTTTTTGCCTTTAGGCACTAGAGGGCTTCCAGAATCTAAACTAACTTTTGGTCTGTTATCTGACGCTGGACGTCCTCACGCTCTGCATGAGGATCTTCAGAGTCAGATTTTTTTTATTTCCCATGTAGGAGGGGTGAGAGGGAGGGATCGGTAGTGTCAGGGATACAGCTTTGTATTCCTGGCACTACTGTATCCTTTTAAGTAGTCTAGGTGCCTTTAGTGTTACTTTAAAAAAAAAAAAAAAAATCCACACTCCTGTAATATACTTGTATACAATTTGTTCCTTTAAGGGTTTTCTTTTTCATATACACACACACACCATCTATATATATATATATATACACACACACACACACACTTGCTTATTTTATGCCTTACAAAAAGTAAAAAATAGACGCTTGCTCCTTTGTTGATGCTTGTGCTTGAGGTTATAAGGACAAGCTGTGCTTATGCTTTGGGAGGGTCATACTTGGATGCAGCTGGAAAAATATGCAGTAATGGAAATTATATTCAGGTCTTTATTAAACTGAATCTCAGCTTCTCAGACATTTATGCATCATCCGTAGTCAACATTATGGACTGAGTGGTGTCTTCAATACTCTATAAAGATGTATGACAAGGCAGACAGGCTGCTAAATATACACACAGATTGCAGTCTTGTTCCATGTTAATAGAAATAAATAGACTTGTTAAGTCATGTTATTTCTGCAAAAAGAAGAAGGGTCTAAACAGCCAGTTAAAAAAAGCAAGTTTGTGCTACAGTCATAAGAACAGAAAGGTGTGCCCTTCAAGGTGGGATACTTCTGGTTTGTGTGTCAATTAATGAAAGTAAAGGAAAAGTAGAATGGCATAAATTTTGTTCATAAGTTTTTATTTCCATATGCCACTGTAAAAATATTAAGTATGCATTTACACATTGACATCTATACACCAAATCTGCACGGCACTTTATAGGGGTATATTGAAATGTTATGTAGGATACAAGCTGATCTCTTTTTTGGCTTAGAGTTCAATAATTAAAGGGTTAACAGAACAAAGCATTTACAGCAAATATCACAACTTGGTAACGTAGGAGACTTATAGGACAACTGTCACCTCAAAACTATTTTTTTAATATAATAATCTTTTCACCAAGTTTTGGAAGGATTTTTTTTTTTTTTTTTTTAATGAAGTATATGCAAACAGATTATTTTATTATTTTTTATATAGCACCAGCAAATTCTGTACCACTGTACAATGGGTGGACTAACAGACACGTAATTGTAACCAGACAAATGGACGCACAGGAACAGAGCGGTTGAGGCCCCTGCTCAATGAGCTTACGTTCTAGAGGGAGTGGGGTATAGTGACACAAAGGGTATAAGTAGGGGTATTGAAAGAGGTTGATAGAAAGTATTCACTGGGAACTTAAAAGGTTATTTTTGACAGTTGCAGGAGAGGAGTCATGGGGGTAGGGGGGAATGAAAATCTGCTAACAGTTTAAATGATATGCTTTCCTGAAGAAGTGTGTTTTCAAAGATTTTTTGAAGGAGTGGAGACAGGGTGAAAGTCTAACAGAGAAGGGAAGAGAATTCCACAGAAAATGTGCAGTCCTGGAGAAGTCTTGGAGACGAGCATCAGATGTGGGAGTACGGACAGAGGATAGATGGAGGTCATCAGCAGAGCGCAGGGGCCTCAGCGGGACATACTTGTGAATTAGGATAGGTAGGTTGGAGCAGCATTATGTAGGGACTTGTAAGCAAGCACCAGAATCTTAAATTGAGCCTTATATCTAACTGGAAGCCAATGTAAGGACTGAAAGGGGGGAGGCGTGGGAGGACAGAAAAATGTGCCTTGGTGCCACGTTCATAATAGATTGCAGCGGTGCAATCTGGGAACATGTAAGACCACTGAGAAGGGGATTGCAGTAGTCAAGATGAGAAAGAACAACGGCATGGACCAGCACCTTAGCCGCGTCTGGTGTTAAATAGGGGTGGATGCAAGCTATGGTTTTGAGATGGAAGCGGCAGGATTTGGTGATCGACTGGACATGAGGGGTGGAGTAGAAGTCAGAGTAAAGGGGACACCTAGGCAGCGAGCCTGCGAGATAAAGGTGATCGTGGCACAGTTGACTTGGATAGAGACAGACACGGGAGTAGCAACACATGAGGGAGGAAAGACAACAAGTTCTGTTTTGGACAAGTTGAGTTTAAGGAATTGAGCAGCCATCCAATTGCAAATCGCGGAGAGGCAGTCAAAGACACAGGTCAAGATGCGCAGAGAAAGATCAGGAGTGGACAGGTAGATTTGCGTGTCATCCGCATATAAATGATAATGGAAGCCAAAGGAGCTCATGAGTTTACCAAGGGAGGCAGTATAGATGAATAACAATAGGGGACTATGGACTGAACCTTGGGGGACAGTAACAGAAAGGGGTTGGGGAGAAGAGGTAGAGCCAGAGAAAGAAACACTGAAAAAGCGCTGGGAGTGGTAGGAGGAGCACCAGGAGAGAGCAGTATCTCGTAGACCAAGATAATGGAGATTGAGAAGAAGCTGTTGATGATCAACAGTGTCAAAGGCAGCAGAAAGATCAAGGAGAAATAGGATAGAGTAATGGCCACGTGATTTAGCAGCAATTAAATCGTTGGATACTTTGGTCACAGCTGTTTCAACAGAGTGACGAGCACGGAATCCAGACTGAAGCGGGTCAAGCAGAAAGATGGATTCGAGGAAGTCTGTCAATCTCGCATTCACAAATTTCTCAACGATCTTGGAGGCAATTGGCAGTAGCGATACAGGGCGGTAGTTGGATGGGGAGTTGGGGTCGAGGTTGGGCTCTTTCTGAACTGGCGTTGAGAATACACATCGCTATCTTTAGTATATTACAGGATCCTCCAACCATATACATGAACTTTAGGTCAGACGATGTTTAAAGATCATGGAGAATGTCAATTTTCAAACACTGTCTGACCCAAGATGCATGTATCTGACTGAAGGGATCCTGTCATATACTACTATAAGGTAGGCATGTGTTGATTTTTCCTCTCTCTCTCTTTTTTTTTTTTTACATTTACAAAATTAAAAAGTTGACTTCCTTTAAAAGCTTGATGAATAAAACGTTATCTGGAGGAGACAGTTGTCCTTTAAGTTTACAGGTGGACAATAAATGTAATATTGTGGGGAGGTAGTCAAATATCTACCTCAAGTGGGCATTAGGAACCAATAGTTTGAGTGTAACTTTCTATACAATTGAGTTTTTCAAATTTAAGGTATTTATTCACTAAACCAAGAACTGACCAAAATATCAAAATTGGAAAATTCTCCCATGCAGCCGAGTTCCAAATTTTGTTTCAACAAAATTGTTAGCAAATGTATAGTTGAAGAAGGAAGTGCCACAATCAAATTAAATGTGATGCCAGATGTCTAATGACATCACAGCACATACACAAGGCCTGTAAGTATAATAAGGGGTCATTTCCACATAGCAGCTAGCTCTCTCCCTATGCATTTCAACAAATTCAGTTCTTCAAACATAAGTTTGCTTACAGTTCATTCAACTAGAATGTATCCCAATTGAAACCAGCTGCCTGGCACGGTCATCCCAATAGAGTAGAAAAAGGCCCCTATACAGCAGTCATATCCATACAATCCTTTCTAAATCAAAAGACTATATGGAGACATTTATTCTCGCAGAACAGTTGCAAAAAGGCAATAGAAGCAGAGCTCTATCACACTAGACAGGACCTAATCAGACATTGTGGTGGTAGATAAGGTGTGGTGCTACATGTGAAGGAATGCCAGAACGCCAACGTCAAGGCGACCCCCCCAGGCGGGTCCTACACGGACCTTTCACCTTGCTTCCTTGAACTTCTGGCAAAGATATCTCTAATGAGACAGAGAGGGGTATTTTTTATATACACCCCTATATACTTATTAACCCTTAACAGGAAACACATGGGATGGGCGGCAGCATTGTAACAAAGCTGTGTGATACAAAAAGTGAATACAAATACATAAAGATAAGTCCTGGGCTCACTCCCATCACTCCTGGGCGGCAACAACAACCACTGTACACATCAGCTCCAATACATACAGTAAAAACAAAAGAAAAAAAAGTTACCTGCGCTCTCTCCTAGATCCCTATGGAGCTGTTGTGTACTGTGGTCGTTGCTGCCGCCCAGGAGTGATGGGAGTGAGCACAGGACTTATATTTTTGTATTCACTTTTTGTATCACAGAGGTAGGTTACAATGCTGCCGCCCATCCCATGTGTTCCCTATTAAGGGTTAATAAGTATATAGGGGCGTATATAAAAAATACCCCTCTCTGTCTCATTAGAGATATCTTTGCCAGAAGCTCAAGGAAGCAAGGTGAAAGGTCAGTGTAGGACCCGCCTAGGGGGGTCTGCCTTGACGTTGGCAGGCGGGCATTCCTTCCAATGGCCATTGGAGTAACTAAATGACCTCCAATTGTTTAAGTGGTGCTACATGTGGCAATACGTAGTGACAAAACATGAAGAAAGAACATCTGAAGGAGAACAAAAATAAAAAGGGATGATAAAGGCGCTAGAAAGGATGTGGAAAGTGAAGGCAGTAGTAGTCCCAAGGGTAACAATAACACTCAGAGCCATGGCTCCTAATCTGGGGTTATCCAAGGTCTTTATCCATAAGAAAAGCTAAAATACTGCGCAAGCTCTCAGGCCTCTGTTAGAGAATCTCAGAGTAAGGAAGATTGATCCAAAGTGCATTTCAAAGTCAACTATACTTCCAGTTTGGCTACTTGAAATTCCCAAGTATTCTCACTTTAGTAAACTTAGGGGCATATTTAAAAAGACACTCTAAATACCATACCCACTACACGCTATAGTATAGACTTTGTGTCACAGGACGCTTGTGTTAATTCAGTTCCACTGAAAGAGTCAACTCCGATTCTGCACCATCGAATCCTGCTTAACATATTTTGCATGGATTCCTTGCAGAATATAACATCATGAAGGAAGGTCTAAGAATTCCAATCAATCCTCTATTTTTATGAAACCACTTGAAAATGAATGCTGCTTTCAAAGGAACACTCCAAGGAAGGGAAAAATTACTCAAACAAAATGTCCCAAACACAAGGGAGGGCTGTTTTTGTAAAAATAAGTTAAGAGTAAGTTTGACAAAAACCAGAAAGAGTGCTCAAGCTAGGTAGTTTAATGATCACCCCATAGGTAAAATTATAAAGATACTAAAAATAACTGTTTGGTAGATATACCCCAAAGAACAAAAATATGCATGCGTTTTGTATGCATGTATTCTTTGGGGGTATATAAGAGCAAGCAAAAGCTGCATTTCTTATGAACTACAGCCTTTGCAAGCCCTCACCTTTTTCCCCGAAGATACTTCTAGTCATACTTCTCAATGAAAAGCCTCTTAACCTATCCTCCGTGCATGCATGCGCATTTGCTTGGGTGCGTTCACCTGCTTGTGGAAACACACAGCATTCTGATCTGAGGAACTCTCTGACCTGTTCAACTTGTAATTTTTTTTACGGGGCCCCCACCTTAGCTGACAGCTTGTTTAATGTGCATGCATGAACTACAGGGATCACAAATGCCTTTGGAGGGCCTCCAGTGGTTTAATTAAACCTATGTAGAACCTCAGGACTGCACAAGAGGATCCATGACTGGATGCTGGATGGTGGTGAATAGTGAGCTAGACACGCCAAAAAAACAAAGAAGGTCAGAGCTTTCCTTAAATGCTTTATATTTTTAAATGCCAACCCCCATTTCAGCACATAAAGGGTTTAAATCAATTAAACTCACTTTTATTCCAGTGATGGATCCACCTCCTATTAGTGAGTAATCATCATTACTTTTAACCTGTATCCAAAACACTTCTCATTGAAGTACTGGGAAAAATCCAACAATGTTTCTTACAGAGAAACCACTTTGAACTATAGTTCAAAGTGAATGAGGCAGGAAATCCTTCTGCCCATTTGCTTTATAAAATAGTATTTTTCTTCTTCTTAAAATCTGCTTTTATGGGGCGGAGCCTAGCAGTGAACCTGGGCGGTTGCATGTTCTCTGTGCTCCGTACAACGCTACCCAATAAACTTGGGGAGAAAGCGGCCATATAAACTAGCTGAAAACAGCCCCCTGACTGCAGGATCAAATATGGTCCGTGAAAACTAAAAACCCAAGCCAGACAAGAGCCCACTGAGCCAAAATATTGGCAACCTATTCCGCAGCTCACAGAGGGCCAAACGGAACAATATGGGGCTTGCGAACGAGGGCTCTTCATACTCCTCAGATGACATGGCTATTGCCCAGATGGAAAGAGCCGCGCTCACCATGAAGCAGGGTCATGCCCCACTGGAGGCGGCGGCGGGCCCAACTTAAAGCGATGTTGGCTGACCTATGTGCGAACATAGCGGGAGATTTAGCCCCCTTCAAAAAGGCCGTTGAAAGTACGACCGTTAAAATGGCCCAACTCGAAACCACCCAGAGCGCTCATGACAGCCGGCTTGGTGGTGGAGAAAGTCCTGGCTTCCCTTGATCAGCACCAACTAAAGATTGACCGCAGGATTGATGTCCTGGAAGATCAGAAGCAAAGATATAATTTGAAACTCAGGGGGGTGCCGGAAACAGTGTGACTGCCAGACTTTCCTCACTTTATCAGACGGTTCTTTGCGGCCCACCTACTACAGAAACACGCCAAGACCATGAAGCTAGACGGTATGTTCCGTCTCACTAAGCCTCCCGGGGCATCGCCCTCCACCATTACGAACCTCATCCTCCGATTCAGTTCCTTACAGGACAAGGCCCTCCTACAAGCCGCGGTGAGAGGAAAGACACCCAATTACCTTTGAGGGCACCTCACTACTTCTATTCTCCTGTGGCGCCGGTCCCTGCGTCCACTGCTCCAACAGCTACGCACTAAAGAGGTGCCATATTGATGGTGCTCTTCCCACATGGTCCTAATTTTTTTTCTCCTTCAAAATTAACGAAAGTTACATTGTAACACTGATATCTGTCAGGAATCCCTGAATAACCAGTCACATGTATATATTGTTTTAAAATCAAAGAAGCCCAAGCCGGATAACCCAAGACAGGGCCCAAACATAGCGGAACTCCTACGCCAAACACAGGGGGCGTCCAGGCCTAAAATGGCAGCTTACGTGGAGACCTTCTCTGAACTCTCCGATGACTTCTCATCGGGAGAAGAGGCTGTAGATCTCCCCCTGGAGCCAGCGCCGGGGACAGCGATCCGGAGGGCAACACCTTGCCAGTGACGACGGCAGTTTTGAAATCACTGGTTGCCGATCTCCAACGAACCCTTCACTCGGACGTGGCATCCCTCCGGGCCGACATCCACGGCTTAACAGGGAGAATCGGTACCCGACTGAGACAGAATCCACTGGCCACACTTTCCAAATAGCGGCTCTGCAACTGGAGGTACAAGACCTTAAAAGCCAAAACGAAGGGCACGAGCGCCGGTTCACGGCACTCGAGGACGCAGGGCGGGCCAATAACTTAAAAATCCGAGGCATCCCGGAGGACACTCCTGAGGAGGAAATGCCACACATATTGAGGCGCCTGCTGATGGCCCTGCTACCGCCATGATAAGCCAAGACAGTGCAGTTGGACATTTTTTTCCGTGCCCCAAGACCAGCTAAGGCACCCACTGAGACACCCCGAGATCTTATCATACGATTTCAGCGCCACAAAGACAAGATGGCGGTTGTGGTTTCGACCAGGGAAAACTCACCTTACCAGTTCGAAATGATGGATTTATCATTCTACACAGACCTCACTGGGAGCACACTTGCTTGGAGAAGATCCCTCAAGCCCTTCACCACGCTGCTAAGGCAGAACAACATACCATACAAGTGGTTGATGACCCAAGCTCTATGGCTCCAGAAGGGAGAAACCAAGCACACAGTAAGCACCCTCACAGAAACAGCGGTGCTGCTACACATCCTGGGCCTGCCAAAAGACTCTCTACACCCCGCTGCGACTCAAAGCGCTACCACCTCGACGCACAAATGGAACCCTGATCGGGTGACCCCCTTCGTCCCAAGAGGACCGACCCTGGAACAACTGGAAGCGGCAACAACCTGAAACGGGCAGGCGGGAGCTGCCACCTTAAGGACACTCTGCTAGTTCACAAGTTATTATAAGTTATCAGTTTTAAACGTTAACCCATTACTGTTTTGATGTTACCATGACGACCTACCCTACTCGCAATTCATCCGACTAACTGGCCCGCGGGCCATGTATCACTACCCCCCACCTGACAGTATCTTAGCAGGGAACACGCAACCTAACCTGACAGAGCCATGCGTAATATTAAGCATAGCGCGACATGACCTCCCACTATAGGGAGCATGTCACTTGAGCGCAACACACTAATGTACTACCTGGGATATACTAGGCACACCTAATGATCAAGATACGGGCGTACCCGCACACACACCAAGCATACTGAATGGTACACCCAAGTCTTACCTAGCCAGGTGCACAACAGCGATGATAAGCTCCTACAAAACACCAGGCACGTACTCCAAGCTATTGAGACGATCCTGTTTACCGCGACCAAAATGTGCAAGATATGACAGGCCATGCAAATGTTATTGAATGTCTAATGCTCAGTTGCACACGCTGTTGTGGCAGTGCGACCCTATGTGTTACAGTATGCACAACCAAAATAAAGAATTTCAAAAAAGAATACATGTACTTAAGGGTTACTGCCAAAGAACACCCCAATAAGTGTTCAGCAACATCTCCTGAGTACAGCGATACCACCCATGTATAGGTGTGTTGGGTTCTCTGGGGCTAAAAGACCTTATTTGGAGGGTGCGCATTTCAGTTTTCCAACTTGGAATTTTAACAGCTGGTCATTATGCACGCATGTCCTATTTGGAATGCAAATTATTCGAAAGGGGCCAATAAACTTAGGTGCAAACTTCATGCTAGGAACCTTGAGTTTAATATTGCGTGTGGAGGGCCATATCCTGCCATCCACCTGGTAACCAGGGTTGGCAACACGCCTCTTATCAGCATGCATTTTCCAAAGCCGTGTGGACCTTAGTCAAAGTCTCATGTATACATGTGAGATGGTCATCCAGAATGAGAATAGCAGTGTCAGAGAATACCGCAGGGAGGACAGTAGGGCGAATTCGGCCCATGGTAGTAAATCAGACCAGTTTTCTTGAATGCCATTGGTTTGAGGATGGTATGATGATGAAAATGCTAATTCTATACCCAACTGTTTATTAAATGCTCTCCAAAATCGTGATACAAATTGGGAACCCCTGTCTGACACAGTATTAGGCGGAATACCATGTAATCTGACTATTTCGCGTATAAATATATGAGCCAGCTCTTGGGAAGAAGGCATCTTTTTGAGCGGAACAAAGTGTGCCATTTTAGAAAAGCGGTCAACAACCATTAGGATGGTGTTATAGTCTTTAGAAATCGAGAGTTCAACAATAAAGTCCATAGACAAATGAGACCATTGAACACTGGGTATAGGAAGCGGTTGCAATAACCCACAAGGTAGTTTATGGGGAACCTTAGAAACCCGCACAAATAGTACATGGCTCCACATACTCTCTGATGTCCTTTCTAAGAGATGGCCACCAAAAGGATCTAGAGACAACGGACACCATTTTATTAATGCCTGGATGTCCAGCTGTCACATTGTCGTGGAACACTCTTAGTACCTCCTTCTTTCCAGTAACGGAATAAACCTATCTAGAGGTTTATCACTATGTGCCTGAGTCTGGGCTGCCATTATAGCACAAACAAGCAGAGAAGACAAGGAAAGAACTGTGGAGGCAATGATACAGTCAGGTGGTATAATGGGAAAGGTCTCTTGTTCTTGTTCTGCCTCTAGGTCAAATTGCCTAGATAGGATGTCAGCCTTAATGTTCTTAGGACCTGGTATGTATGTGATTATAAAGTTAAAGCGTGACAAGAACAACAACATTTGTTCGGAGGGTGTGGCCACACCCAGGAGGTAGCTAGCGCGTGACGCTGGCGGGAAATGGCAGAGGTTGGCGGTCAGACGAGCAGCCTAAGTGTCTAAAATGTCAGAGAATGCAGCCGGATTGCAACCGGAGTATGCAGGACACAGGACGTGCTCCTTCAGCCTAGCTCTATTGAGGAGGTGAACGCAGTGGATGAAGTCCCTTACAGTGTGTGGTGCCGTGATAAGGATCCATAGAGGGCTTCGAAGGATCAGCTGTTTGTATGAGGTGACTCTGGGAAGCACTGGACTATTTAAAAAGTAAGCTCTGTGTTGTCCCATGTGAGCTATCTTCCTCCATCAATACAAACAAGTTGAACAGAGCTATAAGGCCGGAAGTGACGAAGGATTAAAAGCTGTTAAAGGTAAAGGACAGAGGAAGGGGGAAGGAGGAGGAAGTATTATGTAAAGCAATTTTGATGGGGGAAAAAAAAAAAAACTGTGAGAGATAACAGGTAAAGATAAAGTAAAGTCAGGAGCCGGGAGGGGAGAAGAAAGAAAGGAGAAAGTGTAAAGAAGGTGAAGAAGGGGGGGGTTAGATTTCTACCCAAATTTAATTCTGCCCAACGTATCCCCAAACGCATATGCCCTGGTTTCCTGCTATTAATTACTCTCCCTTGAGGAGTAAATTGTCATCAGCCTCCGGTGCCGTTTAAAAATAAAAGTCTGCTGAAGAAGCTTGCTGAGTTAGACATCACCGTTACATATTTTTTGCCTGATTCTAGGTTGAAGAAACGGATTAAAAGTGACCTCTCAATATTACGGCCATAAGGAGGCGTTTTTTTATTTTATTTTTTTACTAGTATTAATAGACCTTTAAGTGACTGTGGAGCAACAGCAGAAAAGGATAAAGCTGCGCTACCCTAGTCCGCATTAAATTGCTGTTGACTTTGAAACACAGACATCAAGTGGATATAAAAGTAGTTAATTGTTATGTTAAATTTGATTTCGCTTCATTTTCGTTGGGAAGCTGAGATATAAAAGGGACATTTTCTCTGGACCAATTGGTCTATTTGATTTTTCAGGTGTGTCTGAAAGGACAATCTCAGCCTCATCAAATTACAGGTTTATAGGATATCGATATAAATTGGAGATCCGAAAGGAACGATTCAAGCTACATAGATTTAATGTTGTCCAGGACTATTGTATATATAATAAGTCAGTAGTTCTGGCAGTCGTTCTAGCAGAAAGTGGCCGAACCATAATTTAATTGTTTTTGAGTTTTTTCCTTTTTTTCCCCTGTTTTATTTCGTCTTCTGAGGTGATTTAGGTTATCGGTTTTCACAATCAGAATCTTTGGTCTGCTTGTGTGGTTTATAGTCAATATTGTGCTCTAAACTGTCACTTTCGAAAGAGAGGACCAAATGAAAAACAAGCAAAACCTAAGCACAAAGGGTAAAGGTAAAGGCAAAGAAAAGGAGAAAGATAATGGAAACCCGACAAGTAACTTCTTTAGCCCAATCAATAAACGTCAAAATTCTGAGGAGTCAGCATTTACATCAGGGATGAAAAAAGAACTAGAACATTCAGATAATTTACTGACATCAGCCGAGTCATCCTTAGTAGATGAGCCAGTAGAGGTAGATAGTCATAGAGAAGTACAGCTCATGATAGCTACCATAAAAGTAGTAATGATAGATCTATTGAAAGACCTAAAGAGCTCTATGGTGCAGGAAATTACTAGGGAGATTGCTAAAAACTCAAAAGATATAAATGCCCTCTCAAAGAAAGTAATAGATGTGGGCATTCAACAAGCACACTTGATAGAATCACAAAATCATTCTAATTTGGAAATACAGAAATTAAGAGAGGAGCTTTCGGGTTTGAAACAGAAATATAGCAGATTGGAGAGCCTCTCTAGACAAAATAATATTTGCATAAGAGGGATACCTGAAAGGGTGGGGCAGACCGATTTCCTAAGCTATGTGATAACATTTTTGAACTTTTTTGTTAACTTAGATTTGGAGAGGACCCAGATGCTAGATAGAGTTTATAGACTCCCCCTATCACGTAACATTTCAAGGGATTTACCGCGAGATGTGATCGGTAAATTACACCTCTATACTGTGAAACAAAAAATATTACAGAAAGCCTTTCGAATGTAAAATTTTTGATGCTCCTTATGAACAATTAAAACATTTTCTGGATATATCAGGAGAAGTGATGATGGAACGTAAAGAATTTAGAATGATAACAAAAGTCTTAAGAGATAAGAATGTCTCTTATAAATGGGGCTTTCCAACCAGATTAATCATTAAAACTGGTACAGAGTTTGAAGTAATTAACTCTCCACAAGAGGGGGAAAAACTTCTCAAAGATATAGTCTCGTTGGGGACTGCTTAAGATATGGTCTCATTGAGATAATTGGGAGAGGGGATAGAATTAGCATTTGGCACTGTGTATAGAGCTCTGCATTCTGGGTGTTAAAGGATGTTTATGGGCAAAAAAAATTTTTAGATCACTTTTAAGATTAGAGATAATTGAATGGTTCACAATTTATTTGAAAATAGTAAACAATGAGTTAGCCTCACTGGGATAAGTGATATAGGATTTAAGAGGTTTGGCTTTTGGACAGAATTAAACTATTGGAATGCAAATTTAGTATTGGTAGACATGTAAATTCACATTAAAGTTCCCACTAAATTTAAATTAAGGTTCTATAGAATGGCCCCAAAAGGGCCCTTATGGGTCTAAATGTAAAGGCACATATTATATCAGAGCGAATATTATTTACTCTTTTGCACTGGATAATTATATAATATGAGAAGGCATATTTATTAAATGCCTACCACAAATTAGAAGGAGTTTTTATAGAAGATATGTTGGTATCGAAAATATTTGGAATTGTATTTGTATATTATGGCACTTTCACCGGTTTGTTGATCACAGTGGGTAACTCCCAGGAATGATAGCCAATCTTTGTTTTATCCCCCCCTGACTACCCGAATGAGCTTTTTGGTTAACGTAGTGATACTGTTTACAAAAGTGTTTATATGGCCTTCCTCACGTATAGAGGTAAAAAGAAGGGGTGCTCAGAGGGTAGAATATGACAGGGAGGGGTTTTTACCCTTTGGGTTTTGTATAAAGGGACATTTTTCTCTCTTACTTCCCCTTCTTCCTCTTGCTTGTCAGGTTCGGTCTTGGCCTTTTGGGTCCCTCTGTAGTGTTGGCTCTATTAGTTCCGTAGATTAATTTTACTTATATTGATAAGAAGGGCTGATCTTAAGGCTGCTGCTGATGAGGACTATAAAGATGATAGGCAAATCTGATTAGAGACCTTCGCCAAGGTCTCGAACTCAGGTAGTTCGACGAAACTTAGATTTATCTGCCACTTCTCAAGGAGGTAGAGTGAGAGGTGGGATTTCTCTAGGTAAGTAGATCATCACAAAAGGGGATTGTATCACATCCATTTTTTATTTTTTGGATGAATGGGTGTGAATGTATAGGTTATGTTATTTGGGAGGTTCCAAGGTATGGGGGGGGTGGGATGGTGTGGATGGAGGAGGGTTAGAAGGCCCTTGTAGTCGTGGAGGGTTTACCTCTCTATGACTCTTAGGATTATTAGCCAAAATGTCCAGGGTTTAAATACAATGGGTAAAAGAAGTATAGCATTCAAGAATCTGTTTAGGGGTAAACCAGATGTTATATGTATTCAAGAAATTCACTGGCAGACCAATAAAATTCCCTTTTTTGGTAATAGATATTATTCTAATCCCTATAGTGCTACTTACTCGAAAGGTAAGTCGAGAGGGGTTTCAATAATATTTAATAAAACAAGACATTGTCATAAGTGATAGAGAATGACGGTATCTACTTTGGGAAGTTCTGATAAACTCTCAGCAATTCACAATTTTGAATATGTATGTTCCTAATAAATGGCAAATTAAATTTATTAGCCAGACAATGAAAGGAATGAAAACATTTAAGGGGACTTTAGTGGTATGTGGCGAATTCAATTTGCCTTTGGATCCATCTATAGATTCTTGTGGCGCAATTTGCCCCATAGGAATGAATGGCAAAGCTAGAGTGGGAGCTGGAAAAGCTGAAAAATCAGGACATGATTTCTAAACTGCCACCACTCCCTTATTTTCAGGCCCACCTACACAAATCTTATATCAAAACGTTCAGCTATCCCTGCTGCCACTAAACATGTCAACGGCTAAGCCATAGTCCTGATAGTTTTCAAGATATAATCATTTGTTTGCAACTAACGCCGTCCATTGACATTCATTGAAACTTCACTCTACAAAGCTCAAATTTGAAGTGCAATTTCTAAACTGCAACTGTGCCTTCATTTTTAATACTTCAGAGACATACTATGCATCAAAATGTAGGTCTGGGTCTTGTGATTCTCACAATATAAAGCTCTTCGTTGTAGGATTTATAGTTTTTAAAATACGACCGTTTGAAGATGGCAACCGCCAAAATACTCTGACCTGTGTCAGGCTGCAGCAGCAAGTGATGTCATAGACAGGGCCTTTTGAACACCTGCTAATGTTTTTATAAATGTATGGTTTAATGTAACTGTGTAACAACGTTGCAATTAAATGTGCTATGTAAATGATAACAGTTACTCCGCCCACTCCAGTTGTAGACTACAGGTGGAGGCAAGAACACTTCACACAATTTCCCAGAAATTGTAACTTTTCTAGTTATTATTATTCTTATTATAGCAAAATTTGCCACCCTAACTCCTCCCACAGTTTTTACACTACATAGACAAAAATTTACCAAAACGTGCAGATTGTTCCCGATCGGATTGTTATTACTTTGTGGAACGCTCAGTTTTTAAAATACGACCGTTTGAAGATGGCAACCGCCAAAATACTCTGACCTGTGTCAGGCTGCAGCAGCAAGTGATGTCATAGACAGGGCCTTTTGAACACCTGCTAATGTTTTTATAAATGTATGGTTTAATGTAACTGTGCAACAACGTTGCAATTAAATGTGCTATGTAAATGATAACAGTTACTCCGCCCACTCCAGTTGTAGACTACAGGTGGAGGCAAGAACACTTCACACAATTTCCCCAGAAATTGTACTTTTCTAGTTAAGTGTTCTTGCATAGCAAGACCACTTAATGTTATCTCACATATATATTATTATTATTATTATTATAGCAAAATTTGCCACCCTAACTCCTCCCACAGTTTTTACACTACACAGACAAAAATTTACCAAAACGTGCAGATTGTTCCCGATCGGATTGCTATTACTTTGTGGAACGTTTTGCCGAATGGTTCACGGAATATCGTCGTTCTTGTGGCGAAATTTGTCCCATAGGAATGAATTGCAAAGCTAGAGTGGGAGCTGGCAAAAGCTGAAAAATCAGGACATGATTTCTAAACTGCCACCACTCCCTTATTTTCAGGCCCACCTACACAAATCTTATATCAAAACGTTCAGCTATCCCTGCTGCCACTAAACATGTCAACGGCTAAGCCATAGTCCTGATAGTTTTCACAATATAACAATTTGTTTGCAACTAACGCCGCCCATTGACATTCATTGAAACTTCACTCTACAAAGCTCAAATTTGAAGTGCAATTTCTAAACTGCAACTGTGCCTTCATTTTTAATACTTCAGAGACATACTATGCATCAAAATGTAGGTCTGGGTCTTGTGATTCTCACAATATAAAGCGCTTTGCTGTAGGATTTATAGTTTTTAACCCCTTCTGACCGGAGGACGTACAATTACGCCCTATTTTAGGCGGCTCTAAACGCCGCCGGGCGCAATTGTACGCCCTCCGGTTTTTGTTCACTTACCCGGTCGCCGGCGGTCCCACGCCGGCGATCGCGGTGGGGGGGGGGACTCCCAGGGAGCCCCCCCGCGGCAGATCCTTCTCCTCCGGTGCTCCCCGGCCATGTGAGAGTGGGGTCCTAGCGAGGACCCCACAATCACATGGCCGGGTAGGCTGCCTCCTGCATTGCCAGCAGGGGGGCTGCCTGTAATGACAGGTGGTCCCCCTGCTGGCTGAAAATAAAATGAAAATAAAATTTGTTAGTGTAAAAAAAATAATATATATATATACTTAGATCATATATATATTATATATATATATGAAATAAGTATATATATACACACATATACATACACACACGTACACCGTGTAGGTGTATTTTACTATTAATATATACATAATTATATTATATATATATATATATATATATATATATATATATTAATATCAAATTACACGTAGACTGATACTGATTAAATATATATAATTATTGTTATATATATATTTATATATAATATAAAAAAATTAAATATGTAAATACGTTAAAAAATAAAATAAAAAAAAATTAAAAAGAAATAATTAAAAAATATATAGATGTGTGTTATTTCGTTCTAACTGTATTGTGAAATGAATATATATATATATATCAAAATACACGTAGAACGAAATAATATATATATCTATATACATAAATATATACGTATATATCACTATATATAAATAAAAATATTTTTAAAAAATTATATAGATATATACACAAAGATGGGGTACATTGACGTTGTGGCAGGCTTATGCAATGTTTGATCATATAATGTAACTAAACCCCCATTATTTTTGCCTAGATTAGGTGTTTTTAAAAAAACAAATAAAATCTTTCAACATTGAAGTTGCTGTTTAGTGGATAGGTGAGTGCGCTGGATCTTGTGTATTGTATTATTTGGCCCCCAGCAGCACCCCATTTATGCATGTTAAGGTGAGTGCAGCCAACCCCCTCTTGTTTTATATATTTGGGAGTCTAGCCAACTCCTTGGTTTTGCACCCCTCCCTGTCACAGGTGCCTCATCCCAGGGCCCTATTTAGCCTTGTACTGCAGAGAGCCCCAGATGGAATTTCTTTCCCCAAGTAGGTTAATCTCATAAGAGCAGACATTAGGCTGTTAGTGTAGGACCTGCCAAAGATGGGGTACATTGGATGGTGGTAGGCTTATGCAATGTATGATCATATAATGTAACTAAACTCCCCATTATTTTTGCCTCAGATTAGGTGTTTTTAAAAACAAATAAAAATCTTTCAAATATTGAAGTTGTTGTTTAGTGGATAGGTGGAGTGCTTGGATCTTGTGTATTTTATATATATATATATATATATATATATATATATATATATATATACACACATATATATACATATATATATACACACACACACACACACACACACACATACATATACACACACACACACACACACATATTAATTCTACATATATATTTATGTAATATTTTTACATAATTAGGTATCTTAATTAATTACAATTAGCGGGACCTGCCTGACAACCCATGCGAAAGTAAAGGGAATTTAATTTGCTAGCACTATATTTAACCCTATAACTTTCCAAGACACCATAAAACCTGTACATGGGGGGTACTGTTCTACTCGGGAGACTTCGCTGAACACAAATATTAGTGTTTCAAAACAGTAAAATGTATTACAACGATGATATCGCCAGTAAAAGTGACGTTTTTTGCATTTTTCACGCACAAACAGCACTTACACGGACGATATTATTGCTGTGATACTTTTTACTGTTTTGAAACACAAATATTTGTGTTCAGTGGTCTCCCGAAGTACAACGGTAATTTCATGTGTTTATGCTCTTTATGGGCTAGTTACAGCGTCAAATATAAGGCTTATGCTTTCATTTTTTTCACATTAAAATTCGCCAGATTGGTTACGTTGCCTTTGAGACCTTATGGTAGCCCAAGATTGAAAATTACCCCTATGATGGCATACCATTTGCAATAGTAGACAACCCAAGGTATTGCAAATGGGGTATGTCCAGTCTTTTTTAGTAGCCACTTAGTCACAAACACTGGCCAAAATTGGTGTTTTTTGCATTTTTAACACACAAACAAATACTAACGCTGACTTTGGCCAGTGTTTGTGACCAAATGGCTACTAAAAAAGACTGGACATACCCCATTTGCAATACCTTGGGTTGTCTACTATTGCAAATGGCATGCCATTATGGGTGTAAATTTCATTCCCGGGCTACTATACAGTCTCAAAGGCAACGTAACCAATCTGGTGAATTTCAATTTCAAATGTAACGTGCTATATTTGACCCTGTAACTTCCCAAAACGCCATAAAACCTGTACATAGGGGGTACTGTCTTACACGTGAGACTTTGCTGAATACAAATATGTGTATTTTATTGCAGTAAAAGCAAACAGTATTATGACATTGACCGTTAAAATGTCATGTAGAACAAAAAAAATAAAAAATAAAAAAAATCGTATTTTCTCCCATTTTTTTCCATATTAAATTATGTTTCATAGCTAAATATTTGATATTAAATGAAAGCCCTGTTTCCCCTGAATAAAATGATATATAATAAGGGTGGGTGCATCTACTATGAAAGAGGTGAATTACGGTTGGACAGACATGTAGCGCAAATTCCAGGTTTTGTTTACATTTTTTTGGTTCACAACGTGTACATTTGGCTCCGTCCTTAAGGGGTTAAAATACGACCGTTTGAAGATGGCAACCGCCAAAATACTCTGACCTGTGCCAGGCTGCAGCAGCAAGTGATGTCATAGACAGGGCCTTTTGAACACCTGCTAATGTTTTTATAAATGTATGGTTTAATGTAACTGTGCAACAACGTTGCAATTAAATGTGCTATATAAATGATAACAGTTACTCCGCCCACTCCAGTTGTAGACTACTGGTGGAGGCAAGAACACTTCACACAATTTCCCCAGAAATTGTAGATTTTCTAGTTTAAATATAACCTTTATGATACATGGAGAACGTTGCACCCACCTGAGAGGGGCTATTCATTCTTTTCACACAGACATAGAATGTATAGTAGATTGGATTATATTTTTGTGGATGGGCAGGGTATTTCTAATATTAGACACTCAGAAATAGGGGTGATTATGTGGTCTGATCATGGGTTGATTGGAGTAAGTTTGGGAAGAGATCCTCCCGTCAAGAATAAGAGACCATGGAGAATGGACTTAAAATTATTAAAAGATCCTCAAATATAAAAAAAATTTTTAAATGAAACAGATGCATTCTTTTTAAGGAATGACGGTACCGTAAACTCTAAAGAAATAGTATGGCTCTCCTATAAGGCTTATATAAGAGGGATAATGATAAAATCACAATCAATTTTAAAGAAGCAGAGAGGAAAATCATTAAGGGACTTACATATAGAACTTGCTTTAATAGATAGAGAAAATAAAAAATCCCCATCGGATCTGAAGCTTAATAAAATTCGGGATTTACAATCACAAATAAAAAGAATACAGCAACTGCTGGTGGATAAATCGCTGTGGGCTTCACAACAAAGATCATATCATGGTCAAAATAGAGCAGGGCAAATGATGGCTAGTAAGTTGAAACAAAAATCAATTAATGGCAGAATAAATAAGCTTTCACATAATAAAGAATTGTTTGTTAAGCCTGATGATATTGCCGCATGTTCTGAGAGATACTATTATGATCTTTATAATTTTAACCCTTCTCATATAGATGGCAGTGGGAAAAAAAGGAAAATTGTGGAATTTCTAGATAAGATTTTTCTTCCTAGTGTTTCTCAAACTGAGTTGGAAAAGTTAAACAAAGAGATTACGGAAGAGGAAGTTAAATGGGCAATTTCAAAACTGAGATTTGGCTCAGCTCCGGGACCGGATGGCCTAATTAATCAATATTATTCACTTTGCCAAGAGGAGATCTCTGGTTATTTGTGTCAAACATTAAATGAAATTAAGAAGGCAGGTCGAGCTTGTCCAGAAATGTTGGAGGCTCAAATAATAACTATTCCTACAACAAATAAGTTAACCCCTGAATGTAAGGATTTTAGACCTATATCCTTATTTAATGTGGGTATTAAGATCTATGCCAAAATTTTGGCGGAAAGATTAAATAAATATATCCACAATCTGATCAACTCTGATCAAACTGGTTTTATTCAGGGTAGACTGGGTTCCTACAATATTAGGAAACATTTGAGATTAATTTCAGTGGTTAAAAAAAAAAAAAAAAAAAGCAGTATTTGTGGGACGTGATGCTGAGAAAGCATTTGACAGGGTGGATTGAGACTTTATGTTCCTCACCCTGTCAAAATATGGATTAGGTGATTTTGCCTCTAAGGCGATAGCTGCCCTATATACATCTCCCACTGCGAGTGTTATTGGTCAAAACTTTCGATCTGGAAGGTTTGCCATCTCAAATGGCACTAGGCAAGGTTGCCCTCTGTCCCCATTAACTTTTGCCTTGATTATTGAGCCATTGGCGTCTGCGATAAGGGAATCGATAGATATAACGGGGATTGTGGAAAACCGAAAATTTCATGCAATAGTCCTCGGATGATGTTATATTAACTATAGAAAACCCGATTAAAACCCTCAGAGCTCTTCAAGAGATTATAAATGAATATACAGGGAGTGCAGAATTATTAGGCAAGTTGTATTTTTGAGGATTAATTTTATTATTGAACAACAACCACCATGTTCTCAATGAACCCAAAAAACTCATTAATATCAAAGCTGAATATTTTTGGAAGTAGTTTTTAGTTTGTTTTTAGTTTTAGCTATGTTAGGGGGATATCTGTGTGTGCAGGTGACTATTACTGTGCATAATTATTAGGCAACTTAACAAAAAAACAAATATATACCCATTTCAATTATTTATTATTACCAGTGAAACCAATATAACATCTCAACATTCACAAATATACATTTCTGACATTCAAAAACAAAACAAAAACTAATCAGTGACCAATATAGCCATCTTTCTTTGCAAGGACACTCAAAAGCCTGCCATCCATGGATTCTTTCAGTGTTTTGATCTGTTCACCATCAACATTGCGTGCAGCAGCAACCACAGCCTCCCAGACACTGTTCAGAGAGGTGTACTGTTTTCCCTCCTTGTAAATCTCACATTTTGATGATGGACCACAGGTTCTCAATGGGGTTCAGATCAGGTGAACAAGGAGGCCATGTCATTAGATTTTCTTCTTTTATACCCTTTCTTGCCAGCCACGCTGTGGAGTACTTGGACGCGTGTGATGGAGCATTGTCCTACATGAAAATCATGTTTTTCTTGAAGGATGCAGATTTCTTCCTGTACCACTGCTTGAAGAAGGTGTCTTCCAGGAACTGGCAGTAGGACTGGGAGTTGAGCTTGACTCCATCCTCAACCCGAAAAGGCCCCACAAGCTCATCTTTGATGATACCAGCCCAAACCAGTGCTCCACCTCCACCTTGCTGGTGTCTGAGTCGGACTGGAGCTCTCTGCCCTTTACCAATCCAGCCACGGGCCCATCCATCTGGCCCATCAAGACTCACTCTCATTTCATCAGTCCATAAAACCTTAGAAAAATCAGTCTTGAGATATTTCTTGGCCCAGTCTTGACGTTTCAGCTTGTGTGTCTTGTTCAGTGGTGATCATCTTTCAGCCTTTCTTACCTTGGCCATGTCTCTGAGTATTGCACACCTTGTGCTTTTGGGCACTCCAGTGATGTTGCAGCTCTGAAATATGGCCAAACTGGTGGCAAGTGGCATCGTGGCAGCTGCACGCTTGACTTTTCTCAGTTCATGGGCAGTTATTTTGCGCCTTGGTTTTTCCACACGCTTCTTGCGACCCTGTTGACTATTTTGAATGAAACGCTTGATTGTTCGATGATCACGCTTCAGAAGCTTTGCAATTTTAAGAGTGCTGCATCCCTCTGCAAGATATCTCACTATTTTTGACTTTTCTGAGCCTGTCAAGTCCTTCTTTTGACCCATTTTGCCAAAGGAAAGGAAGTTGCCTAATAATTATGCACACCTGATATAGGGTGTTGATGTCATTAGACCACACCCTTCTCATTACAGAGATGCACATCACCTAATATGCTTAATTGGTAGTAGGCTTTCGAGCCTATACAGCTTGGAGTAAGGCAACATGCATAAAGAGGATGATGTGGTCAAAATACTCATTTGCCTAATAATTCTGCACTCCCTGTAGTGTAATATCCAATTATAAATTAAATGTAAAAAAAATCTGAAGTGATTTGTTTCAACATGGGGTGGTTCGAGAAACATTCTCTAAGTCAGTTATATCAGTTTAACTGGCATCATTCAATGACTCATTTAGGAATCAAACTGTTTGCTGAAATAAAAAAAAAACTATTACAGTAAACTTCCAATCAGTTTATTCAAATATTACGCACGTGCTAGCCACATGGAGAAATCTTAATATGTTTTTTTTTGTCAGGCAGGATAGCAGCAATTAAGATGACTATATTGCCTAAGATCACTTATATCATGCGCTGCATACCCTGTCAGTGTCCTACCTATTTGTTGAATAGCCTACAGCGGGTGCTTGATGTATTTATCCATCAGAATAAAAGAATACGCATTAAGATACCAATTTTGGTTAAAAACCATTTCTGGTGGAGGGATTGCATATCCAGATATTAAGAAATATCAGGAAGCCTCCCTTTTGGCTCACATGTTGAGTTGGGAAGAAGAGGCCCAAAGTAATAATTGGGCATCTATAGAAGCTTTCCTCTTTAAAGAAATGCACCTGAATTCAATTCTTTTTCGAGATGATTTATCTAGTGGTTTAGTCCATAGAAAAGCTTCGACATTTTGGTACACTCTAAAAAGTTGGTGGAAATTGAATCGTAAATATTCTTTGATTCCATTTCCAAGCTCGATTTCTCCCATCTCATGGATTCAAGAAAAGATTCATTCTCCTCAGTTAGAGATCTTATCAAAAGGAGGATGTAAATATTTGAGAGACTTATATGTAAATGACGTATTTCTCCCATTTGATTATATCCAGTCCAACTTTAATACTCCAACTAGTATGTGGATGGAATATAATAGGTTGAAATCTAGCATTTAATCTTCAAGGTATTGTCTAAAGGAGGTCAGACAGTTGACACCATGTGAAAAAATAATAAGTTCATATGCTTTCAAAATGTTTTAGCCTTTTGAGAGATGGGGGTTTGAATATTAAGTGCTTAAATATGAGAATTTGGGAAAAAGATTTAAATCAATCTTGGCCCTTGGAAATGTGGTTGGGGGCTTCCACTTTAACAGATACATTAATTAAACACCTCTCATGTGCGTCTGAGGTCGTTAACTACCTTTTTTTTGTCAGATGTACCTGGTAGGTCCGCGGTTGAGAAGGGGTTAAAGAAGTCTAAGTATAAATCAGCTATTAGGCGACCTGTGGTAATCATAGATTGATTTGGAAGAGAATTACAAATATATTTTTTTATTAAGCATACTCTAAGCACCAAAACAATTCTAGCTTAAACATGTATTCCTGACACTATAGCTCTAATAATGCCGTTTATGTGTCTAGCCCCACTCCCTGCAGTAAAATGATGATTTACTCACCTTCTTCAAGTGCCATAAGGATCTCAGTCAATCCAATGCCTTCCCATTGAATCAATGCATCTATATGGAGAACGTTCAGTGCCTCCATGCAGTGCTTGAAGACATTGGACATCAGAGCTACACATTGTTCAGTACTGACCCAGGAAGAACCTCCAGTGGAGGCCTGAGTGACTGCCACTATAAGTGTTCCTAGACAGCAATGTGAACACTGCCTTTTCTCTGTAAGGCAATGTTTACATTAAAAAGCCTGCAAAGACAGACACTAAACACCAAAACAACTATATTAACCCGTGCTTTTTGGAGAGAAGGTGCCAGAGACAAAGAGGAACAAATGCTCCCTTAGAGCCAAAGCACACATTGCTCTAGAACTATTTTGGGCATAGGACCACATGTGCGGCTGGTCAGAACTTTACCCTGGTGGCGTTTCCCCTATACTGTATGGATCTGAGCTCTATTTGAAACAACTTGGGTGCTCAGATCAGGTCTGGGGATATAGTACACATGTTTTTATGTTTGGTTCTCTGTACCTGGGAGATAATTAACTTACCGGTATTTAACTAAATTATCTGCCAGACACTGATATCTCTGGATGGGGCTTGTATTGTGTTGTATGAAGATCCCCTGCTGGGGTCTGTGCATAAAAGGCAGAGTTTTGGCTCATTAAAATCAGTTGTACTCCCAGAACTGTGTGTCATCTAGTTACTGGGGAGGGAAAGGGTTATTCATTGCTGAACATCTTGTTCAAGCTCGTGGAGGATTCAGCAGGGAAAGTCCTTGTAAGGACTATAGTCCCAAAGATTGTGTGTCGTCCAGTCCCGGGAAGGAAATAGAGCTATTTCTTTATCCTGTTCCAGGACAGAGAGGCTCCAGGAGGACCCAAGTCAAGCCACAGTGGCTGAGGCAGAAGAATGTCAATTTTCCCCGGTTCCAGCTAGGAAGCAATCCTTGGCGGATGTACCCAGCCAGGGGGAAAAGAGAGCTCCGCTACCTTGTGTATGAACTAATAATATGAAGTATAAAAGTCACAAACTGAAAAAATAATACACACATAATAGTTGCACACAGAGGAAACTGAAAGACACACACACTGGCACAAATACATTCTTTCTCTCTCATAAAAAAACCCCCCAAAATAATAATTTGTGAGTGTAAGTCCACCCAGCTTCCATACCTTTGGGAGAGCTGGAGTGGATCTTTCTGTGTGGTCCAGTGGGGCTCATTTCCGAGGGGTATAGTGTGGCTGCTGTCATATTTGTGCTCTTCCAGCACTGTTCCCTCATGTGCTGGCTAGTGATGCCGGGGTTGAAGTGATGTTATAACCTGACTTCTGGCATCGCCGCAGTGTGCTGAACATAAGTGCTCCCTCGCTGCCCGCCTTCATTCTACCCTCTGGACACAGCACATTCGGGCAGAGTTGGCACCTACTGTCCGTGCAAGCAGGTACCTACTCTGCCTTGGCACATGTACCCCTTGGGGTACACAAATGCACAGGTTGAGAACCTGTGCATTATACCATTGCTTTGTAACAATAAATCGTAAATCAATTATACACTTAACTACAAACTAATTCAAGCAATACATTTAACTACAGATCAGTCCCTCTCCCATTATTTACAAAAAGACCCTTACTGTCATTTAAGTTTCACTAATAGGTGCACACATTTATTGGGAAAGAATGGTATTTTTACAGTTACAATTTAAGGTTATGGAGTAGGAAATAATTCCCCCCTCCTCCCCCCCATTTAAGCAGAAAAAAAATAAACTGCCTTTGCATCTATGGTACATATGCAATAGTGGCACCAACCAAACTGCCTCAAATCCTGCCTAGACTGGCAGTGCCGGTATACCGATCAAGTACCAACCCTAACGGCACAAAGAAACTCTAACTCACTGTAACACTGAGATCATATAATATACAAAGTACGGAGAGAATACTACAAAACACAATTATAAACAGTTGATAGGGTGCTATTCTATAATGGTACTCCCTAAAATACCAATATAATCAATAATAAACAAACACAGAATGCATACCAAAAGACCACAAAAAAGTCTCTCTCTGTATTTATTACATCACAAGTACAAATACCATATTAATACAGCAATAAGTGACTCATTAGGCAAACAATATACAGAAATAAATATTTACCACACTCCACAAGCCTAATCGGGCAGAAACACGAGTCAAAAAACAAAAACCCCCAACGTTTCGGCTCCTCCTGGTAGCCTTTATCTAGCTACCTTGATAAAGGGAACCAGGAGGAGCCGAAACGTTGGGGTTTTTTGTTTTTTGACTCGTGTTTCTGCCCGATTAGGCTTGTGGAGTGTGGTAAATATTTATTTCTGTATATTGTTTGCCTAACGAGTCACTTATTGCTGTATTAATATGGTATTTGTACTTGTGATGTAATAAATACAGATAGAGACTTTTTTGTGGTCTTTTGGTGTGCATTCTGTGTTTATTACTGTAACACTGAGATAACATATTTATAGTGGGTTCCTATAATACTTCCTATTGGTAATAACCCTTAATGTATCCTAACACACCTAAGCAGCAGAGATATAATTAATTTAACACTCTCTGCATTATTTTAAAGACTAAAAAAAACAATGCAAAGTGATCTGTACTAAAGCATGTTATTATGGGATAAATGTAATATCCAACATGAATTGTTTACCTAAATGACACTTTTTAAAACCGAAACTAGTGTGAGGCAAACCATTGCATAGTTTACAAACTAACCTGGATTTTGAAAAATTTGGGGTGCCAGCTGATGTTTCTTCTTTGTAGCAAACGGATAAAGCGTCTGTGTCACTGTGGAATATTTTTGTGTCCTCTGCAGATGACTGTAAAATCTTAAAAAGCAAAATCAAAGACATTGTGGATCGTATTAAAAAAAAATTCACAGTAGAGAGTAAACAGAAAAGGGTCTATTCACTAAACCATACACAGGTCAAAATATTAGAGAGAGAGAGAGAGAGAGAGAGAGAGAGAGAGAGAGAAAATGTATTTTGACCTAGAGTTTGAGATTGTCTTGTGAACTCACTGTTTGGTGAATAAGCCTCAATAAATATGTATGGTCTGTTATAACTTCATGAGGTTCTAGTTACATTATAAAACAAAATATATTCTGAACAGCATAAAACTTTAATAACCTGGTTATGTCTGCCAGGTGTGAGCTTGGTATATCTTTTCAAGGATATACAGGGTGGCCCATAATTCCTTACCCATCCAGCACACAGATACACTGGATATATGGATGGGTAGGGACTTATGGGCAACCCTGTAATTTACAAAAAAAAACATTTTAGTTTAGTTTTTTGGGGAGGGGGGAGGCAGCATTTCCCTGTTATATTGGTTCCTAGAGATGACTTCAGCATGTGACCTCTTTATAACAGATCTTAGAATACCACCTTGAATTGCCCTTCTTTACACATGTCCTAAGCAGATCCTCCTCTAGAACAGACTGATCAGTTCTGGAACCCCACTGTTGTGACTACCATTTCCCATCAAGCACAGCTACTAGAACAGCAGTCCACAGCAGCATTAGAGTCCAGAGTGAGGTAGTACAGCACAGTCACATTTTTTGTCTCTTGCTTTACCACTAACTTCAAGGTTTTAGTGGGTTAGGGTCTGGTTCCAATTACCAACGTTATGAGGTTTAATTAACCAGCGCTTCATAGCACAATAATAATTACAAACCCACCTTCCACCTATGCCAGCTACGCAGCCTAGCCACCTGCTCATGGGAGCCGCCATGACTGTTGTGGATTTGCGAGGACCCTGAAACGTCACTGGGAGAGGCTGTCCTCAGTCTGCCGGTCTTGACAGTAAAACTGAGGGAGGGCACTCTCTATCAATCCTTTAGCTTTCAGAGCAATTGACTCTTGATTTCTAAACCAGTAAACTCTCAGCCCTTTGTGTGTGTATGAATTAATTGAATATGTATAAGTTATTAGACCATAAGGTGTAGATATAATGCTAGAGAGGCTTACCAAACTTTTCATATATTACTGAAACAGAAATTATTATTCTCTAAACTGTACATTATTATAATTATTATTATTAGGTGAATATAGCTGAATTGGAATAATCCCCCAAGTAAGGTATATTTTAATAGGTATCTATCTGTCATGGGGCACACACTTTATTTAACCCCTTAAAGGGACACTTTAGGCACCCAGACCACTTCAAGGGAAATGGTCTGGGTGCAATGTCCCACTTCCCTTAACCCTGAGCATGTAATTATTGAAGTTTCTGGAAACACTGCATTACCTCTCAGTGTTAACGCCACCTCTAGTGGCTGTCTACTTATGATCGCCTAAATGCGTCACCAGAATACCCATAGGAAAGCATTGATTAATGCACATTAGCATGAAGTGGTCATTGTGATAGGTTTCAGCTTTAAACACTGCACATCCAGAGATATAATCACTTTTGTGCTGAGGGCTAGTTATGTCTCTGGCATACTTGACGTGGTTCCCGGCTGCCTAAGGTCAATTCTGTGCAAAAATTACATGTTGTCAGTGCACTGGCGATATATGATATATTTTATGTAGTCCCTTGTGGAATGTGCACCTGCAACATGCAGCTTTCTCTCCCCTCCCTCCGTAGCTAAAATCTCTGTTAAAAAAGAAAATCACTTCTCTCCCCTCGTCAGCTCAGAGCACACACAACAATATGTTTAAAAAAGCGCACCAGGTGGGGGGTGGGTTGGTTAGAGTGACCCAGCAGGAGGGAAGCGCACAGCACTCTCTCCTACCAGTCACTCAGGGTAGCATGGCCGAGTGGAGTGCACCGTGGTACAGGAGCTTGTTTCTTGTACCTGGGCAGACTGACAGAAAGTGCTCACTGGGAGAGTACTTCCTGTCAGTCTGGCCAGGTACAGGAAATTGTAGCTCCTGTACTGCACTCCACTCGGCCACGCTACAAAAGAGGTAGGAAGCATACCAGGTAGGGAGGGGAACACCAGGTAGGGAGGGGAACAGGCCATTAAGGGGAGGAGAGAGAGAAACACTAAGAAACAGGGGGCACTAAATGATAGGGAAGGGAAAATGAATACTAAGGGACAGGGGGAGGGAACCACTAAAAGAGATGGAAGGGAGGGGAGAGGAACACTAAATGGGATGGGTGGGCACTATGAAATTGGTAAGGGGGGAGAGGAACACTAAGGGACAGAGGAGGGAAGGGAAAAGGAACACTAAGGGGAAGGGGGACCGCCAAAGAGAGGGAAGGGAGGGGAGAAGAACACTAAGGAGGGGGGGAGAAACACTAAGGAGGGGGGTGGAGAGGCACTAAAAGACAGGTAAGGGGGGGAGAGGAACACTAAGGGACAGGAGAGGGAGGGTAGAGGAACACAAGAGGGATGGGGGGGACTAAGAGATAGGTAAGGGGGAGGAGGAACACTAAGGGACATGGAGGGGAGAGGAACACTAAGGGACAATGAAGAGGACCACTAATAGACAGGAAGGGGAGAGGAGAGGAACACTAAGGAAAAGGGAGGGCACCACTAAGGGACAGGTAGGGGAGAGGACCACTAAAGGACATGGAGGGGATGCGAGAGGAACACTGAAGGACGTGGAGGGGAGAGTGACACACAGGCTCCAATGGGGGGAAAGACACACAGAGACTTTAGGGGGGGAGAAAGACACACAGATGGGCCTGGTGATGAAAGAGACACACAGAAGGGCCTGGGGGTTCATTCTGTATTGAGATATGTTGACAGCGATCTCTTAAAGCAAGCATGTCAAACTCGCGGGCAGCGTGCGGCATACAATGAATATCTTTGTGGCTGTCGTAGATAAATCAAACATATAAAAGGGTGATTTATCCACGACATGGCCCAGCGAGCCGCGAGTACATGTGTGTGCGTGTGTCTGTCAGTGAGTGTGTCAGTCAGTGTTGTGATTGCTGCGGCTGGTCAGTGGAGGACCTGGAGATGCACGGAGGCACACAATGCCACGTCACATTCTGATGTCGACGTGCTCCACCTTCACAGAGTTTTAAGGAATAGTGGGAGGATCCACTTTGGCACAGGGTGCGGACGGCGCCATCTGGGATATTCCAGAGGCCGGACTCATGAGTTGCATACTGGCAGTGGCAATGTGAGTGAAGTCTGCTTGTTGGCAAATATTTTTTTTTTAAACAAAGGCAGGGGTTTAGTAGAGGAGCGTGCTGGGATTTAATATAGGAGGAGGACTGTGATTTAGAAGAGGGGGGGGGGCTGGGTTTTGTCAGTGTTCAGGCAAAGTTTGTTAATTGATGTTCCGGGATGAACCCGACCTGAACTGGTATCTTGGCGTACGCGTTAATTAGCGAGATCAGCCTAAAACTACCTACATCTAGGGGATCTTTCATCATCATCTCCTAGGACAAGGGCTTCCCCGCTATCGCCGCATTGAACAGGGTGACTAATCTTGACACTAGTACTTCGCCAAATGTCTTGTAATACGCTCCGTGTAAGCCGCCTGGGCCTAGAGTCTTCTGACCCGGGATGGCCGCAATTGCATCAGACACTTCCTCCAGAGTGATATCACGGCCGAGTGACAATTTTTCGTGATCAGCAAGGGTGGGCAAAGACACCAACTGCAGAAATTGCTGTAATTTACCCTCATAGTCTGCGTTCTCTGCTGTATGGGCAGGTGGGTGATTATATAATGAGCCGTAAAAACTTGTGAAGAGGGATGCTATCTCCCCTGGAGTGGTGACCAAACCTTCTCTGGGTGCAGACCGTAATCAGTCTTGAGCGCAACCTGGGTCTCAATGTCCTGGCTAGGTAAGTGTCCATATGGTTGGCATTTTCAAAATAAAATTGGTGGGACCAGGTCATATCGTGGGTGACATAGTCTAGCAGGGCTCGTTTGAGTTCGGTTCGGATCTCCCTCAGAGCTCCCAAGGTCTGCGGATCCGGGTTCGATTTGTGACATTCCTCTGCCCATTGTAAAGCTTCTGCAAATCTGTGATCTTCTGAGTTTTCATTTGTTTTTTATGGGTTGCAAGTCTGGTAAGCAAGCCTCTAATGACCGCCTTATGGGCCCGACCACACCATGGCTGCAGTCACATCCAGCGTTTCATTGAGGAGGATTTACTCACCCAGAGCCGAGGTCAGTTCCGCTACTACTTCCCTATCCTTCAGTAGAGCGTTATTGAGATGCCAAGTCCCTCTAGTCGGAGTTAAAAATCCTCTCAGAGATAGATGTATATCCGCATGGTCTGACCAAGAGCACCTCTTAAGAGGTAAATTTCACAGTTATGTTGGCATAGGTATGGAAACATATTCATAACTAACACATGTAATAAAAAAAGAGCAAAAAGAAAGAAGTAAGGGAGGAAATGAAGGGAGAAGAGAGGAAAAAAGGGAAAAAGAAAAGGGAATGGGAAAAGGAGAAGAAAAAATAGGAGAAACTCGGAATCTTATGTAGATAGAGCTTTTTATTTTTTCTGAGAGTTGGTCCTTCTTATTAAGTATGCTGTACATAGGTAGATCTGGGCTCTGATAGAAAAGAAAACAGATTTATCCTAATAGGAAGAATGTATAGACAAGTGAGCTATCACAAGTAGAGCCTATGGTTCATTAAGTCAAGACAAGAGGGCAAAGTGTATAAAATGACAATGTGACTCTGTTTAGTGCTCTGTGGATGGATTGTATTTTACGTATTTGCTGTATAAATTACGTGGTTGCAAAAGAAAGCATAGGTAAGCAAAACGAAATGAAATCTTCATGCCACATTATGCTGTGTTATGGTCCCTACCTTAAATTAATTTTTATTTTTTATTAAAAAAATTATAATTTTTTTGGTTTTGTCTGTTTGTGGTTTCTTTTTGGTTCTGTTTTTTTCTTCTTTTTTGTGTAAACAACACATTTTCTTTAAGATGATATGATGTTCATGTAGAACAAGCATGTCAAACTCAAAGTGTGGCAAGGGCCACATAAACAAGGTTTAAGTTTATGTGGGCCGCACACACACACACTCACTGACAAACACACACATACTTACTGACACACACACATAATCACTGACAGGCACACACATACTTTTCGCTATTGCTCCTTACCTTATGGAGCAGATAGGGGGCATCTCCCTTGGGTCCTTCCTGCTCCTCACTGCTCCCACGCGCGGTTTAGTGATGCCGGTTGCCGGAATATGACGTTATATGCCGGTGCCCGGCTTCACTTCAGTCGGTGCTAGCGAGGGAGCATTGAGAAGCTGGGACGCTGAGCTCCCTCGCGGCTCTCCTCCCCGGCCGGGTAAATGTTAGCAGAGTAGGTACCTGCAATATTGGGAAAGCAGGTGCCTACTCTGCTATAACACTGAGCATACACTCGCGGCTCGCTGGGCCGCAAGGACTGTCCTTGTGGGCTGAATGAGGCACCGCGGCCCGTGAGTTTGACATGCTTGATGTAGAATAATAGACAACGTAAAATATAGAATATCATGCACAGATTCAGGGATTTCAGATATTGTATTTGCGTACAGTTTTGTATAGTGTGCGTAAATATAGGCTCAATTCAGGATTGTAATACTATGTAATATTAGCAAATTGCATTACCATATTGTGTAACGTACTGTTTTTTGTGTAAAAAAAATAAAAAAATCTAATAAATATGATATATTGAAAAAAAATAAGAAGACAATTTTGCATGTGAATAAAAGTAGCCAGCAAGAAACTTTTTTTGAAAGCAAGATGAGTCCCTTGTGACACTGGCAGAGGTTGAGTTTCCCTGGAGAGGTTAATCTTTGTTGTGTGCGCTTCAAAGCAAACCCCCTGCACATACAGACTCCAGGCACCATCACCTCTACCAATCAGTGAAGTAACACTTTAAATTTTTATATTTCAGATATGTACCCTAACATTGTAGCACTATTAAAACAATTACAAAAAGTGTACGTAACTTAAAGGTCTCTCTATTGTCATTAATACAATATTTCTTCTTTCATATCTCCTTATTTCCTCCCACCCCCTTGCCTGAGTTTTGTCCTGTCTGGGGCAGTACCAATAGAGTTTACATTTATTTTTCGACACTTTTGATAGTAGGGTGGGAAGAACATGTTCATGTTCTGCATGGTATTCTATATATTTTATAGGTAAATAAAATTATTCTGGTGGTGTGGTTTGTAATTTCATGAGATCTGCGACAGTCCAATGTAAAGAGGTATAAACAAACTCCTGGATATTCGAATTCAAAAGTTATAGATCATAACTTTAAGCACTGATGTGAGAATTTCTTTATTAAACAGTTTAAACCCTTAAGGACCAAACTTCTGGAATAAAAGGGAATCATGACATGTCACATGTCCTTAAGGGGTTAAATGAGAACCCGTTTTACCTTCTGCACATTTTACTGTTTGCCATTAGGTTCCTACAGGTTACTGGATTGAGAAGTGTTAATCCATTGTTTATAATTTACTCAACTAAATTAATGCTAAAGGCATAAAAGAAGCAGAGACTTTAATTCAGCAACTGAAATTTTATTATGTTTTAACCAACATGTTTCTTCAAGTTCCTCTCAGATGGAAGAAGCAGCAGTCCACAAGCTAACGGCAAAAGAAGAAGGTGCCACAGCTCCGAGTATATTGACAGGGCATTCCACAGTTTATCTCACCAAAACAGAGCAAAGCCACACTAGATTACAAATGTCCAATAAATAATAGGTTTGGAATTTACAGGATAGCAATACCACACCAATAGTGATTCATTTATCTTCTATTTTAACTTATTCTTTGTTACAAGATGAGGTGACGCAGAACTGATTTTGATTTGATTAATGTTCAAATCATTTTTAAACACCAAAATAATGCACAAAGTCTTGTTTTACAGGTTTTGTTTTTCTGTCATGTGAAACAGGCGACTAATTTGGTCAGTATGATCCTACTCTACAGAACAATGCAACCAGCTGTTGAATGGCAACACATCATCCAAGATGGGAGATGGCCAGGCTATTTTTTTTTTCTTTAAAGTGGAGGACTTAAGGGATTTCTAAAATATATGTAACATTTATTTACTTGACTAAAGTGCAACGTCTTTTTGTATGTGCGTGTGTATACACACACACACCTATAATCTACATGTATTATATACATATACGCACACACCACTAATATATGCAGAACATTCTTTATAATTCATGAATTGAGAAAGACAGATGGATAGAAGTGGTCAACAAGTATTCTGGTGTCTGTTAATGGAACTGTAATTTACAAAATTCTCTGCTATGCTGGAACACTGTTCAGTACCAGATAGAGGATGAGGCTGACCACTCCTGTTATAAAGGACTTACACTCAATTTAAGTGTACTCATATTGTTAATTCCACATAAGTGTCAGTTACATAACAGTGCAAGTCTGCCAATGTTGTATGCCCTTTAGTTACCGAATCTCTTTACACTCGCTAAACCTACACAAGAAAGGAGTCACCTCCAATAATCACACGTTTTGTTGAAGGTGAGACTTATTGTTCAATAACTTTTTGTAGGAACTTGAAGAAACTGAACCAAATGATAATCATAGTGGGTTAAAGTAAACTGAAAGAAATGAAAAAAGTGTTAAGTGATATGGTACACATTCAATTAGCTAATTGATTTGCAAAGTTCAAATCTATAGTCAACAGCAAATTTTTGACTAATAAATCCCTGGCTCTTAATTTTAGCAGATAGTTAAAGAAAATGTGTCCTTTTATTTCATGAATACCTTCAGATCTGCTATAAACCTAGGTAAACATACTCAGATAATATAGTTTTAGAAACTAATATCCATCAGAGAGTAGCAATAACTATGCTTACCCGGACTGTCCTTAAAAAATATATTCCCTCTCCCCATATTAGGAGTTATATGAAAGATATGATTCTGAAAAAGATGAAGTTGCAATAGTTCTCAATGTATAGAGAAATGCTACTATGTATATACTTCTCTGGGACGTGTCCAAAATGATGATTTGTCCATGACATACAAGAAAGATTTGATGGCAGGAGATTGCTTTCGGCTTCAGCTGTAATTTACATTACACATACAGTATATGCATGCACATGCATGTTACACATTGAACTACATACATAAAGTCTAAGAAGCTGCTACATTGTCACTCCGTTGTTCCAACTGAAACAGGTTTTATATTGTTGGGTACGTTGAGTGTGTAGAAGAATGGAATCCACATTGTGCTACTCAGGACTTCATTTTTCAAGTGCTATTAATATATTAAAACATTGGCTAGAGGGGAAATAGCACATATACAATGAGAATGGCAATAAAAACCTACGATTGAGATGAAATTAATAGTTATCACATTTTCAGGATCTCCGGCATCCCATATTTAGATCTTAACTCACTAAGCAGTGAGAACTATATATATAAGTTGCAGAATTTAGGCTAAAATAGCTTAGTTGAAAAAATGTTTTTAAACTGAGCTATTTCCGACTCTGCTATTTTGGCAGTTTGCCACTGGGTTTTCAATTTACGTTAATCTGAAAATATTAGGACAAACTGTTCCATCTCTATAAATAAGGCACCTCAAAATCTAAGACCCAACCGTAACACTTATTTTGATCTACAAATAAGAAAAGGAAATAAAATGGGAAAAAAATGATTTAAAGGGAAACTCCAGTGCCAGGAAAACCATCCGTTTTCCTGGCACTGCAGGTACCCTCTCCCTCCCATCTCCCATCCCCCATCCCAGGTAGCTGAAGGGATGAAAACCCCTTCAGTCACTTACCTGAGACCCCGCCAATGTCCCTCGGCGGTGGTTTCGGGTCAGCGTCGCTCCTCCCAGTAATCGCGTCAGCCGGTGGGCGAGGCTGATCCCGCCGCTGGCTGAGGAAACCTAATGCGCATGCTATCAACGCGGAAGTGCCCTCTTTGCTATCAACGCGTAAGTGCCCTCTAGTGGCTGTCTAGTAGTTAGCCACTAGAGGAGGACTTAACCCTGCAAGGAAATAATTGCAGTTTATAAAAAACTGCAATAATTACAGTTGCAGGGTTAAGGGTAGTGGGAGTTGGTACCCAGACCACTCCAATGGGCAGACGTGGTCTGGGTGCCTGGAGTGTCCCTTTAAGCACTGTCCTAGCTGGGCAATATAAGTGCTTGATATACTTAAAGGAGCAGACAACACAAAAAAGGAAAGAAACAAACAACCAACGATCCTATAGAGCTTCATCAAAAAATGAGAAGATATACTGACATCCCTGCTCTATCAACATGCCAGGTAATAGCAGGAACAGGGTAATAATGGAATATTAATATTTACAAATCAAAGCTGTTTATTTTATGGAATACTTCTCAATTAAAAACTAAACGACTAACTCAAATCCTACAAAATGGATGACGTAAGGCAACAGGTTTCAGTTTTCCCTGCACTGAGTAAAGAAAGTGAATAAAAAAAAAAAAGAAAAAAGTAAGCTTTCTCCTGATTGCTTCCTTTGCCAAGAGGACAGAGAGAGAAAAATGAAAACTAATAAAACTTTGGATCTTCATTTGTAAACATTAATATTCATTGAAAGTACTACACAGGAAGTGCACTGGCTTCCAAATAAATTGACAGGTTGGGGACCATTTCCGGAGTGGATTCTATTTGCGAATGTTTAGAAGAACTACAGCCATCATCACCACAATTCATTTTATGGATTCTGTCTGCCAGATTTTGAAGGAAAGGGTGCAGCATCAAATGGATCAGAGCTGGAAGTTTCTGAAGTCCTGTAAGTTATAGAGGGGATGGGAACAGATCCAGCAACAGAGACTTTTGCAGCCTGAGACACTATTTTGTAAGCAGCAATGGGTTGAGCATCCATGTTTTGTCCATCTTGAGGACTGTAGTGTCGGGAATACTTAGACAATGACTGAGGACGAAAAGGTGTTGTGACAACAGCCCCAAACACAGTTTCTGGTGAAACATCAGATCCTGGGATCCTGTGATTTTCTGCACTGGGTGGGCACTTTAAAGCATTTGTAAACAGAGAGGACTCTGTTGTATCTGTCATTCTGCTGGAATGTGCGTAGAGGTTTCCAGTGGTATAAGAGGTCTTCATCGAAGGTGTGCCCACTGCAGAGTCTACGTTTCGGAATGTAGCATTACCTACCGATGCCACATCAAGGGCTACAAGGGATGGAACAGCATGTGGTGAAATGTTTGGAGATGCTTCTTCTATGCTTATCTTCCTAGAGAAAGGAGCTCTAAGAAAAACATCAGGCTCCTCATTCTGGCCCAATGTAGAGGCTGATTTAGCCACAAAAGGAGCTTTGGTAAAAATATCAGAGTCGTCTTGGGGTACCTTTGAACCTATGAAGGGTGCAGTTGCAAAGATATTTATATCTTGTGCAGACCCTTCTGCAGATCCCAAAGTCACCACTTTTGTTAAATTGTGCACTTGGGAGTTCAGGGTAGTAATTGTCTCTTGGGAAAAAATTTCAAATACTGCATTGTTGATTTTCTTTGAGCCGTCTTCTTCATCAGACTCCATCAACAGAGGTCTTGACCCGCTGCAGTCCAACAGATCTGATTCATGATCAGTGCCTTCTCCTTCACTACTATGAATGGAACTGCTACTGGAGGGCCCCTTTGATGGAGTATCAGTCTTTAACTCTAGAATATGGGTACTATCAACAGACACTGGATATCCTGCAGAACCGAGGATGTTTTGATGCACATCACTTCCAAGTGGAAACGTTTGAGGCTCTCGCTGAAGACCTATAACAATGCAAAAAATAACGCCTTACATTCTTTGCAATATTACCTACACAAATATACAAACTGTTAAAAAAAAAAGTAATACAGTGAAACACATTACTATATTAAGACCATTTAACCAATTATGTACAAGAACATTTTGAATCAACATTAAATTATGGTCCTTACTTAATTACCCTAGCAGGAGAAATCTAGTCACTGTACAGTTCATGAGTCTTTCTTAAATATATCAACATATAGACACATAAATGAGATTGTGTGTATATATATACACACACACATACACACACATATACACACATACTAACACAGATACACACATGCCTACATGTCCATACTAAATCCATACTAGATTTACACATACAATAAACAGTTATAATTGCACGTATGTACAATTAACATGGCTTACCTTGGGGGAAATATTAGCAAGCTAGTGGAATTAGTGACATCAATAAAATGATTAAAGTCAAAGTAAAAAAAAATAAAAAACTGGAGGTAAAAAAAACCACTGTCAAGTATTATTAAAAACAATTTCCAAGAGATAAGAAAGACCCTAGCATGTATTGTTTTAGTCTTTTAAATTACATTTAAAAAATTAAGCTAAATAATAAAATAACCTTGCATATCTGTATTCAGTCTTAAATGTATTAAAGTGTGCATGTAAGCAATGTTAGATAATCATATACCACCTGCACAATGTATAGGTTACAGATACTATAAGCACTAAAACAACTTTAGCTTAATGAAGCGGTTTTGGGGTGTAGACCATGCACCTGCACTCTCTCTGATCAATTATCTGCCATTTAGGAGTTAAATCCCTTTGTTTATACAGTCCCACCCACACCCCACTTGCACAGCCTTCCGAAACACTTCCTGAAAAGGAACCTAGATATTCAAAGTTCAATTTACAGAACATGAGATAAAAACTTCTAAAGCAAGTTAACATGTGATTGAAAATAACACTTTTTTTCATCCAGGTTGTGGGAGTCACTGTCAGGGGAGGTGTGGCTAGGACTGCATAAACAGAAACAAAGCTAGTTTAACTTCTAAATGGCAGAGAATCAAGCAGTGAAACTGTAGGGGCATGACCTATACACCCAATCCGCCTTGTTAAGCTTAAGTTGTTTTGATGCCTATAGTATCCCTTTAAATTATATATCCGGAGAAGATTCAATATCAGGATTATTAGAACCTATAGCCCATTACAGCAGGATGCACATCAAATTAAATCAAGTATATTAATAGCAAATTTAATAGGGTCTCATTATGTCCACTAAAGCAGAGGTTCCTGGTCTATTTTGGACCAAGGCACACTTCAATAAGAGAAATATTTTTAAGGAACAACTACATTTTTCTTTTTACCTTCGTTGGCATCTTCTAAATGTTGATGGATGCCTTAAGAGAGAGAACCTTATTCATTTTAATTAAAGCAAATCTGTCACTTTTTGGGGACATTGCATATTTTGCAAACACCCCCAGAAGTGACATCTCCGGCGATGGTCTGGTGGCTGCGTAGTGTAGGGGAATACAGTTGTACTTACCTGAAACGGTCTCTAGACACACCTTCTCTCTGTGCAGCCATTTCACATCCTGAGGCTGCGTCAGTGATGTACTCTTATGAACGCGTGAGAGTATATCACTGAGGTCTATGGAAGAGCCTGCGAGACCCCTTTATCTGATGGAATCTTTAAATTGGTTTGGAAATTCAGTGAAATTTCAACGCAGTCAGAATCAGTATTTAATCATTTTCATCACTGCATCATCAATTTAAACATTGCATCTGCTGCAATAAAAATTTGCCTTTGCATTGAACCTTTGGAGTGCTCAGACGGCTTTCAATTCTATACAAAAATTGTATCATTATGAAATACTGAAATGTGACAATGCTTTTTTTAATTGCCAGATTGGATCCAAATTCCTAGGTTGAGACTAATTTAAAAAAAAAAACCAATAAAACACATTTTCAGGGTTGCATTCAACCAATCACAGCCCTGAAGTCAGAGTGTCCATGGCACACATTAAGTGGTGTGTGGCACGCCAGTTTGCCATGGCAAACTGTTTGAAACTAACTGCACTATAGACCTAAGAGTTTCCAGCATGGATGGGTTGCATGCTTGTAAATATCTAGTTTACTCACAAAGGTAACAAAGGATAGAAAGAAATCAAACAGGCATCAACATGTGTTCAAATGGCAAGCTTGAGATTTTATTTTCAATTAGCTCTTATCTTACTTTTTTATTTTAAGGTCAATGTTCTACATCAGGGGTTTCCAATCCGTGGTACGCATACCCCCAGGAGTACAAGAACAAAAAATATAATTTAGTAATGGCCGCGGTGCTAGCCGCCGCACGGGCTGGGAACCGCAAATGTGAAGGTCCATCGGGTGGCCCGTGCACTTAGTGCCACCTGGGGCCAGGACACGCATTGGGGCGCTTTAATAGCGTGACCGGGTCCCTTTTAACCTGCACGGAGTGCCAGAGGAGGTGAGTAGGCTGGCTACTTCCTCCCAGCTCAAATAGAATCTGCTGCACGGGACGGGGAGCTACAAGAGGGAGGGAGAGGAGGAGTGAGACTAACACCCATCAGCCCCACCCATGGAAGCCATACTCCAGCACCTACAAGTTAAGAAACTAGAGGGTGGCTAGAATTGTGACCTGAATTGTGTTTGTGTGTATCTGCATGTACGTCAGTGTGTGTGTGCGCAACTGTATGTGTGTCAGTGCTTGAATCTGTGTCTTTGCAACTTGTATCATTATGCAATCATTTCATAATGATAGAAGTTGCAGTGTCTGTGCAGCTGTGTGTCAGTGTTTGCATCTGTGTCTGTGCAGCTTGTGTGTCAGTGTTTGCACCTGAGTCTGTGTATTTGCGTGTATGGAAGTGTGCGTCTATACATCTGTATGTGTATCTGTATATGCTGTGTGCATATGCATGTGCATCAGTGTCTGTATCAGTGCTTGCATCTTTGTCTGTATTTGCATGTATGGAAGTGTGCATCTATACATCTGTGTGCGCATCTGTATGTGCATCAGTGTGTATGTAGCTTGGATCTGTGTGCAACTGTATATGTGTCAGTGTTTGTATCTGTGTGTATATGTATCTGTGTGACTATCATTGCTTGGATCTGTGTGTCTGTACATCTGTATGTTTGTCAGTGTTTGGATCGGTTTATCTGCATGTGTATCAGTATATATGTGCATCTGCATGCATTTCAGTATTTGGATATGCACATCTGTATGTGTGCCAGTGTGTGTATCTGTGTCAATATTTGTATCTTTGTCTGTACATCTGTATTTGTGTTAGTGTTTGTATCTGTGTTTCTATACTTCTGTATGTGTGTCAGTGTGTGTATCAGTGTGTATGTGCAACTCTTTGCATCAATGTATCTGCATGTGAGGCAATGTGTATCTGTACATCTGTATGTGTCAGTATGTGTAGCTGTATGTCTGTATCAGTATCAATATGTAAGTCAGTGTGTGTATCAATGTTTGCATCTCTGTATCTGCATGTGTGTCAGTATGTGCATCAGTGTGCCTGTGCAACTGCATGTGTGTCAGTGTTTGTGTGTCTGTATATCTACATGTGTCATTATGTCTGTGTGTATCTGCATGTGTGTCAGTGTACGTATCTGTGTATCTGAATGCGTGTTTGTTTGTTATTGTATCAGTGTGAGTGTGTCATCATTTGTATCTGTGTGTCTTTACAACTGTATGTGTGTCAGTGTTTGCACCCGTGTGTCTGTGTATCTGCATGTGTGTCATTGTTTGTATCTGTACATCTGTATACGTGGCAGTTGATGCATCTTTATGTAAGCCTGTGTGTCTATCTGTATCTGTGTTTGTATGTGTCAGGATATGTAGCAGTGTGTCTGTACAACTGTATATGTGTCAGTGTTTGAATCTGTGTATGTGTATGCGTGTCGGTGTTTGTATCTGCATGTATATCAGTGTTTGTATCTGTGCACCTGCATGTTTGCCAGTATGTGAATCAATGTGTCTGTACATCTGTATGTGTGTCAATGTGTGTGTATCTGCATGTTTGTCAGTGTTTGTAACTATCTGTATGTGTGTGTTTTTGGATCTGTTTGTCTATGTATCCACGTGTGTGTCAGTGTGTATCTGTTTGAGTGTGTCATTGCATGGATCTGTGTGTTTGTACATTTTTGTGAGTCTGTATCTGTGTATGTGGAGATGTGTTACTTTGTGTGTCGGTTTATCTGAATTTGTGTTGGTATGTCTATCTGCACAATGAGAAGCAGGGAGAGCCTGGGGCAGAAAAACAGGGAGTCTGGGGCAGAGAAAAGCATATAAATTTGAAATAACAGCAACAAACATTTTGCAAATATGAGGGGTACAATTTATGGAAATGGGGTGCCATTAAAATGTTTGGGAATCACTGTTCTACATGTATTTACTGTCAGGGATAGCAACACCACCAACCTATCAATGTACATGTGTGTAATAAATTTTACCTATTCTTTTGTACTGCAGGTGTTTGTGAAACACATTCTATATGGTACTCAAGTAGCCATCAGTTACATTCTGGATGAACATCACTAAAAGTGCAGTTTGCAAATATCTACAGTAAAGATTTTAAAGCGATTGGTGAACAATCCTCCCTCTGCGTGCCACTGAATCATTACCTTGAGAAAAACGAACTAGAGCTCACCCTAAGATGTGTATAAGACTAGAACGAAATGTATCAACAAGGCAAATTGGCCTGTTATCGGTCAAGTGAATGGTAAAGGGACACACCAGACCCTTAAAGCATTTTAGCTTGCCGAAAAGCTTTGTGTGAAAAATGTGTACTTTTTTTAATTTTAGAAATAGGACAGATTTCAATAGAAATTTTCACTTTTATAAAGTATACTTGTTACACCTCCTGGCTTCTCAAGCATAAAACAGGTTATGTTACTTCCTGGTTGGTTAGCTCAGTGAAGCTAAACTCCAGAGGCAGCAAGAGCCCATGGCACCTGCCTTGCTAAGACGTCTCATTGAGCTGCAGTTTTCGAAGTCTGTGATTGGAAAGCCACAGAACATGTAGGCGGTGTTAGAAGGGGAGGGCTTGCAAAGGCAGCAGACGAGATATGCAGTTTTTGCTAGCTGTTTTTAGATAGAACTCCAATGAAAAATTGTATATTAATTTTTTTATTCGGGGTGTATCTACAAAACAGTGATTTTGATTTATTTTGTAATTTGGCAGTGGAGTGTCTCTTTAAGCTACACATTTCAAATCAAAGTTCATTATCTCAGAAGCTTTGAAAATCGAGTGTGCTATGATATGAACCTTGCACCATTACTACTTCAGACAGCTGAAGGAGTTTGTTGCTTACAGAGACCATTTAACCAAAGAATGTGCTTTTTTTTTTAAGCAAAAAACAAAACAACTGTTGGAAGTTATAATTATTCCCTATGGTGCCATCTAGTGGCACATGGGGGCATAAACAACAGGATTAGTACATTATATATCTCTACTTCTAAGTCCTAATTGATTACACATGGCTCAACTAGGCTGCTGTTTGTAGACTCTTTGACTCAGGAGACCATGACTTTCTTGTGGACTAAGGGCACCACCTCCTCTTCAGTGTACAAAATCCACAATTTCCTTCACTTTTGTTTTTCCTCCACTATTTTTCTTTCTAGAATCCCATTTGTTGTTTCATAATGTGTGCATTGGACATCAACTAATCTAATTATGCCTCTTGATCATGTAATGTTTAAATGTCCACTAAATACTGTGATGCCTTTCCATAACTGTGTATGGATTGAAAAAAGTACTTTCAATATATTAAGCTCCATAATCACTTAAGTGTATTATAGTGTTTATGCTAAAGGGACTCACTGTGAACTGTCCATCTGTTTTTTTGTCAAACCACTTTAACTCCCCTCTCACCCACCCCACCCTCCCAAAAAAAAACAACTCAGAACAGATGATTGCCCATTTCCCAAAGCCTCATGTATTCAAAATATTTTTTTCCATTTTTGAGATTTTTTATTACTTAAAGACAAAGATAACATAAATTAAGAAAAGAAAAAAAAATAATATATAGATATATAATAAATTTGGGACCAAAAATATTATTTTAATTTTTTTAAGAGGTAAATGGGGATCCGGCCAAGTTGAATCAATGTTAACCCTTCTGGCAATGTTTTACACACGCTCCCAGTTATCAGATTTAGTTCACACAAGCTACTCACCCAAACAGATTGTTATATGGTGGTTTATGATTTTGTTTCAAATCATAATTTAATACAATATTCTGGACTTCACAAACTAAATTCTGTAAAAAATGTAACAGTCTATGTCTGTAAAGTATTCTGAAGTCACTTGCAGATGTGAAACAAAAATGCCACTATTGACACAAGTACAACATCATGTGGGATCAAAGTGAAATCTGAGTTCAGAAACCATTCTTTAAAATCCTTTAATTCACAGAAATAGATTCTACTATACAATTGGGAAATGTGCAGGATTCATATGCCAGTCATTTTTACATTATCATTATTTTCTTTAATTATTATGAAAACCTAAAGACGAACTGCAATAATTCTGTACTGGAGAAGGCAAATGGACTAAAATAACAGAAATATATTTATATATTTATATATACACAAGTCAAAGATCTACCAATCACTTCACTAAAGTTGTTTGTTTTTTTTTCTACAGCAATGATAAATTCTCTCGAGAAGAGAACAAATTATTTGATACGATATAGAAGAAAGCAAGATTTGTGTATTGGACACAGGTAGAAACCGGGTGTATACAGGAGGTTCTTCGAACACTCAGAAAACTGAGTGTCCTATTTACAGACGTAAACTCCATCACATTGAAGAGGGGTAACCATTAAACAAACAGATAAATTCCACCCTAACAATTTGTACACCTTGTGAATGATGTGCACAGTATACACATATATTTCAAACGCTCCCACTAACCGCTGTACAGACATAGAATATGCTTTTCTTGCAGGAGACATACACGCACCAATACAGCTTTAAACACCAATTTAAAAAATATATATAACAAAAAATAAAATAAAATAATAATACAGAAACCAAAGGAAATAAAATACATAGTAGGGGCAGATATGTTTCCCCAGGTAAAGAAAAATAGTCAGAGGTATTTGCGATTATTGGATATCAAATATACATAGTGCCAATTCTGCAGTTATTAGCACTCAGTCAGCAAAATACTGCAAGTGAATTTTATAGATTTTGTTTTACTCTTTGCAGAGCCAGTATTTTCTTCTAGAATTTTCATTTTATTTACGGTAATTTAAATCTAAGAAACACTTATAAGTGAGGATTAGTATAGCATTGCACCCAACTCTTTTTCTATATTTAAATGCTATTTTATAGAAGATCTTCATTGAATTCAAGGTTAAACTGATTGCACAAACGTGCTGTAGAATATACGGATATATTGATGACATTTTTGTGCTATTTTACTTTTCATTATATTTCATTCTGTAGGGCCAAAAAAAATTAGGATGGCTTAAACAGTTTAGGCGAAAACAGGCATTATATGTATATCTCAAAAAGGAAGATATGTGATACATTACATTTCTTTTACAGACATATGCTTTAGTCACAAATAACCAACATTGATGATATAATGGGTACCCTGTCGGCTCATTTGTGTCTCTGTACATTTAGTTATTAATGCAAACCCCGCATTCACACATATTATAAATCTGTATTTATTTTATTTTGACCCTGCTCTAACCATTTCATTTCATACATTCATAGTAAGGTCATGTAACCTTTAATGTTCTATGATTTTTTCTAAATCAGCTCCAAGCTAGTATACGCTTCACATCCCGAAATCAGGAGAACTTTACAGCAGCAAACATTAACTCTTTCTTTAAATACAACAAAGGGACCACATTGTCCTCATAACTTACATTGGAAATGCTGACACATATGCAAGATGCAGTGGACATCTGTCTAGTAACATTGCAGACACACAGCAACTGTACTATGCTACAAGACAAAAAAAAAAAAAAGGAAATAGTCCTTCAAGTACAAAATCCAAAGTCTAATCAGTGAAATTGAAGCATCTCATGGGAATGTTGTACATAATAATTAAGGTTTCTGCCGGATATTGTAATGACTGATCCAAAACCTTTTGATTTTGGTAGTCATTCCAAGCCACAATGGCAGCTGCTATGTGATTACGGTACCATGACTGGCTCTGTTCTGGATTTTTACATCACAATAATCAAGGAGATAATATAATTTTACAGTAAAATCTGCATTGCTTTTTATAACAGGCCACTTGGAGTTGTAAAATAACTTTCTACAGATTGATATTTTTTCGAAAAATTTTCAAACTTCCAGAATTAATGGGGACAGGGGGTTTCCTTTGAATTTACTTGATGGAAGTTTGCCTCTGGGAGCCCCCAAAATAGGTTGCTTTTAAATAAACGAGCTGCTGCTAAGTTATCTTGTTGTTACAATTCAGAATACTCTCAATTTCCATTGTTGATCTATGTTCAACATTCGTCTTTGTAAGACAGAGTAACGATTGCATGAAAAATAGCAAAGAGCATCAATATATCCTCATCTGGAGCAGAAAGGGATTCCTTTCTCACCTACCACCTTCTACCTCTTGCTCAGTCCTCCTCATATTAGGTGTCTATTTCTTAAGATGGAAGCAGGTTGTACAAGACAAGAAAGGCGCAAAGATATGTATTCAGAGTCAGCCACAGGCTCCTTAATAAATCCACACTATACTGATGTACACGGAAGGATCAAATAAAAAATTAAGAGATGTACATATATATATCTATCTATATATATATATATGCAGGGTATTTTTCCTCTGGAGAGAGGGGAGGATTTTGCTAGCGCTTGTGCAGTTTACAAGTCTATGAGCTGATCCACCAGTAGAAGAGACCTGGTCATGTTTGGTAGGCTGGACTCAGAGTTCCCACTGTTGTTATTAGGGTGAGGACCTAGAGAGCAGGGGGAGAGACAGTGGTTCAGTATATTGGTGAGAACAGAGACAGGGACAAAAGCAGAAGAATAAGGAAATATTGAGCAACAGGATCAGCAATAAAATGCAAATAAACATCTATTGTGTGCTACAGATGATGGTGGAGTTACAGGTTGCAATTTGCAGGCACACTCAGCCACATATAAGTTAGAATAAATAAAATCAACTGCAGGCCTTAAACAGCTGGACAATGTTCAGATGGTTAAAGCAGCAGTATTTTGAGATTGCTTTCTAAAGTAAATTATTGGAGGGGGGTTCAGCATACTCTATATTTTTATGAGTATCCCATAAATGGCAGTGTCACAAGTCACTGAATCCCCCCTAACAGAGATCCTGCTTACTCCTTGTCATTTTAGGAAAATGTAACATTGTACAAGGATACACTAACTGAAATGTGTTTCTTTCCAGCACTTTAGCTAGCAAATGTACAGATTAAAGTAAGAAAACAATTTATATATGACTCCTACCTCGCAATCACTTCTTAACAAAGGTCTATCTCTAGATTGTAAACTCGTTTAAGATGGGTCCTCATGAACCTATTGCTTTGTAACATTTTGTAATAGTCTTATATATTGTTACATTTTCCCCTTTATAATATTGTAAAGCGTTGCAGAATATGTTTATGCTATTTACATGCCAATAATAATAATAATAATAATAATAATGTCGACTGCATTTCAACAATTGATATACAGGGTAGAGCAACAAGCCTCTTACAGGAGTTTTTCTCCTTTACAGCACAGCAACTACAAAACGTGCTGTAGTTGCAGTGACTATACTACTAGCTGAAGTGTCAAATACAGATCCTATGGCAATCAGGCTTGTGCATCAGCTACATGTGGAAGGATCACGCCGGTGGGGTAAAGTATTCCCAAGCAGGGATTATTGCTTGGAGGGAAATGGAAAAAAGGAAGGAAGCTAGAAGTAGGTGTTACATTAGAGTGTCACACACAAATATCAGATCATGCTGGTGCCGGAGAAAAGTAAGTACTGCTTTATAATAAAAAAATATTTACGATTTTTTTCATTTTTACAAACTTATAGCCTTTCAGGGTTCTTAGAAAGGGAACACCAAGTATCCTTAATTGACTATCCACCCCCCAAATATCATTTATTACTTTCCTTCTCCAGCTTACCTTGGGAGTTTTTGGATACCAAAACTGGAATAGGATCAAATTCATCATCAGCCCTTTTTTCTGTATCGTCCGGCATATCAAAGCCCGTTAGGAAGTTAGTATCATCTGCAGCATGCGTAGGAGATAAAGAGAGAGAGAGAAGCAGCGAGCTCAGACAGCGGAAGAGAGACGCTTGTTAAAATGTCTACATACAAGCAAAGCAAGGAAGAGAAGCAATGGGGCATTGCTGCCTTTTGGACGTGTCAATCAGCACTGAACTAGTTCAAAGGAAACATGCTATATGATAAAAGCATGTTGTAGGGTTAGATGATCAACTATTATATTATTCAAACAAAAACCTCTGAATGCTAGAGTGGCATAGCTTAAGGTTGGGGCAGGCAGTCTAAGGCTCTACAGATGTTGGGGAAGCATAAGAATATCCTGAAGCATGTAAGCCTTGTGACTGTCTACCCCAGGCTTAGAGGAAAAGCAAGTTTGGAGATGGACTGCACAATGGATGAAAATGGGTTTTGGTTGGGGAAAAGAATACGAGTACTGTGAAATGTCAATCAACACTAACCCAAATCATCATCCACTCTCAACCATTCAGGAGGCAGAATAAACTCTTTGCACAAGCAAAAGCATGCAGGTTCCGATTTAATAATCAAATGTCTTTTTTATTAACATTTAAAAGGATATCAAAGGGATAATTTTGTCTTACTTTGTTTACATCAATATATTTATCTAATTTTGCACGTAGACCAAATAATATAGACTTAAGATTGGCCAACTTATTGGATTCCTTAGACTTATCTCACCAAACATCTGGTCCTCCCAGACATCTTGGTCTCTAACTCCTCAATTCAGTAATAAAAATTAAACAATCAAAGACTTGTTTGCAAATTAAATACATAATGGTACATTTTACCACAAACTTTGTTTTACCCAGAACATGGCAAAACATTAAAGGGTTACTCCAAGCACCATGACCACTTTATTGAAGTTGTAATGATGTATCAAGACTGTATGTGCAGAGTTTCAGTGAAACGCTACACACAGAAATTAACACCCATCTTTAAAAAAAAATAAACATCTCTTGACCCGTCCTCCCCTTCTAACTATCGTCCCATATCCCTGCTCCCTTTTTCCTCAAAGCTTCTGGAAAGACTTCTCTTTACCCGTCTGGCTTGTTTCCTCAATTTCCCCTCTCTCCTTGACCCTCTTCAGTCTGGCTTCCGCCCCCTCCATTATACGGAGACTGCTCTTATTAAAGTCACTAACGACCTAATCACAGCTAAATTCAAAGGGCACTACTCCATACTAAAGCTTCTTGACCACTCTGCTGCCTTTGACACTGTTGACCATGTTCTCCTTCTCAAAACTCTTCAATCGCTCTGTCTCTGTGACACTGTCCTCTCTTGGTTTTCCTCCTATCTTTCCAAATGCTCATTCAGGGTCTCCTTTTCTAATGATATCTCCTCCCTTTGTCCTGTTTCTGTTGGAAACCCCCAAGGTTCTGTACTTTCTCCTCTTCTTTTTTTCTTATTCTACTGCCTCTCTTGGCAAACTTATTACCTCATTTGGATTCCAATACCACCTGTACGCTGATGACAACCAGATATAACTCTCCTCCCCAGACCTCTTCCCTGCCGTTCTGCTTGTTTCTGCTTACCTTTCTTCCATTTCTGATTTGGTGTCCTCTGGCTTTTTAAAACTCAATCTCTCTAAAACTGAACTTCTTGTCTTTCTTCCTACTAATCATGATCCTCCTCTTTCACTGTCCCTTCAAGCTGGTGGCACCCACATCAGCCCATCTTTGCAAGCATGCCATCTTGGCGCTATATTTGATTCTGGCCTCACCTTTAAGCCTCACATCCAGTTTGTTACCAAATCCTGTAGATTCCATCTTAAAAACATATCTTGCTAAGAAAGGGGCGGGTGCAGGCTGCCACTAAGGAGTTTGTCCATGCTTTAGTAATCTCTTGGTATGGATGGATTATGGTAACTCTCTCCTAATAGGTCTTCCCAGAAGTCGTATTTCCACGCTACAGTCTGTAATGAATGCTGCAGCTAGACATTTTACTCTCCTGTCGCTCCTCTCACAACTCTCCCCTCTGTCAGTTCTTACACTGACTTCCTGTATCCTGTAGGTGTCAATTCAAGGTACTAATCCATACCTGCTTCAATCCCACCTTATTTGATTGCCACCTCCTATCCTGTTGTGTTTCATACCCCACCTCCTAAAGACTGTAAGCTTGTTTGAGCAGGACCATCTTCAACCTATTGTCCCTGTAAGTTTTTGTAATTGTCTCATTTATTGTTAAATCTCCCCCTTTGATAATATTGTTTAGTGCTATGGAATATGCTGGCGCTATATAATTACCATTAATAATAATTATAATAACACCTTAGCTGCTGAGGCTGTAACGTCACTTTCTGCAGCTTCATTAGCCAATGTAAATACTGTGCAAAATGTGTGTTGGATGTCAGCACTCACAGCATGCTGGGGCAAGAGAGCCAAAGGCAGCACGGCCCCCACCCCCTCTGTCCTCTCCTTCGTCCATTCTCTGTGACCCCCTATGATGAGGGGTAGTAAGGGCACCAAAGACAGGGCTACTTTAACCAAAACCAGTGTTTTTGAAAACAGTGTTTTATGATGGGAGTAACACTTTAAATATGTAGCACTGCATCACACTGCACTCCTTCTGTGCACTAAATGTTTCAGAACATTGTATCGCTACCAGTTCTTTCAATCAACCATCGCCAAAAAGGACATCTAGCTCAGTTATTAAACTGTATTTCCAGACAATGGCTGGCAAAAATAACATGGGAAGTGTATTGCTAGAGTGGAAAGGCATCGATGTACCTCTCTGTTAATAAAGGTAGATTTCATATACCCATATATTTTACTACATCTCCATGGCAAATCTGTCCCTACTCGTCCAGCCTGCAGCATATATTTTATTTATTGCAATACAACAGTTGCAAGTGACATCACATGCTGCCGAATAAGCTCTCCTCAAAGCTTCCAACCGGAGACTTTGCTCGGTTTAAAGCACAAATGGTTCATTCACATTTTTGTTTTTTAAATAAATGACACTAACTGAAACCTTGTCTTGGGCTGCTGTACAATTTTATACTTCTTTAAATCATACAACACACCCATAAAATCTTACAGAGGTGTTGAAAATTAGTTTTCAGTCAAAAGCTGCAGATCCTGGGATTAACAGCATTATAGATCAAGAAAAAAGGTGTCAAATCGCTACGAAAACTGTTGGCGCTATATAAATGGCAATAATACAATTAACTCAATATAAGCTGGATTCTTGCACATAGAAATTGAAATTACAGAAGCACATCCTTAAAAATTATAATTCCAAGCTTCATAACCACTACAGCGTGCCAAGAGAGCCCTGGTGCCATCCCAATGTAAATGGTCAAATGGTTTGACAACTTACCTCGGGTCTGCTGGGCACCTGTTCTCCGTGACAGCCAGAAGCTCTCTGCACAGAGTTAAACCTGGCACTTTAGGGCTTATCTCATTGGTTGAGATCAGTTAACAATCTAGGCCAATGAGCTGACCCTATTGTTTAACATAAGAGATTTTTTATTTTTTTTATTTTTTTAATGACCCATTGCTACCTTTAGTGTATGGCAGGATCCTTCAGCCATATACACACACCTTGCAAGTGAAAGGATGGCAAACAGGAGCCCATACATTGGACTACAATTAGCACAACATTATATAATTAAGATTATATAGAGTTAGGAAAAGAAGAAATCAAAACTTCACAGAAAGCAACAATTCATTGAAACCTGCAGACTTGTCTGCAATATTATTTTGCAAATTATTCCAGCACATTTTGTTTTATTCATATAATTTCTAGAAGATTGTGGTTTTTTTGACCAACATGTATTTTCAGGTATTTTTTTTTTTTTACAGTACAGACATACTTGTACAATACATTGAGCTGAGCACAATAAAGAAATGCTCATACACTAAAACAGTTATCTATAAAATACATAAAGCTGACTACAATACAGAGATAACCATACCACAAACAGACTAGAAACAAAAAACAGATACAATACACAGAACTGGACACAATCCAAAGATACCTATACAATACACAGAGCTGGGTAGACTACAGAGACACCCATGCAACAGGTATAGCTGTTAATAAGGAGATACCCATAACTATACCACACAGCCAGGATCACTGTGATGGATTACACAGAGGTGTAATACAGAGATCCTCACACAGTATATGTCTATAAAATGCTTTAGCTCTCTATCTTCCTAGACCTCTTGTAGACTCTCCCTTACATGGTCTCATCTTTAATAGTGCTCCTGCTATGTTAATTTTAATTTTCTATTAAATAATGCTGCACGGTGTGCACATGCTTAAAGCATCAAGATACTGATACAGACCCTATAGACTCCTTATTACCTTTGCAGCTGGCAATACGTTTCATCTGTAGTAGTACTACAGCCACAATAAAGCCAAGAAGTAGCTGACATGGTTAACAGAATCAACAATCATTACAGATTAATTAAAATGTATTGAAGTCAGAACCAGATCACAGTCACAGTCCCAATGAAGCTTCACATTTCAGCTCACCACAGCACGAGTGACTGAGCACTTTAAAAGAACACTGTAGGGCAAGCATGTCAAACTCAAAGCTAGCAAGGGCCAAATAAACAATGTTTAAGTTTATGTGGGCCGCAAAAAAACAGTTTTATTTTGAAAAGTACAGCATAAAAAAAAAATATATAAAAATAGACCCCCCCTCTACTAAATCCCAGTTACCGCCTCGTCTACTAAATTCCAGTCCCCCCCTCGTCTACTAAATCCCAGTCCCCCCAGTCTCCTAAAGCCCTGCCCCTGTTCTCACTCACACTCACTGAGACACACGCACTCAAAGACACCCACAATCAGACACACAGGCTCCCTCACAGACATACATACACACACACACACACACACACACACACACACAGCCATACACCCACCCACACACACACACGGCCATACACACAGACAGCCATACACCCACATGGGGTATGTCCAGTCTTTTGTAGTAGCCACTTAGCCACAAACACTTACCAAAGCTCGTGTTTATATTTGTTTTTTGCATTATTTTTTTTTAAACACAAAAACTGCACTTTAACTGGTAATACGATCGTCGTGATAAGTTTTACTGTTTAAAACACTCATTAAAACACTCATATTTGTGTTCAGCAAAGTCTCCCGAGTATAACGATACCCACCATGTACAAGTTTTATGGTGTTTTGGAAAATTACAGGGTCAATCTAGGGCTTGCCCAATTCAGTTTGCCAGATTGGTCTGCTGGGTCTATGTTGCCATTTGAGACCATATGGTATCCCAAGAATGTGAATCAACCTCATCATGGCATATCAAACGTAGACAACCCTGGGTATTCAAAATGGGGTATGTCCAGTCTTTTGTAGTAGCCACTTAGTCACAAACGCTGGTCAAAGTTAGTGTTTTTATTAGTTTTTTGCATTTTTACACACATAAACTGCATTTTTACTGGTGATTTCATCGTTGTGATAAGTTTGACTGATTTATAACACTCATATTTGTGTTCAGCGAAGTCTCCCGAGTAGAACAAAACCCCCTATGTAAAAGTTTTATGGTGTTTTGGAAAGTTACGAGGTTAAATATAGGGCTTGCCAATTAAATTCTCTGGACTGTCTGCCTGGGTTATCAGGCAGGTCCCTCAAATTATATTTAATAAAATCAAATAATTATGTAGTTAATATTTAAATATATACATAGAATGTGTGTGTGTGTGTATATATATATATATATATATATATATATATATATATATATATATATACACACACACACACACACACACACATATATAAAAAAGTTTTTACATTTATATATTAAATATTATAAATACACACACTTTTTCCCAGACTTTCTGTAGCTGTCCAATCACATACTTCCCAATGCAGCTCAATGAGAAGTATTTGCAAGGCAGGTCCTCTGAGTAATTGCTGTCTCTTACGTTTAGCTCCACTGAGCTAAACAATCAGGAAATAAGAGAACCGGTTGTCTGATTGACAGCCAGGAAGGGGGTGTAATAAAGTTATATTATAGACGTGACGATTTCTGTTGAAATATCCAGTTTTTGTAGCATGAATAAAAAAATAAAAAATGAAGAGGACAAAAAGTGCTTTAGGGGTCTGCAGTGTCTCTTTAACGACCAAATGCCACACTGATACACTCTTGACTGTGGTGCAGTCATCTATTCAAACAAATGAAGACTGCTCAATTTAGTAATACGTATGGCCAAGTACCCTACACAAAATCTGATCAAGCAACAACTTGGGAATTCATTATAGATATTTTTATTATTAAAATGTTATCCTAAAAAATAGAGATCCCCCTCCCAAACCAGTCATTCATTTTTTATCTCTTGTATATTTTTAGAATTGTAGTTTATCGATATTTTGAAAATGCTGTAAATTTTACTACAAGGTAATTTTACATTTAATCATCACATAATATTTAATTTACTTTTATTTGGGATATTTTGTTTTATTTCTATTTTTTATGGCATACTGGGGAGTTGCAACTTTGTTAATAAATTATAAGTGAGAAATTGTATTGCTCAATCACCTATTTGCTCCTGCTTACTATTTGCCTAGTTAGTATATCTATTTGTTGCATTGGCATGCCTCACAACTCAACAGTATACCAAATATGTGTAAAAGCAAAGTCATTTATCCAACTTAATGTTGATCTGGAAAAAATATTATGAACTATAACCCAGTTTTCTGGAGGACCGATTAGCTCTCCAGATCTGCAAACATATGTGAAAAACCTGGCCTAAGCCTCAAATTCGTTTTTGTAGGGGATTAGAGACACCTAGTGTACAAGTGCCGTTTTGCAAATTTCCACGAGTCCACTCAGCCATGAAGAGGAAGGAGATCTAGCTGATCTACTTTATAAGTACATCTAAATAATATTGTGTGGATTGTGATGCTTAACTAGTATACACCACTACAAACCTCTCAATCATGGTAACAGTAGAAACAGAGCAATAACAATATTTGTAACCAACTACAAATTCGATTTTCTAAGTTCTACATAACAGAAAATAAGCATTAAGCAGACCTACATTCCCAACAGGTTATTCTTCTAAAGCAGCTTGTGTCTATGTGGATAACCATGAGCTTGACCTATGCTACAACTATTATTTCAGACATAAAGCAGACCATTGAAATTATGCATTAGTAGACATAAAATTCCATTAAACCAGAAAAGGGACTATAGAATATATAAAATTTGTATTACTTATTTAAGTGACCAATTGAGAGTGCAAGCGGATTCTTTGTCTTAACAAGGAAACAATGAAATCAGATTATTTTAATACAAGAAGTAATGTTTCAGTAGTAGAAGTAATGTTTAAGAGAAGCTCTCGTGACCACTTCTATGTAGGGTCTCAGTCTAGTTGATGGCCTAGCTGTCTTCACTGCAGCAGCTATAAGGCAATTTTCACTTGATAACATCACAAGCGGACGTTTGTCTAAATTTGTCTGTACAAGAGGCAGACAGAGAATGCATGCATGGGATCCTAACAAATGTTTAATTACCAGGAATTTGTATCAGTTTTCTCAATTGTTTCCATAAAATAATTTGTTTGTCAGAAGAAAAAAAAAAAGTCACTTGGTATGCTAACAAAATCTGTGCTTTAGGAGTAGTTTCATTAACGTCTTTAGGTGTAGAACAATAAGAGGTATGGGGGGACTATTTCATTAAGTTGTATGTTTTTTTTGTTTTTTTTACATTCGTTATTTATAGATTGTTCCATATTAAATCAAAGCATGTTGTAAGCAATGACACAAATGAGAGCACAGTGAAATTCATACGGTAAATGCAACGTAAGGTGTAGTCATGCAGAGAACAAGAGTTTTATGTGTAAAATAAGCGATAATGGTTACTTGGGTTGAGTGTGTTCATCAAGAACTAAAAGGCCCCCATGGAGTGTTCTGGGAGTGGTAGCCATGGGGTGCACAACATTACTAGCTTAAAACTGTATAGCATAAAACACTATATAGTATGTCGTCTAGCAGTACTATGATGTCAATGGAAGTAATAATAGTGCCCAATAACCCATTCTGTGACTAACGCACATGGGTGTGCAGGAATAATGTAAACCATTCAATCTATCCTGTTATTCTTCTTCATATAGGATAGCTATAGATTCAAGATCTGAGTGTTGGGCTATCCTCACATCTTGACAGTATGGTGTTGCCTATAGAACATTGCATGGTTTAACAAATGCTCCCTCGGGGGAACATAGTTGTTATAAATGCAATCTAAACCAATGGTCTTAAATATCTACAACTGAAAATGGGATAGCCAGGATATCTTCATTTTTCTTAATTTATTTTTTTTCAATGCATTTTTTTGTGCGTCTATTTCCTATCCATCTTCTGAATGCATTTAAAGGCAGGCTCAAGTGTTTTCATATCATACTTGTGATGAGCAATAACATATCCAGATGTATTTCTTTCCCATTCTAGCAGTTCAAACTGATATAAAGTGGCATTAAAGGACCACTATAGTGCCAGGAAAACACTCATTTTCCTGGCACTATAGTGCCCTGAGGGTGCCCTCACCCTCAGGGTCCCCCTCCCGCCCGGTTCTGGGGAGAGGAAGGGGTTAAACACTTACCTTTCTCCAGCGCCGGGCGGGGAGCTGTACTCCTCCTCTCCTCCTTGCTCGCGACGTCATCGGCTGAATGCGCATGCGCGGCAGGAGCCGCGCGCACATTCAGCCGGTCGCATAGGAAAGCATTTACAATGCTTTCCTATGGACGCTTGCGTGCTCTCACTGTGATTTTCACAGTGAGAAGCACGCAAGCGCCTCTAGCGGCTGTCAATGAGACAGCCACTAGAGGCTCTGGAGGCTGGATTAACCCTCAGTTTAAACATAGCAGTTTCTCTGAAACTGCTATGTTTATAAAAAAAAGGGTTAATCCTAGAGGTACCTGGCACCCAGACCACTTCATAAAGCTGAAGTGGTCTGGGTGCTTAGAGTGGTCCTTTAAGCAGGTGCATGTGTAACTGCAATCAAAACAATGTACACTAGTGACAAGAAACACTATGAAATTAAACTATATGAACCTATGATTGGAATCATATAGGTTTGAAAGGGTTACTCCAACGACCATGACCATTTCAGTGATCTCTAAGTGTATGCAAGTGTTTCTGCTTAAACACTGCACACATTGACTTATTTCTATTTGTGTGCTGGCGGATAGTTGCACTCCCAGACAGGTGACTTAGGCAACCTGGAACTTTGGAACAGCGCATTGGTGACAGATGTAACCATCTTTTCCTTTGCAAGCATTATCTTGTGCAATAACAGTTACCCCTTTTTTTCAAACGCTGTAAAATGAATGAGAGCCTTTGTAGATGCCTATCCTGCCTTCATCAAATGCTGCTATATAATCAGTGTTAATTTTGGTGGCAATTTATTATTTAGTTTTAGTAAAAAGCCATTTTAGTGTTAGTCGTATTTTAGTCATTTCAATTGTCTTAGTTTTAGTTGACCAAATCTCCAGTAGATTTTAGTCGACACGACTAAAATCTAATGGGTTTAGTTAAAGCCTCTGTCTCTTTTGCCCCTTCCACAGACCCTCTATGCAGTGTTAATTTTGGCAGCAAATTTCAATTTAGTTTTAGTCATAGTCTTTGACTAAAAAGCCATTTTAGTTTTAGTCATCTGAATTATTTTAGTTTTAGTCTAATTTTAGTCGAATAAATCCAAGGGGAAAAAAAAAAGCTCTCAAATAGAGGATACAAATTATAAACTCAAACAGCCTACAATTTAGAAAACTTAGGGTTCGGTATAATTTTTGTGTTTACAATTTAGATATGCTACTAATGGGAGCAATTAAACCCATATAAAATAATTAAACCCATCTCCAATTGGCTAATCACTACTTTGGCATATGTTTTTTTTTTGTTTTGTTTTTTAAATGGCTGGTCAAGAGTCATGTGAATTTAAGTCAAATGATGACTAGAGGTTGCTGTAATTAAGAGTTCGATCACTGTAATGCTGGCTTATTTATTTTATTAAACTGTAAGTTAAATTCCAGACTTAATGGAAGGAGAGAGCACTGTATAAGTTAAGAGCACAACAGAAAATAGCATTGCCCTGCAGCAAAAGTATAAGCACCAAAACAACTTTAGCTTAATGGAGTAGTTTTGGTGTATAGCGAGAAATGTTCCTGCAGTTTCACTGCTCAATTCGCTGCCATTTAGAAGTTAATTCATTTTGTTTAGGCAGCCACAGACATGTCTTCCCTGCATGTGGCTTATAGGGTCTCCCTATACATTTCCTGTAAACAGAGATCTAATTTTCAAAACTTAATTTATTACAGTGTGTGTTATTTTGAATTTCTTATCATCTCCTCTGTTAAGAGAGTGATAAAGTAAACACACTGTACAGTCAGACATGATTAAAATTATCCATGTTTTAATGTTAGTGAGTCAAAGTCAATGGCAAAAATGTGAATAAAAAGTGATTTAAACTTCTAAATAGCAGATAGTTGAGCAGTGAAATGGCAAATGCATGAGCTACACATTAAAATTGCTTCACTAAGTGAAAGTTGTTTTGATGCTTGAACTATCCCTTTAATTCTACTTTCATCACCAATTACACACCCCATACTTAAAGCTTTCTGCATCTAAATATAAGTCAAACACAATAAGATAATATCTGCCACAGTACAGATCTGATTTGATGATATATTTTACACTTATCATGAGATAGAAAAGGAAAAGAAAAAAAAAAAAAAACACCAATAAGTCTGTTAGTCAATACTTTGTGCTAACCTCAGTGCAAGGAAATGTACAGTTTACTTTTATTTTCATTTTATACCAACTGATATCATGAGGAGGTAAACTATAATTGGTACTGATATAGCTCATGTATCTGCAAACATAAAAACGGCACATGGTACAGTGTCAGAAGGCAATGCACGCCACTCTGCCCACTCCAAGACAAGAAATATCACAGAATAAAAAAAACGTTATCCAACAATTTTACTACAATGTAAAGATTGGATTATTTTTTCCCCCCGGTAAATATTTTTATTGCTTTTAGAATGTCAATAGTGGTTGTCCTTCAATACATTTTCTCAACTAATCTTATAATCTAACACATAAAATAAGTCATGAATAAAAGCCCTAACTACAAGTCAATATTTAGCAAGATGAAGAAAGCCTTCTCAAGAATGGAAAAGTTCTACATTTTGTAGGTGTTCATAGCAATAACAAATTGTGATCCAGAATAAAATTATGGTGCAGAATAAGATGAAGATAGCCCACACAGTGGGACCATAGAACTATAGCAGAACCTGCATATAAGAAAATGGACGCGTGATATTTTTTTTCTGACTGAAGAGATTGGATACATCAGTCTCCGATTGATATAGAATTAAATGCAACAATGTTATACACATAAGGATATGAACACTGTTACAGACTAAATGAATGTCACATGTTTCTTCTATTTTCTGTAATGTATCTCCTGCAATCCTACACCTCTGGCAGCATCATAGTGGGGCCATTACACAGCCTGGAAAAAGAGTTCCAGGGTGGATTATACCAATTTTGTGCATATTGAACGTCTGACATCAGTGCACACAGCATGCTAGAAACAGGCATACAATGGTAGCATTGCTCCCTCCTCAGTGTTGCCCATATCCTCCCCTGAGCCCATCCTCCCTCTACAGCTAAGGGGAGTGAGGTCAGCAGAGGAGGATCGGTCTGATGGAAGGATTTGGTCTCAGTGCTGAAACATAGGTAAACTTATGCTTTTCTTTTTAAGGTTGGAAAGGGGGACCAAGATAGAAAGGTAACCAAATCAGGGTGTTATTTTCTTTTGGTTGGACAACCTTTATCCTTTAAGCAATTCACAAAAGTGATTTTAATTTTGCAAAGATGTAACCCAGTGGGTCACTGCTTCAAAAATGAAGCATCATTGCTACAGTATTCATATTAATAAGCTTTAAAACATCTAAAATTATTGTTAAAATGTTAGTGCATATCCTCGGCACAACAAGCTATACAACTTACTCCATGGAAGAAAAATATTAAAACAAAATCTAGCTCACACAGAGTCACACATATGACATTGCTTAGATTACTGCTACCAACTGTAATGGGTGCTAACCTAATTTAAAGTAAAATGCAATGGTTCTCCTAGAAAAGAGTCCATCATACTTTTGTGCACATATCGACATGCTCTATGTGTTTTTTATTCTTTTAAATTTCTCTGGGATGGAATTGCACACCTGGTGGCATGTGTAGTGGGAAGATCTATGTTTTTGACAAATGCCTATAGACTGTAAGCCCGTTTGAGCAGGATCCTCTTCAACCCATCGTTCCTGTAAGTTTTCTTGTAATTGTCCTATTTATAGTTAAGTCCCCACTCTCATAATTTTTAGGGTTTCCTAGGCATTACTACTGCCACATGATGAAGGACAGGACATAAAATGCAAATGTTTCAGGACAGAAATCAATTTTAAAAAATGTGACTCTCAAATGAACTAGTGATTACCCAACTGTAGCATGTAAATCCTACAGAGTGAGGGGCAACACTTTGAATTAAACGCCTGACGTGTCTAAATAGCATAGTCACTTTGGCCACCTTGAAGCATAGTTAAGAGAGCCTCTATATTGATTCTAGAATGTTAAAATGGGACACATTTTGAGTGGGTTGGAGAGGAATTATAGAGACAGAAAATTGAGATAGATACTTTAGTGCAAACTGTTTCTATCAATTTTCAATGCAAATTATGTTTGATGATACCCCGTCATGCTCGGCCAAAGATGTGGGGAGGTCGCATTGATGCCACAGTATTACACAGTATTTTCACTTTCATAGCAAAACGGATTAGAGATAAATGGGGAATGGCCCAAATGTAAAGCAGGGTTTGCCTTCACAGACAGAGAGATGAGCAAATGGATGAATAGTGTGTGAATCAGTTTGGGCTATTCACATATATGCCACAAATAAGCATTTACCTGCAGAAGCTGGAGCAGAGAGAGAAACAGGTGCAAATTCTTCGAGAAGGTCTGCCCCAGGGTTAGAAAGAAGGGAGTAGTCAAGAAGAGAATCTTCCCCAGTAAGAGAGTCTGGGTTTCCAATGTGCAGCATTGAAGAGATGGCAAAGTGTTACTTACTATACATGAGAGCTTGGAAAAGAATATAACAAGCGTCGGCTCAGACTTAAACCTTACAAACCAGAAGAAATTTAAAAAGCCAAGAAAAGCACATATTTTATTTAGTAAACCAACTTTTTCCCCCCTTTTATTTTTTATTTTTTAAAACTACCATATAATCCTTTATGTATAGTACACAGGTTGAATCTTTGCAATAATAGATATTTTGCAGTGATAACAAGAACATATGAAGCTGTTCTGTATAGAAGAACTCAAATATATGTGAAGATATAAGAAAAAAACCAGATGCAGTAATAGTACAGGGATTGGCAGTATGGCCATTTATAGTTAGAGCAGATCTAGGGCACAAATGTTTGTGAGCAAATACCGCCCTCTTTTATATTGTTCATGCGTGTCTGGTTTTCCAGAGTCCAGTTGTGGGCTGGGCACATGCCAGTAAATCTCAAAGAGCAGTGATCTACTGGGTTTTCATACACAATCTTCACACAACCCAAAAATGTTAAGATATATTATGCAGGGAACGTTATGCTGAGAAAAGCAGAATATGAGTTTTTGATATATCGGAATGCTTGCGTTGACCAATCCAGCTTTAGCATAATATTCCAACTACTGAATCTTGATAAAAATGGAAACCAAAATAGGCCACATTTCCAATAAATGAAACCAACATGAATAATACATCAATAATACACAAAAACCATCAGCAGCATCCAAAACATTGTTGCTCCAGTTCTGTATTAATACAATGCATTGGAAACATTTTTTTTAAAAAAGATTTAAACATTCCAGGATTTGAGTAGAAGCCAGTTCAGTTTACTGCACAAGATACAACAAATATAGGATTTGTAAATTCTACACTCCACCAACCTGTGCGGTTTGAAGCGATGGAGTCTGCCTGAGAAGACAGACGCTGAGGTATCGGAGGTTCAAGCCCAGGGATTAGGCTTTCAACCGCTATTTCTGCCTTTCCTTGTAGGATGAATACAGCAATCAAGCAGCATGCACAAGATAAAAGAGAAAGGATAGGAAAGGAGAAGGGCATCACCAGGTTATTACAGACCTCATCACACAGCAGGGATAGGATTCCACACGGATACCATGATTAGAATTATAATCTTTGTAGTAAATATTTTAATATTAGTTTGCTGATTAAGGGACATGTTTGTGGGTTTAAAAAAACAAAAACAAAAGGTAGGGGTTCACCTCACATTTATGAATTCTATGTATAAATGACAAACCCATAAATATTTAGGTTTAACAGGAAAAAGCACATGATTCTCTAGAAACAACAGGCACCAGTTCAATCACACATTTCTCTTTTTATTTTTGCTTTTTAAACTAGACTAACTTTTTGCAATTTGCACTCCAGTTCCAAGCAACCCTGAATCGAAGAGACTACATAACATTTTGAGATTACTAAACACAAACAGAAGAATTTGTTAAAAACCAAAGTATGTATAGAATATAAACAGATGTTGGCACAAAAGGAAAATGTAAAAGCGGAATAATTTAAAAAGGAAATAAAGAAAACCAAAACATGGTTTGTTTGTTTTTTTCTTATCCAATCGGGTATAATATGAAAAATGTGAAGTAAGGTGATTTGTCAACTGGCTTCAGCGCTACAGTGCTCAGCACACAGATGCCATTATGGTAGCCATGGGGTCATGTCATCAGCCCTGTCGCAGACTATCTTCCAGGTCCTGCTCATGCATCCACCAGAAGCTCCATTTGCAGGTCCCACGGGGCACCACCATGTGTCCTGCAATGGATTTTTCAGGTGAAGCACCCAGGAAGGCTCTGCGTAAAGCATACCTCACCCTCTGCCTCCAGAACCCCTATGATTGGCGTACCTTTGGTCGCCCGAGATGGCGTATCTCAACCATGCAAGAGAGCCTTCCAGGCAAAACAGGCAGTGCGATGGAATAGTGCGAGAGAACAAAAAGAGAGCGACTACGACTCAAAAATCAGGTCTAGTGAGGAGGCTGGTGAGGAGTCTGAGAGACACTCAGAGGGATTCCTGAGTTGGGCCGTGCCCTCTTTTCCTTCGCTCAGGCGGATCTTGGGGCTGCTCCTCCCATTGATGCGGAGACTGCCCTCATGGATCCGTTGGGTGAGTCCTTGTTCGACCCGGATGAGTTGCACTATCCAAGGGCGGCCGAGTGGCTTCCACCTGACCATGTGGCCCGATATCTAGAGAACTGGGTATGGCACCCACTCAGCAAGGCGGCCCGGAATAAAATAAGGGCAGTGTGTCCCAGGCCTGTTGTGCCTAACAAAGTGTGTGACACCCCGGAAGTAGACCCTAAGATGACCCAGTTTCTGGCTAAATTGGGTTAGAACCCATGCAAAGTGCTGGACTCAGCACTTAAATCGTGCCAAGACAAACATCTTGATGTGTTTGGCACCCTGGCAAAATTATTTGACTTGGCCAAGGACACCAGAGCTATGAACCTAATGGGGGACCCGGAGGAACTCCGTGGTTGGTTCCAGAGAGCGATTTGCCGGAAGTGTTAATGCCTCCCTGTCGATGGAACGGCTTAAAGCCATTCTGTTTAAGAATAGAGCCCAAGTTGGCCAATCTTGCCCTCACTAAGGCAAGCAATAGATATGATGCGTATGATATACACATGGATAATCACTAATCATGGCTCAGGAGCACTCCATCCATCTGCGATGGACTGTAACTGCTCATCCGACTGGGGTTCATCGTCAACTGGGAAAAGTCCTGCCTGACCCCATACAGACGCATTGAATTTCTAGGTTTCCCCGTGGATTCTGAGGAGGAATCGTTGAGCCTTCCATCCTGCAAGATTCGTACGATCCGCAAGGAACTACGCAGGACACCTTTCCGTCCAAAGATCACCCAGCGTCATTTTGCACGGATCATCGGACTGCTGGCCTTGTCTATCCAGGCAGTGGTCCCGGCAACTCTCCATTACAGGGCACGACGAGCTGCAGTAGTGATATGACCTTGGATGGCTCGTTTCGCCATCCAGGGTCACCAGATCAGTGAAAGACAGGCCCTCTCGCAGGTGAGCTATATTTAATCGCTGGAGTGCCCTGTAATGGAGAGTAGCTGGGAACACTGCCTGGACAGACGAGGCCAGCAGTCCAATGATCCATGCAAAACGATGCAGGGTGATCCTCGGATGGAGAAGTGTCCTGCGTAGTTCCTTGCGGGTCGTCCGAATCTTGGAGGATGGAAGGCTCAACGATTCCTCCTCGGAATCCACGTAGAAACCTAGAAATTCAATGCGTCTGGATGGGGTCAGGCAGGACTTATCCCAGTTGACGATGAACCCCAGTCGGACGAGCAGTTACAGTCCATCGCAGATATTGCGTAAGGATGGACTGCTCCTGAATGGCGAAACGAGCAACGAGCTGCAGTATTGGATCTTAAATCTGTCTGCGTGGAACAGCTGGGCGTTCTTTGGCCCACAACCGGAGCTCATCATAGACTCGGACGTGAGTCCATTATGTTCTAATGAAAGTTCTAATATGAACTGAAAAGTTGACTTTCTGTAGGATCTTCTTATTAATAAAGAAAACCTTTTTTCCCAAGACCTTGAGTGCTGGCTACCTATATCTTATTGGGGTATATATATATATATATATATATATATATATATATATATATATATATCACATACATACATACATACATACACACACACAATATACGTTATCCATATACTATAGAAAGATAAGATTGAAAGACCAATATAGACATATCAGAAAATAGCATAGATTTACAGATTAAATAGATAGTAGCACAGATGGATCGATAGATGCACTATAACTCCCATAATAAACATTTGATGTTACAGTCCAGGGTATCTTAGATGTATGGGGTTATATACGGGCATGATTACTGGCACAGCTCCAGACACTATTAGCTCACTATCTGGTAATGTCTTACCTCTTCTTTCTTCCCCATTCTAGATCACCCAGCCAGTACCGATGCAGGATGGCGTGAGGAGAAGAGTTCGGAAAGCTGGGCAAACAAAGTGACTCAAAGGTCAGAATAGCTGAACTGGAAACATTTTATGAGTCAGCTGTGGTTCCAGTTCGGCTACCATGGCCTAAAATGTTAAATTCACTTTGAATGCTCACTTTGGTAAATAACCCTGTGAGTGTTCAGAACATGTGAGCTAAGAGTATAAGGAGGTGTGTATGTAACTGTGCCCCTGTGTAACTCTTTTTTTTGTTGCTTTTTACGGAGTATGTAAAATAAATTAAAGAATAACAGAGTGTGGGCAATGAAAGAACGTGAGTGAGTGTGTAAGATAATGAGCAAGATAACACAGAAGGTGCATGCAAGTGAACGATAGTGTGTGTGCATTGACATATGCAGAGTTATCCAATAAAGTGTAAGTTGCTGGCAATTCAAAGAGAATTTCAGATTCCCAGGCAGAAACGGGGATATTTTTTTCCCCAATTAAACATTTTAGACTACAAACTAAAATTCACATAGACTTCCCAACAGTTCACATTTTAGTGAATTACCATGCTAGTGCCAGAGGCAGAGAAGGTAACATAACAGAAATATCCGATCTGATGTCGTCAGTAGTTGAAATGCAAAAAAGTCGGCTACTGTGGAGTAACTTAAGACAAAAGCCTAGCCCAGGTATAGGCAACCTTCACCCCTCCAGATGTTGTGGACTACATCTCCCTTAATGCTTTTCCAGCATTATGTGAGATGTCAGCGCATTATGGGGATGTCCAAAACAGGCTTAGGCATTAGGTATAATTGAGATGCTGCTTGATATATAGGGTTACACATCCAAATATTTCAGCTGCTATCAAAGCAGTTGGCAAGAACTGTCAGGTATTCACAGTAATTAATAACAAACAAAGCCATTATTTGCAGAGCCATGTATGCCTTAAATAAAAAAATTTAAATAAATATCGAAGGGAAGAAAAGCTTGGCTCTCAGTACATACAGGTAACTGTGATTACATGTTTTAGAGGTAGACTAATAAAAAACAGCTGTACACAGTGGCAGAACTGGCTGCCTTTCACTAAGCACAGAGCTCTGGAAATAATAGCGATTTGTAAATGTAATTATTTCTTTTCTAAACAGCTTTCTCATCAGCTAAAAAGAACTCATGTTTCTTAAGTAAGCACAGCATTAGCATTACCCCCTCCCCAAAATGTTTACCATTCAGAGCTTCAGAAGTGCTGCCAAAGGGATCAGCCAGTTGCACTAGGTGAGGGAGCAGGAGTTGGGGCTCCGGTGATTTGAGACCCTCAATCAATTTCTCTGGGTCAAGCAGAATTAAAATAAAAAAAATGAAAAAAATAAAAATAAAAAGCATTTGGTGAGGAGTGAGCAAAGCTTAGGAGAGGGTGGCAGGCATATCAAAAAAGTCAAACAGAAAGGAACCATGTTTTTGAATTTGTATACTATTAACTGAAGAATTCCTAAACAAGGCAGGTGGGAGAGGACATTAAAACACAACTATGAGCACTGTCCTAAATCAGGGCATGGTATCTGTGATATAAGTACAACCCCCATCATCCTAACCCACTCACTGATTTGTCACAATTTGGAAGGTGCCCTTCTCAATGCAAGAGGTGACTTTACAGTGTTTGCTAAACACTTCATAGACAGAAGCCTTTAAAACACCTAGGTATATACCAGTAAAAATATTAATATATAAAAAAATAATAAAAATAAATAAAGCACAAACCAATTTCAATATATTCAATTAATTCATAATGACAACCAATCGACTTTTACTCTTCTGAACCAATGTATCATTTACACTACAGTATCTCAAACTGCTCTCCATGCAATACCATTATTGAAATAAATCTCCTGTCACCTCTAAGACAAGCAGTGTTTGGGCTGTAGACGATTAGCGGCTCCTGTTAGCGGTGGTTTCACTGTCATTGTTGACACTGTTAAGCAGAGCTTCTCTGCTTCATAGCTTTCCTCAAGTGGAGACTGGAGATCCAATGCACTAACCTTTCCAATCTTTAAATTACAGTTTGCTCAGAGGAGTCAAAAAATGCATTTTTATTGAAAAAAATAAAAATAAAATACGTTTCTCCATTTGTAAATAAATAATACCACAGCTACAATATTTCATGTTAGTTTTTTTTTTTCTTTGAAAGACAAAAATGCTTTTTAAAACAGAAGCCTGCAAACTAAGGTGGAATCATACATAGAAACGGAATAGAAAAACCGATAAGAGGACCTATTGCACTCTTTGTGTTTTTACCTGGCGTTTCTGACAGAGCGAGAGGTAAAAAGGGATCAGCCAATTTCTGCAGTGGAGGGCTGGGATCTTGTACTTGTGCATCTGCAGGTTTTTCTGCAGCTGGGGCGGTGAAGGAGGAAGAAAAAGGAAAGGAAACACCAAAAGGAGGGAAGAAGTAAGAAACTGAAGAAACACAGCATAGAAAACAGGAAAGTTTTACTTAAAAGAAAGATCCAGATTTTTACCCAGAGCCTACTGTACAATTGGTTATTGCTGCTGGTTACCCTGGCGATGAGTGGGTTAAATGCCATATTGGACATAAACTAAATAATCTATCTGATCAATGCAAAGGGATTTTTTTGTTAAACAAACCCTGATCAAATAGAGTAACAGCAGTGTTGTCTGAAAGACCTAAAGGAAAACAATAATAAAAAACTGAACCCCAATTTTTAAAGGAACACAAACATGTTTTCCTGACCCTGTAGTGTTAAAAACACTATATAGCCCTTCTGGGCCACCTAAATATAGTAAAACCTTATGGGTCTGCTGGTGCTGGCTCTGCCCCTGATCTGCCACCTTGGCTGACATCATCAGAAGGGATGATCTCAGCCAATAACAATGATTTCCTACAGGAAAGCATTCAATTGGCTGAGATTGTCAATTCTGAAGATTTGAGCTGGGGGCAGAGCCAACACCATCCTAGCCAATAAGCTGTAGTTTTTCTGGTGTCCCTTTAAAGTATTATCTATAATGTACAAATATAATAGGAAAAATTAAAATAGAAAAAATATATATATATAAATTCCAAGATCTTGACTCTGCTGAAAGAGGAGGCATACAGCTTCATACAGACCACACTCAAAATAAAGAGGCTCCAATAATTAGCAGCTTTTCATTCTGGTCTACAGTGTCTGCTTTTATCCAGTATACCTCTGCATTACAGGAATTTATGAGATACACAAACAGCAACGTTTCCGCTAACACGGGAGCTCTTTCAAGCTTAAAAAGAGCTCCTGTATGAGCCAAAATGTTGGCATTTGCCATTTGCTGCTATGCACAAAAAAAAAAACAGTACATTATTTTGAGTGCTGAAATACACTTTTTCTGTTTGGAAGTTACTACTGGTGTGGCGACACTGAAGGTCTATACAGCACCCAACTTTAGTAAGTGCCTATCCATGGTATTATTGTGACCAGACTAACTCTTTATGATTATCAAATATATTTTAAAAATAGGTATGATCAAATGGGTACACAATAATGATAAACTATGTTTTACTACATTTAACACTTAAAACATTTCCTAATCACTTATCAAAGTGCGGGGTGCTTTACAGAGTTCGGGTCACTGGCTCACCACCTCTTTAGAATGTAAAAGGGCATAGGTTTGAAGTTCGAAGCAGGGAGGATCTTTTCAAACACATGTCATAAATCAGGAGTTGAAACGGCTGAACTTTTATGCTTTATTTTTCCTCACAATTTATTTTTCCTTTACACCTGCACTATTATATTTGATGGGTTGAAAGATTATCAGGACATTATAGTAGACAACGATTGGTAGACAAGTAAACACAAGGTGATGCTTGTGAATGTGTGTGATGGGTGTGAAATCACCTGGTGCACTGGAAAACAGGGATGGTCCGAAAACATCAGCCTGAGACACAGCAGGAGGAGCTGGAAACCCAGACAGGAGATTCTCTGCTGAGCTGCTTAGCGGTTCCTGTGGTTTACCTGTAGGGGTACATAGGTCTACTGTGGACAACATCTTATAAATGCATTGGAGCCTGTAATAAATATATATTTCATAATCTATGCTCTACGCATTAGTATTTAAATTATTTTGTAACGTTTCTACTATTACAGAAGTCTATCTTTCATATTTCAATAGCAGAGGTTTTACTCTAGTTCCCTACAGCATTTTAACTTTGCTGAAATGTGAGGTAACTGGCTGTGCCCTCTTTCTTGTTGTAGAAAAGAGCCAATTTCATAAGAAATATGCATTTTCCTCAAGCTCCTAGCTGTCCGATAGTCGGGACGGTGTTCTTCCCTATTCACTTTGAACACTTAATACTGGCATTGGAGGTATCCTTTAATTTTGTGCTCTGATTGCAGAACCTTTAATAACAGCAGTACCAAGATGGTCTTGCCATGCACAAGTGAACCGACAGGCTGCATGCTCTGTATGTGCACAACACAATCATCTTGACAAGCAGTGCATCCAGGCATCACCTGTACCTCTCGCTGCCTGGCCTATAATGGGCCTGTAGTGGACTGCCACAGTGAACGGAAGATCAGGCAAGCTAGTAAAATTAATTCACAGAACTGCAAGATTAACTGCCATACTACAAACTGGTTACTGCTGCTACGGAAAAGTGTATGAAAATCACTTATAAATTAGCATAACATGTTCTATTAAATAAATTATATTGCTTTACATTAAATTGTAAGAAATTGCCGAGAAGCCATTTTGCCTTTTGATAGAAAACTACTGCGATTTTATGTTCAGAATGATTAGGGGTGAATTAATTCTAAAAATTCCTAAAATGGGAACCTTTTATAAAGTATCAATAAATTAACTCTCGCTTTGACACAGCTAAAAAGACAAACAATTACACACACTGATAGCTGCACACTCACAAGCATGCACACACACACACACAATATGTGATAGTCACACATACTGACATTAGTCAGCAGGGAAATGACATATAGCAATCATGCATAGAGGAGAGCTGTCTGATGTATTTGCAATTAAAGAGCCATCAATAAGTAGAGCAACACTGTGCACTTGACTGCATAATGCAGAGGGTTGCACACTGTGACAAGGTACAGTAAGTTATAGGGAGGAATGGAGACTAATAAGCAGCACATTCAAGGAGAGCTAGCTATACACACATACATACTTGACAGGTGATGAATACACGAAAACCGTGACACCAGCTCTACACAGACTCCCCTAGAGACTGGCACACACACAGGAACATGGACACCTACTACATGCAGACAGACTAATGAAGGCCATTGTGGAACCTGGAGTTTCATTACATTTGTCACCTAGCCTAAATTGGCTAACATTTACCCTACTGTCTGGTCACTGATCATGTCAATCCCAGATTTAGAGATAGTAATATAGGATACAACATTTTAAATGAGGACATTGCTATAAAAAAAAAAAGAAATAGTACTTTATTTAATTTATTCTAAAATTGTGGATATTATATCTGTACCCTTTGAAGTCTTGAGCTTTTAAACTTGAACTGGAAGTGATTTCTAATGATAATACAGAGAACGAGCACTCTTCCAATACTGGAACTCTGCAATTAGCAATGCATTAGCACCGAACATGTAGGGGTATGGGGTACTTGAAAAGCAGCACATTTACGTCAAGGCTCCAGGAGTGATGGACTGTAGAAAGTGCCCCAGAAACGGTCGTTTTTGAGTTTAAGTCAATAAAGCAGCGTTTAATTTATTCAGTATGTCTTCAAATAACAAAGAAATTCATACTCAGAATGGAGGCAATGTTCAAAAGCTACATGATTTTAGGCCCTGAATATCAGAATTTGGAATCAAGGTTATCCCTCTAACATTTTTTTTTTTACTGGTGGAAGACCCTTATGTCTGCAGGACCCAGTGTGTGTTCTCACTGTTGGAACACTGAAAATGGAGCATTCCCAAGGTACAACATAGCTAATAATTTAAGCAATTAGATGGAGAGGAAATAGCTAATATTTTAGGAGATGAGATCGAGTGAAAACCGTCTTACTTTCTCCCAGCTTGGCAAAGTCTTTGTTCAGAAGTTCCTCAGCAGTAAGTTTAGAGAAGTTATCATCATCAAAGGGATTCCAACCAGGTGGCTCTGCAGGTATGTGGACATTCTGCTGGGAGGTTCGTGGTGAACCTGATGGGGTAGTGGTGGCCGACCTGACAGTTGAATGAAAAAACAAAAAACAATATTAATCCCCTCTAACACAGAAAAAAATAAAATAAAACACAACAGCATAGGAAAACAAACAAAAGATAATTAATGTTAACAAAAAGATGCTAATTAGCTGCCATATAAATAATGTTTGCATTGGCTTTGGGAGTTTAATATGCATATTTGCTCAATTAAATGATCATACCTATGTTACAAAGTAAAGCAATCTCTCTACACACATACTTTGTTTTTTGTTTTGTTTTTTAACAGGTGACACTATTTCCATACTCATAGCATTAAATATTACATTGTACAGACTTCAAAATCTCATGTGTCATAATTGTAACAATTTAATGACATAAGAGCACAGCTCGAATTGTGAACAGGGACAGGGGGGCATCTTTGCCTAGCTGAGCATGATGGGAGTTACAGTGCACAGCACCTTGAGTTTCATAAACCATTAAAGGAACACTATAGTCCCCTAAATTACTTTAGCTAAATAAAGCAGTTTTCGTGTATAGATTATTCCCCTGCAATTTCACTGCTCAATTCACTGTCATTTAGGAGTTAAATCACTTTGTTTCTGTTTATACAGCCCTAGCCACACCTCCCCTGACTATCATTGACAGAGCCTGAATGAAAAAAAAAACTGGTTTCACTTTCAAACAGATGTAATTTACTGTATGTAAATAACTGTATCTCAATCTCTAAATTGAACTTTAATCACATACAGGAGGCTCTTGTAGGGTCTAGCAATCTATTAACATAGCAGGGGATAAGAAAATCTTAATTAAACAGAACTTGCAATAATGAAAGCCTAAATAGGGCTCTCTTTACAGGAAGTGTTTATGGAAGGCTGTGCAAGTCACATGCAGGGAGGTTTGACTAGGGTTCATAAACAAAGGGATTTAACTCCTAAATGGCAGAGGATTGAGCAGTGAGGCTTCAGGGGCATGTTCTATACACCAAAACTGCTTCATTAAGCTAATGTTGTTCAGGAGACTATAGTGTCCCTTTAATGCCTTTTAACCCCAACATTGATGCTTAAAAAGACATGGTTATGATGCTGCACTGTAACACAGTGACATCACAGCATTGCTTAACTGACAATCAACACTCCAGAACAGTTATCATAGCAATCACTTCCCCCTCCGCACCCTCCCCCCACCCCCAAAAAAAGTATCTGCTAGTATGTGTTTGATTGTGAATGCTGATATACAATTATTCTTGCAGCAGGACAACATCTGAACACAGTTCTAATCCAGCTCTGGACTTGTAAATGCGGACAAACAGGCAGCCTGCTTTGGCTTCACAAGGCTCGTCAGTACTGAAAATGGTTTCTGGGGTGTCACCAGTAACATCTAATTGGCCTGCCCTGTTGGAAATCCTCACCTCAAAATGTGTTCACTCTATTTTACTAGGAAATAGACTTTTCTGTTGGATCAGGTAATATAGCAACAAATAGGAAATATCACAAATTAAGATGGATTTTTTTTTCCTACGTTCTACAACACACGCATTAGTAAAACCACCAAATTAATTTTCTTATAATGGATGGCCAATCCAGAACAGTTTTAAAATGTTAGATTATAACTGATTAAGGCACAATTTGGATTAGGAAAGTTCTATTTATTATAACATTTTTGTGTTAATTTCCAATCTATCACTATGTTTAGAATGTCTTTGAGGAGACACGCAAGATTGTTTATTAACATGAATAAACAATTCATGTTATTATCCATTTAGAACAGGTCATAATTATAAAGTCATGCAGAACAGCACCACCCAGAGCAATGATCATAAATGTTTAGGACTAAGGCACAAAAGAGAAACATTTCCAAGCTCTGCCCATTTTTAACTATTTTAAACCTTCATTAGTAGCTGGTGAATGTCGCATTTACTTGTATCCTTTTAGAGAAACACGTGACATATAGCACGTTGGCTATAGATAAACTGATTGCTTAGTTTTAATCATTTGCTCAACGGGATGCACAATTTTAATTTCAGCATTTATTTAAAAATACATACATTTAGCTTCTTACAGATCTGAAGTCAATGTATTCATGGCACATTTTAATGTAGCTTAAAGGACCACTATAGGCACCCAGACCACTTCAGCTTAATGAGGTGGTCTGGGTGCCTGGTCCATCTAGGGTTAACTCTTTTTTCTATAAGCATAGCAGTTTCAGAGAAACTGCTATGTTTATGTTAGGGTTAATCCAGCCTCTAGTGGCTGTCTCATTGACAGCCGCTAGAGGGCTTCCGCGTTTCTCACTGTGAAAATCACAGTGAGAAGACGCCAGCGTCCATAGGAAAGCATTGTGAATGCTTTCCTATGGACTGGCTGAATGCGCGCGCAGCTCCTGCCGCGCATGCGCATTCAGCCGAAGAGGAGGAGAAGAGGGAGGAGAGGAGGAGGAGAGCTCCCCGCCCGGCACTGGAGAAAGAGGTAGGTTTAACCCCTTCCTCTCCATCCAGCCCAGCGGGAGGGGGGCCTTGAGGGTGGGGGCACCGTTAGGGCACTATAGTGCCAGGAAAACAAGTATGTTTTCCTGGCACTATAGCAGTCCTTTAAGGCACAATGGTTGAAAGCCACCATAAGCCATGACGCTTGTTTACAGACACATGGCTGCGTTTCCATCAATGCATCAATATACTTTGTACATACTTGGACTTGTTGAGGTTTGCTTCAGCAGCGGCTGCCTGTAGCAGTTGAGTAGATTTGCTAGCGGGTACGCCAAATACAGCACTGTGTGTAACATCACTCAGAATCCTCCTATGCCCACCACGTTGGGTCTTGGGTGATGATGGAGGAGTAAGGGAGCCTAGCTTCTGCCCAGCTGCAGGTTGAGTGGGTACTGGCTGGGGCATTTGTGGTGCTCTCATTGGAGCTTGAATCTGAAATAAATGGATGGCGTTAGTCCTTTCTATGTTGTACTTTAAAAGATGCATATTCGCCCCACTGCTTCCCCATTCGAGAGGCTACCGGCTGCCCCCCTCCCTTTTTTTGCTGCTACCGGTCTCCCCGACATGGCCTGCCAACAACGACCTGGAACCCTTCTCATTCTGTCTGTTTTTTTTCTGTAATTTTTCTTCTCTACCACTCTACTGCTTTTCAATACTACTCCTCCCACCTATCATGGGACCCTTCGATATTTTTCTCGCTGTCGCGTCACTTCAAGCTGGATAACGCATCCAAAGAAAGAGGAGTAAAAACCCTCATGGGGCGGATCTAAAACAGGGGATACGCTAAATGAAACCACTAGCACTGCTGACTATCTCTTGCACAATATTGCTTTGCACTGGCTGGCTGGACAGCGCTGACAGCTACTGATTTATACAACCCATTTACTGTATAAACGCATATAATTGTAATAATGCAAACCACTTTCGAAGTCTGTTGCCAAATACTCACCGAGTACTGAAATACATAATATACTCAGTGCAAAGCTGTTATGTTAACCTGTATATCGACTGTATCCAAAAACCTACTACATGTACAACTTCCAACTTTCATGTCACTGATAAACATAATGTATTATCTGACTACTCTGCCACAGAGCGCAAAAATGTAAGAATTAAAAAAAAAAAAAGAAAAAAGAAAAGATGCATATTCCACCCTCTGGACATTTATAATTATAAGGAAAATACATCATTTTTAATGTTCTAAATGTCTTTGAATGACTGTGGGGCCATGGCCCTTTATTGAGATCCACACCTCATCTGAATAATGAATAGTCTACTTGCATTCTTTACTTGGTTATGCCGAGAGTGGGTGGTTAAAGATCTGCTATGTTCTGCCCCTTTATTGTATATTTTTGATACTACTTCTAGTGAATGTTTGTTCCATATATCATTAACAACCTCAGTAATGCAGTATTTGTAACTCTCCTTCCCTAAACATTTACCGCCTCTTAAGTCAGGCTGTGATCTACTTCTGGTATAGGTACAACATATAGGTAGCATATATTGATGAATGAAGGACTTACCATTTGTTCTGGGGGAGCTGATGGCTGAACAGCAGTCGGTAGAACTTGAGGCTGGTTCGGTAAAGGTTTTTGTACCACCGACTTCTGCTGCATGGCAGCCTGCTGAGCTAGAAGCTGCTGTTGTTGCAAGTAGTATGCTTGAAGCATCTGCTGTTGCTGCATTGCCTGCATCTTTGGTACAGAAATATCCAGATCAGCATATACACAAATATATACACACAAGCAAGGAAGATGGACACAGAAACCAGACAAACAACAATATGTACGCGACAAGCATACTTAGGCTGTTTAAATATTAGTATGACTGCAGAGCAGGAGTGATGAAATGCAGAAACACAAATGCTATTGGACTACATCCTGCGTACCCTTTTATCAATCACAAAGACAACTACAGGTTAAGTGTAATTAATTAAACCCCGAGGGGTCTGCTTTTTAGACCATACTGTATTACAAGAGATAATTTACACACACACACACACAATATATATATATATATATATATATATATATATATATATATATATATATATAAAGCCCTCACATTCTCAGTCCTGAAAACTATGAATAGTGATTATTGATTTGAATATCTAAACATTCACAAAATTTACACTATCCCAATACACTATTCCAAGTACAGTAGATCATGGATTGGGGGACAGAGCTGGCGGACAGTTTTGTCAGATATTTAGAAAGATCCACCTTTTGAAATTAAGATTGATTACATGAGAACAAGGCAGAGTATGCAGTAATGCTGCTGGATAATACGTTGCTGGATAATGAATTGTCTTCGGTAATGCAGTCACACTGTCAATGAACAGAACAACCATATGAATATTAAACTAAGTCCTGCAATCTATTTACAAACATGAACAATATAGAGTATAGCTATAAACATAGTAAAAACACACACACACTGTGGTTACCTGTTGAGCCTGCAGAATCTGCTGCTGTTGGAATAAGGCAGCTGCCTGCTGCTGCTGTAGAAGTTGCTGTTTCAGATAGAGCTGCTGTTGTTGCAGTGGTACTGGCTGTGCAGGTACTGGTGTTGGTGTTTGCAGTGGCGCTGGCTGTGGAGCGGTAGTTACTGGTATGGTAACCTGCGGCGCGGGTTGTGCCACCTTAGCCTGCAGTTGGGGTTGGGCCACTGGTTTTACAGCAGGCTGCACTGGTGAAGGTGCAGGAGCCTGAACACTGGCAGCTACACCTATGAAGGGAGGTGATACAATTAAATAGAGAGTGAAGCGGATCCCAAAACTATACAGTTTACCATTTGGGTAATAATAATATTAAAATATGAAAGGGCCATAATGAGTGAGTCTGTACGCAGGAAAGTGTGACCCCCATTGCGCTTTAGAAAGCTTTGCACATATTAAAAGAACAAAAGCCACGTCTAGTGACACGTGCACTCAAAATATATGAGGTTTGAGGGTTTCAATAGATACTATTTATAAATACAAATATTTCTTCAGTGGGACATTGGAAATTATTTGGAAGGCGGCGTGATAAAGTTACAATACAAAATAAATACAAAGTCCTGCTATGTGATCTAAAATCCACCAACACACTCTAACACCTGTGTGTTCACCTCTCTATACACACAAAATAAAGATAATACATACATGTAGGCGTGATAAAGTTATCCATTCATTACCTGAGTTAGGAACAACTGGTTGCACAGTTGGTCTTTTACGTGGTGTAAGGGCCGGCTGAATAGGAAGCATGCCTGGATTTGGTTGCGTCTGTCCAGCTTTGGGCCTTTGCCGTGGAGCTATGGAAGTTTCCATTGTTGGAATAGGGTCTGTTAGCCTGAAAAGCAGAGGGATCCAATTGCTGCATTGTAAATTAATAACAACCTAAAGTGAAATACTTGCTGATTATGAATAGATTCAACACCATCACAACGGCAGCAAGCAAAATGTTACTTGTGGGAAGCTTAGAACACTGACAAATAGAACACTAATTAACGTTAACTTGGTCATCTAAAAAGTACGCTTGCTTGAAATTAAGCTCTAAACATTAAATCAGTCACTGTATAATAAATAATAATACTAAGAAAAAAAATCCTCTAACCCAAAATGTACTCAGACTGGTGCTTGCAGGATTAATGCAAATCACTAGGATTCTTCATAAGAAGAATGATTTGTCACAGCAGAGCTATCTCAGGATGTCAGAGGAGATCACTTAATTTAAAATTAAAGTAGTAAACGAAGTAGAACTATCACTGTCAGACTTTATGGACAACACAAATCTGGGAACTCTCATGCTAAAGAATGGCATTAATTTCATCCACGGCGCACAGAACTCACCTAGCCTTGGGAGTAGTTTTCTTGGCAGCAGCTTCTCCAGCTTTAAATGGCTCTGGGAGCCTTGCTGGGATCACAGAGTCCTACAGAAATAGCACATAAAAGGGTAGTGTTCATTCACAGATAACTGTGCACTGTGAGTTATGAGCAACAGAAATGTGTCCCACCGGAACCATAATATGAGTACTTACGTGCGCATTCTGGACTGGGCATTCCTTTTTCACTAGCTTGAATGCAAAATAGGATACTTGATATATATCTGGCCTCTTATCAGGATCTGGCTCAAGCATATACCCTGATTGGAACAAATAAACAAGCACAATATGTATATGTTCCTGTCACAGAGATATCTATACTGAATCTCTAACTACCTAAAAAAAAATAAAAAAAATCAGATCTATCGAGAAAGAGGAGGAAAAAAAAAATTCAGCAAGAGAGATCGCAAAAGGAAGGGTTTTGCCATAACTAGCCTTAAAACATTAAGTAATGATTTATGCAGACACGCTATGAAACTTACGGATTAGGCAGTGCATGTCCTGAGAATAACGAGAATTGTCCGGGATGGTGAAATTGCCATCGCAGATTGAAACCTGACTCTCGCCAAATGGCAGTGTGAAGAAGCAGAGCTTGTAAAGTAGGCAGCCCAGCGCCTTCAGAATAGGGAAGAAATGCAGAACATCTAGGTCATGTAGCGTTCTTATGCAGGAACACTCAGGAAAAAAAGTCTTAGATACAAAATGAATACATATATATGGTCTGTATGAAAACATATAAAGTCTAGTAAAACAATTCTTTATTTTTCTAAACCCGAAGTCATGCTCTGATATGAAAATGTGAGCAACGGTGTCATAGTACAAAGACAAGTCATGTACTTAAAGTGATTTCTTGTATAGAATGTAAAATTTCAAATGTATCTTTTTCCAAAAAACATAATGAATTATTAAAGCAAAGAAAAAAAAGCAAAACAAAAAAAAAAAAAAAACATGAAGGACAGGGAACACAATCAAAACAAACCCATATATCAGCTTTAGCAGTGATTGTTTTTCCACTATACAAATTAACCATTTCAGGAGCACGATAGGAGAGGGTTGTATATCTGAAAAACAAGAACAATTTGAATGTGTTACTGTGTGCATGTAATGATTTATACAATCAAACACTCACCCAGTGCTGCAGATGTGTACATTTTAAAATTAAATTTTTAAAGCATGATTTGATAGGCAGATGGATGCATCAAAATATGTCAGTATTCATAATCATACTACACAATGTAAGGACCTACCCATATATACTGTATCAACTAATATATGTTCTATCCTACTGAAACATTGTGACTTTATGCTATACAGATTCATTCATTGGATGTGTTCTATTAAACCAGTCATGGCTATGCTTTGGTACTCAAGCGGAAACCATGAGGGAATAAACTTTATTTAAATTTTTTTACTGATAATCTAGAACGGTACATGAATAGCTTGCCAATGGAAGGAATACATGTTATTATAGGGGCACTCCAAGCACTATAACTATGGTCATCACAAGCCATCTTGCAAGGATTCCATATACGATGCTGCCATAGTCCACAGGTAGAGGACAAAAGTCTTCATTGCTAGTTTTATTCAGTCTGATGAGAGCCTTTCTTTCTATGAGAATACACTGACTTTATAAAAATTGATGTTTGGCTTCCCTCTTCAGCTTAGCCTTACTTTTTAATCTCCTCCTCAACTGTTGTGACCCCCTCACTCTGAGGGTTCTGGCATTTATTTGTTGCACTTCCAAAATCACACAGGACATAGTGACCACGGTCATGTAGCAGGATATTCTCAACCTATAAACAGACATGTAACAAAACAAATTGATTAGTAATAATCTTAAATATACTTGAAGCATCAACTGATAGGACAGCAGAAAGTATGCGCCATTGAAGATTCACGAGGATCTGTCTTGCAAGTTCTTTTGTATGTTTTGCGATTATGTAATACCATAAAATGACTAATGCCATGTTGCTAGGGTAAATATTTAGTTTTCTCTTTCTTTCTTTGTATCTTTCTTGTTTTTTTGTTTTTTTTTAAATCTTCACACCGTCACTAAAACGGAATTCAGATTCCCAGCTAGACTGGGTTTCATGTAAGCAAAATGGTCTTTCGGGATCAACCAATTCACCCAATAGTTCAATCATAGTTGGAGTCTTGCACGGTTGCATTGGTAGGGCCTCACCTGTCACGGCCATTCTAACTTATGCCTTTTCACACTACGCCACATTGTTCAGTTGCCCTCTGCCCCAAATCCTAGATAGTGCCTCTCAAAGCTTGGAATCTGGCAGGGACTCAATAGTCACCCAACTAGTTCATTTTTTTACCTCTTTGTATTAGTCAATCAGTCAGTTCGTACTACGACTGGGGGAGGGAAGGTCCTAATTACAATAATTAAAGGGACACTGTATGCATTGGATCTGCTTAAAAACAATAAACTGGTTTTAGTGTATGGAGACCCCTGGTATCATAATTTCATTCAGCATTAAACAGTTTTTAAGTTTTAACGCTAAACGAGAGTCCCCAGCAGTCTATCCCATCAGTGCTGCTTTGGTTAATAAGGAAGTATTAGTCTAAACAGCAATGGGTAGCCGTAATTTGTATAAGACAATCAGCGGACTGCTTTTAGCCTTTCAGAACTCCAACTGAAGGTATGAATGGGTAGGACTTCAAGGAAGATTGTAATCTCTGCCTTAGGCACACCTCCAGAAGGGGCCAGACTCTGGGTGGCCATGGACACTTATTTACTGTTAAACTGCTTTTATGCAGTTTAACACTGATTAGAGGAATAATACCAGTAGACTACAGGCACTATAACAAATTCAAAGAGATGAAGTGGTTATAGTGACTATAATATCTCTAAGTCAATTCCCTTCTCTCTTAGCATGTCTTCTTCATGTTAAGGTGACAATCTCCCCCTCCCTAGCACCCCAGCCAGAACTGGTGTACCTATCAGAGATATGTCTGCAAGTCCAAGCTCTATCAGTTCCTAGACAGGCCCAAAAATCACTGCAGAGCTACGGAGGCAAAACATATCATTCTCGGCTACGGACAGGAAATTATACTATCTAATAAAATCACAATCAGATTAACCAAGACCTGGTACAAGTGAGGAAGGGAGTAGTTCTAGCAATTTGGCAGAGATGCACACTATGCTATCAACCATAACAACTTCAATCAACTCTATAAATAATAGACTTGAAACGTTAGAATCTGCCAATTTGGCTGCCTAATCTGTTGTTCCTACTAACCTTCCTCCAACTCTCCTTCCTCCAAATCTTTCACAGGGTGATAAGTCACGCAATTACTAATTCAAATACAGCAACATTAGGAAAGTCTTATTATAAGAGAAAGATGTCAATTTGGGGTCTCTTCTCATAGCATCACAAGTTGTCATCCAGGCTAAAAGTATGGAGGGGTTTCTTTTTATGACTATCACAAATTGTTTTCTGCTAAAGCTGTTGCAGCACTAGCACAGTTGAGAAAGGTTACACTACCTCCATTAGCCTCCAAAGACTTGTGCATTCCCATATCTGAATAGGTCCTAGAACCAGGTTGACGTTCCACTGACTTTTACCAAGACAAACCAGACCGGACCCCCCACCGAAATTCCCCAATATTCCACCAATATTCCAGCAGGAGTAATGGATCGGTTTCTCTCCTGTTTAATAGACAAACCTCCTCAATATCCTCTCTTCACTTTAAATGGCTGACCACTTACTACATCCAAATGTATGTTCTACATCAATTAAATCCTCATGAAATTAGGGTTGGACCCTTTAGCTTATTCACAGCATTCATCCAGAATAGGGACAGCCTCGGCAGCTTCAAGACAAAACATACCTATGCACATCATAAAAAAACTAGGCTGATACAAATCAGTTGCATATTGTAGGTATATACCAAGACAAGCTTTTCATGACCATGGTATTTAAACATGTGCATTAAAATAAATTCTATTGCATCTCAATGGATTTAGTTTTGCAAGCTTTATTTACAAGTCTACCCGAATGTCGAGCCCTTTTTGCTCCTGGCTGCCTGTGTCCAAACCTTGCCCGACTCTCCTCTCCCTCTTATCAGAATTATACATAGGTTTGCCCTTTTTATTTACAGGTCTACCCGAATGTTGGTTTCGGCACACCCCAACTGACTTACATTATCCTCTCTACTAATTTGTTGGTTTTTTTTGTACCAACCACAGATATATATATCATTAAAGTTAAAGAATTACCCAAAAGTATTCCAAAACAATAATCTAACAGACTCATCTCCAGAATTTTCCTTAAAGTCAGCCTGGAAATGGTTGTGTGCTTGGACTATGGTAGAGGATACTTCAATATATGGAGAGTAGAGCAGACATGGGTCTTCAAGCACACGTCACCTTTAATCCTCTGGCCATATGGTTGGGTTAAACAGAAGCATGACTTGAAGTATACATTATCATCACAGTATCTGCTTGTCGATGTAGTTCGTTTTTCACAGATTTACCTTTCTCTTCCCTCTTACTGTGGTTGAGTGCGTTTATATGGCAGATGTGATTGCAGAAAATTAACTTGCCGTTTTACTCTCCAGAAATTCAATTTAAGATAATTGTAAGCAGTTTGCAAGCTACTTATATAGCGTTTAACAACCTGTAACATGTTTTCTTGTAGTGTCAAGTAGCTTTTGTACGAACTAAGTGACACTGATTGCTAGGATATATAATTTACGAACAAAAGTCAGCAGTCCTGTTCTTAGCCTGGTTGTGCGTTTTCATATGATAGGCAGGTTGCAGTTCACTGGAAAAATGTCTGTAGAAAAGGAGCAAGGTAAAAGGCTAAATAGCCTAGCAAAAAATATAGAAGAAAGAAACTTTCAGGGTTATTTACTAGAATGAGAATTCAAAGTGAATTTTAAATTTAAGGCCAAAGTAGTAGCCAAACTAGAAGTATGGCTGCCTCAGAGAACATTTTTACTTCAGCTGTTTTCACCTTAAATTTGAAATGTAATTTCACTTCAAATTCTCGCTTGTTCTATATCTGAGGGGTGCCTTCATTTCATTATCTTTGACAGGCACTAAACTGACTTCAGTTTCACACAGAGCTGTGGTTGAAGTAGCTCAGTGCTGTCCAACATATTCAATTGAGGAACATTTTCAAATACCCATCATCCTCACCCAAAGGAAAGTCCTGTCATGTACTTATGTTTATAAGAAGTCACTAAACTTATTTCAAAGGGACAGACTAAGTGCTATATGCACTACAGCACACTGTAATGTTTAAAGGGCAAAGGACTTGGTTTCCATCCCTTCATGTGGTTAGGTAAGACCATGGCTGTTCTGACACCTAAATTAGAACCCTCCACCTGCAATTCATGTATTGCCAAAGTGGACTTCCGCATTAACCCATCCAACTATGTGTTAGCCCTGTGCTCTCAGCCTATTATTGCAATCTAAACTCGGACTAGCCCGTATAGAATTCCACTTCTTCATAGCCGAGCAGCAGCAGAGGGGTTTATGTGGCAGGATAGCTCATGTTTCTGGCTTTTGTAAAACAGTTTGACACTGAGCAATAGGATAACAACAAAAGACTTGCTGAATCACAAGCACTACAATGAACTGTAGTGTTTATGGTGTTTAAAGCCCACTGAATGGGGTGGGGTGAGCCTTTCAGTACTCAATGATTGGCAAGATGTCATTTTTTTTGTTTGCTGTTTTAAATAACGAATTCAACTTACAAATGATTTAAAATTGTCAAGTAATGTTCGTAATTGAAAAGTTTACTTGTAACTGGGACAGTATTAATATCAGTTTGAAGATAGTACTTTGCTAAGTGTTCGTAAAACATTTCTGTTTCTAAAAATCGATCATGTTTAATTTTTTTTGCATAAACCATGCCTCAAGTGGCTGTAATACTAACAGTCACTAGAATTGCATTCTCATTCAAGGCCTTTTATTTTAAGGTCTTGATATACATTAAAGAAAAGTATTTAATTCAATGCTTCCATAGTAGAAGCACTGGTTTGGAAACGCTACTGCGGAGCAGGCATCCTACATCTCCAGGACTTCTACAGGAGAAGCACTGGATTGGACAAGAGGTCATCAGTACTGATGACTTCATTGGGAGCAGATTAGATGCACTGAGGAGAACGCTCTGAAGCTGAATTAAACCTATTTGTTTGAAAGAATTTAATTAAAGAGGGAGAGCACTAACATCCAAAATAAAAATATTTATTTTAATATTAGAAAGCTCATTTAGGTTTATATTATAATCATAAACTCATGGTTAGTCACAAAAGTGAATATTCATAGTGAATTTTTAATTATAGTAAAAATAGCCAAACTGAAAACATGATCTAAATCAGAATTCAAATGTAAGGCCAGAGTAGCCACTTTGAATTCCTGACAAGTTTCACTTTAATAAATAATCCTGCAGTTACCCGGTATATCATAAATTTCAATTGTGTTTGAATCAAATGTTTTCATTTGTACATGTATGTACACACATACGTGCATAAAGTCCTAACGTGGCAAATATATAGTTCATGGAGATCAAATAATAAAGCTTTTAACAACCTATCCTGAATATTCATCATTATAATTTGCAGAGCACCAATGCCATGGTTGTACAGTAAGGAGGTATATGCATTTGTGACATATTGAAAGAGACAGAAACAGATGGTGCGAGGGCCATGCTCACTAGGGCTTATTTAAATTTTACATAGATTAGCGCATACACCTAACAAAAGCTATGGGAGTTTTATGGCCCCAAGCAACCAATATCCAAAATCTTTTATCCTTAGCATTCCCAGTACCAACACTACAGGGTACCAACATGTTTCCGTCATGTTTGAAAATACTGTATATAAGCACAATCATCAAATAAAAGTGTTTAAACTGCACCTATTTATCTGTATTGAAATATGGAATAAAACTAGCTTACTTGTATTTTATTTTTTATTTTTTTATTTTTTTTAATAAGCAGGCTTTTTGTACCAACAGATCCCAGCCAAATAAAAAGGATTAGACATGATTTATAAAGTCAGCAGAACAGTGTCATTCAGAATACTGTCATTATAGAGATGTTCCCACTTAAAGAAAAATACTTTTAAACGGGCATCTGAAATAAGTGCATCTTGCAATATCGTAGCGGAGCTGTAAATTCAGATAACCGTCTGACAGAGTGGCAGGAAAATTAGTGTAAAATAAAGATTTATTTTCGAATGTCTATCAGCATGGGGAATCTTATAGCAGTCGTTTTATTCTCCATGGGCACTGCTAATTAGACTACTGTTTACGTATATTAGATGATGTGTCATGCGCCTTTATAATTACACAGCACTTGAATAACAACGTCTACAGATATTCAAGCTGGCAGATATGTGCAGGTATGTAACAAACACACACAGACAGTGAGGATAACGCGCCACAATTCTCAAAGACAGGCGGAAAAATATTCAAACTGCTCAAAATAAAGACTGCATTATACTTAAAATAGATCTGTGATTTTTTTTTCCACGCAGAACAGTTTATAAATAGTTGCAATGGGGCACATGTTTTGCTACTGTACTCTAGCACATTGGATTATTAAAGAAACAATGACTAAGAGGATAAAGCACTGACGGTCAGTTTTACTTTGAGTATATTTACAACCCTACATAGTGAACCATACAGAAATCCCCACATTTTTGTATATAGTCTTTCCACCAGTAGGAACTTACAGGGATTGGACTGCTAAGTTTTCGGCTCTTTTTTAGCCAGGCAAATTGCTGAATCTTTGGTTCTATTCAAAGACATGGGGTCAGTGCCAGTCTGGTGTAACACTTGACAAGGTCTTCTGCAAGTCGCCTTGCCATTCCCATTCTCTACAGCAACTTTTGGAGGCGAAATATTGCATATTAGCAGTCAGCTAAATGAAAGTTGGAAGGCTTTGAAAGACATGCTGCAATAATTTATTTGCAAGCTGCAATAACAACCTGCACTGTCCTATATAGCATAAATCTTTCAGTAACTGTACTTGTGGAACGTGGTTGTTTGGCCAATAGGTTCCTAAAAGACAGATACCCATTCATTCAGGCCTCAAAAATATTGTTACCATATTTATGTAAAGGATGAAGGAAAAAAATAAAATGGTGTCAAATTATGTCAATATTTCAGGTATTTCTGAACAGCACACATACATACAGGTGTTTTATCCAACACTTGCTAGCTAGCTGCCATGTATCCATGGGTTCAAATACACATTGTGATGATTTTTCCTGGTAGGGTAAATAGATTTTATAGATTCAATTATGGGGAAAAAAGATTAATCTTTAGGAAAGCGTATCTCTTACATCCTGATTGTTGCACAATATAGATGTCTAGTAATATCCTTAAATAAAATGTACTAAGTAGACAGTATTTTAGAATCACACTAATCATGTCCGATAATTAACAAACGATTTTAAGTTCAAGTTATTTTAAGTAAATAAGTGATTTGTACATAGTCAATAATAATTAACGAACCAATGATGATTAAACGACTAGGGGCAATAAGAACAATGCATATGAACTCATATGAAACATTCTCCTGAGGCAGAAAATGATGTAAAGGTATATACTAGAAGGGGAAGACAAGATATTTATGAAGAAATGTATCTGTAACCACAAGGATCTTTGTGCAGTTATCCTCTGTTTAGCACATCATGGAAATGAATCCCATTAATAAAAATGAGCCTTCATCACGTCTCGAAGCTACAGGATTACAAATCTCTCTGTGACTAAAAGTGATAAATTCCTGTGTGCTAGCAGGAGAAGATTTACATAAGGACTGAACAGCTTAGTGATGTCTTAATGCACGGTGCCAGTTAATGGTGCCAGGGATTGCATCCTCTCTGAAGGATGCACCATATGAAGAGGGCTTGCAGCAACAACTAAAATAAATACTATAGCGTTAGGAACACAAACCTACTGCTATAGTGTTCTCCTGTGCCTTTAGCTTAGGGTCCCCCTTCAATCTAAACACAAAAGATCCAGTCCCTGCACATGCACGATCCGCTTCCCGCAACGTCAAGCAGGCTCTTATTTTGTTCTAATCCAATGCTCCTTACAAAGAAGCATTGGGGAAAAAAACTGCATGTGTGCCCCATGTTATGCTCCTCCGAAGAAATTGCGGTTAGCTAGGAGAACAGAGTTTGACTCACTTTTAACAGTGCAAGCGCCTTTAGCGGCAGTCATGAAGACAGTCACTAGAAGTGTATTGAACCCTGCAATGTAAGCAATGGTGTACTACTAAACGGCAATGCTTTACCTTGCAGGTTTAAAACGAAAGGAGCACTGCACTCAGACCACTTCATTGTGATAAAGTGGTTGGGTGTCTTTAGTGGTGTTTTAAACAACACATACTAGATTAATGCTAATAATATGCTTTTTTTATAAAGCGGAATATTCAGAGCCTTTAGTGCATGGATGGTATGTTATTCCATAAAGTCTCTTAATCTCACACACAGTCCTGAACGGGAATGAGATTGGCCTATGTACATCCCTCGGCAGGCATGGAAAGCATGCTGTCCATGAAGGAGACATATGTTGCATACTGCAGCTTCCATCTACTTCATAGGGCAAGCACTGGAGGAAGTGGGTAGACAGAAGAGGGAATCTGTTAGGTCTAGAGATCCTACCTACATCAGGCTATCTGTGCCTTTTTTTCTGAGTGCACTACACATATTCATACATACACATACAATGTGTAAACCACCTGTAAAGCAAGAACTTGATAGAGATATTAATTGAACTTTAATCACATACATAAGGCTCCTGCATGCACTAGCAGCTTATTAACAGATTAGCATATGAGAAATTTAAAATTAGACAGACTGTGCAATAAAGACAGTTTAAATATTAGATCTCTCTTTACGGGAAATGTGTAAGGAGACAGCAAGGGAGCTGTGACGAAGGTTGCATTAACAAAGTCATTTAACTCCTAAATGGCAGAGAATTGTGCAGTGAGTCTGCAGGGGCGTGACCTATACACCAAAACGGTTTCATTAAAAGTCCAGGTTTTGTCAGTATCCCTGGTGGTACAGATAGGTAATTCTTAAATCCAGGACTATTGTTATCCACAGTTATTAACAACTGTCCTTTAATTTGTCTGCAATATTGTTTTTAACAGATGAAGTCATTTTTAGTGATAGTATCAATTTAAGAACAGCAAATAATCTACACACAATTACTGATTCACAATTTTCATATATTCTTGGGGGTGTGCATTTGTTACTCTCTGGAATCCCAACTTAACTCAAACAGTCCTGTGAATCCAGTTCCTATCAGATTAAGATGTTATCTACATATATAACTCAATATTTCTAAAGTATTCACAAGACTGTAAAATGGACATTGGAAAGTATGAACATTTGACAAAAATAAGTAGTTAATAATAAAATGGCAGCTTTCTCTAAATTAAAATCTAAATCTGTATAAGAAAATGGGCACAAATCTCATGGGTACCACATCTGAAGAAAAAAAGGCCCCCTTGGCTGTCAAATTTATGGCGAGCACCTATAGCTGAGCGCTCTCTATAAGCAACTTTTAATGTCTATGAAGACCCATACATGTGTCTAGTGCACATTGTAAATTGTAGATCTTGCCAGATCTTCCCAAGTCCTTTAACCCCTTAAGGACACATGACATGTGTGACATGTCATGATTCCCTTTTATTTCAGAAGTTTGGTCCTTAAGAGGTTAAAACAAATATGGAGTAATATGATACATTCTCTAAAATACTCTATAGCAAACTGTAATCTGGAGAGAGGACATGTCAGAATTACATTCAAGATATCCATACAGAAGTACAGATACAAGTCTGTAGCACTTGGAGAGGGGGATTAATGAATTAATCCAACACAGATGTGACCCTCTAATACCCCAGACAGATGACAGGGTTTAGAAATGGTAAAGGAAATTAATGCAGCAAAAAAATGACTGCTGGTAAAAAGGTTTGAGAAAACAAAACACCAATACTTGCAGTCAAAGCACACCAGGGAAACAGACAGAGAGAAGCAAAACTAGAATATAAGGAGGGTATGCGCTAGCCTATGACCAGAATATGCTTTAATAGTCCAGACCATAGAGAAATAAAAGAAGAAAAAGAAAACAACACATTAGTATCAACCAGGGAATCATTAATGGAGGCCAGTGCATAAAATCCACCTAAGCGTACCTTGAGATCCCGGTGTATTATCGGAGTCTTGCACTGGTGAAGACGGGCCACTGCCTCGCATGTGTCACAGAAGATCTGAAGAACTTCATTTTCTGTGAATCCTGTCTGCAGTCGTTGATTCATCAAGTTCACCACTTGTCCTCCTGCAGATAGAGAAAGAAAGTCCCAATTTCATGCATGGCTTATTGGATCACTAAGAAAAAATAAATGTGGCCTCAGCAATACCAATGCATAACATGTTATATATTATGTCAAAATCATGAGTTACACAGGGACAGTCCATGCACAGAGAAGGCCAGTTACATCACTGAGGCGATAAAGTTTAGAAAAAGAAAGTGGAGCTTTTTAAAAAATGTCAGATCTCAAACAGAGGGGTGACTGCAGGCAGATTAAATACATATTGATAAAGCGTCATGGTTGCTTTGCTGACATACACCTACAAGGGTAATGCGTGGTAGACATTGGCTTCAGGAGGGGGGACTGACCATGGCTAAAGCCTTGAGTAGGCCCCTGAAAAACCCTTGGTCTAAAAATCGGTAATTATTTTTAGCTCTGCATCCCAGGCCCTGGGCTGCTGTGGGACTCAGAGGCTATATGTACAGTGCACCCTGTGCAGATATGTTCCTCACTGAAGCTCCAGCACTCCTTAATCATGTCAACTTCAGTGATTGCATGGTGGGAACTCTTGGGAGAGTAAGTAACTGTGTGTCTATAGGAGTGTTTAAGAGCGTTGGGGAGAGGCAGGAGTGGGAGGTGAGCAGGGGTAAGTAGGGTAACTCAATTATTTATGGGCTCAAAAGCCAGTTGTTTTTTTGTAACCCTAGCTATGTCCCTGGTTTTATATTGGATACTAAAACAAGATAACATATCAGAGGATTGTGGTAAAAAAAAAAAGAGCAAAAAAAAAAGCTTTATTGCTGTATTCCTTCAACTATGAGTAGTAGAGTAATAGTAAAATGTAGACATTGCTTGTAAACCTCCACAAAGGTCAAAGGAACATCTCCATGACATCCATAGTAAGTGCTTGGTCAATCTTTTTCTGTGCATGAGGGCCCACCAGAGAATTAAGAGCGAGTGCAATTACTCTGTGGTAGACACAGATTAGTTGGGAAATGCAATATTAACTTTTGTGAAAACAAAATTCTCTATTATGTTTATGTTTGATCAAGCAAACCCAGAACCCAACTTCTACACATGTTCTGAAAAAGAAAGACAGACAAACACCAGATTGATGAACTCTACTTCAACCAAGAAACAAGGGAGAATGATGTTTCTGTTATTGACCGTGCCACCAAATAAAAAAAGACAACTGAATCCTTGCAAATATCTAAGGAATGCAGAAAGAGGATGCAAATGTTGATTTAGGTGTTTTTTAAAAATACAATTAAGCTGGTTGTGTATGCAGATACTCAAACTGTCATGCAGGTCACTGAATATTGTCAATAACTGATAATCAAAATCCAAGGCCTCACCTCGACAGAAATCCATCAGGATCAGAACCTCCCAAACATCCCCACTGCTCACAGAATTAATACTGGAATCTATGTATCCAACGATGTTCTTATGTCCAGAGAGATCCCTCTACAGAAAGAGAGTAAAACATAAAAAGAGGATTCACCAGTTGTAAAAGGGAAAACATTAACAAAAACAACATTAAACAGTGCCGTAGTAGACCATGGAACGCGAGGCCGGCATCGTAATGATTTAAGCAAAATTAAACAACAACAATATTAAAGGGATACTATAAGTGCCAGAAATAGAAATCTGTACACCTGGCACTATAGCCACTCTTCCTCCCCCCTCCCTCGCACCCACCACCGACGTGAATAATGGGTTAAAAACCCTTTACCTACTTGCCTTAGCCGCTGCCTGCTTTGACGTCCCACGACAAGCAGGCTCTAATGCGTATGTGCGGCACATGCCGCACATACGCATTAGAATCAATGCTTTCCTATGGGTAAAAAAATAATAATCTGACACTGGATATCCTCATGCAGAGCGTGAGGATGTCCAGTGTCAGTTACCGAACCTTTTAGGATCCAGGTAGCGCCTCCAGAGGCTGTCTGGGAGAGAGCCTCTGGAGGCAGACTTAGTGCTGCAATGTAAACATTGCAGTTTCTCTGGAACTGCAATGTTTAACATTGCAGCACTAAGTGCAATAGGGACAGTGCACCCACACCACTCTAAATAGCTGAAGTGGTCTGGGGGCCTATAGTGTGCCTTTAAGGTTAAGATATTTAAGTAGTAATTTATTACACAGAGCAACACCAATGCTGTATGAACCCTTAATATTCCACAGAATGCCTAAGCCCACAGGAAGTGAAATGGTTAATGGACACAATCCAGTCTATACCACTCACCAAAATATCTGAAAGGGAGGAAAAATAAAGTAAAGAAATTTCCGTTATAATTTAAGAAAGTAGCATTTTGGGAGAAACACCACCTAACCCCTGTAGCACAGATGCTTGACCTCTCGGAAGAATGCCTTCCTTATCCTTGGCAACAAACTTCAGTTAAAGATAGGATTACCATATCCACCCTGATTCATTTCACTCGTACATACGAAGCAGCAACACATGAAAAGTGCTGTTCGGCAATACGGAGAATTCCAATGCTGCATAAAGGTGGTCAATTTATTATATCAAAAGGAATCGGTTACAGTACTACAGGGCAGCTTTATCAGTGTACTGTCCATCAAAATGTAGCTGCAATCCCTGTGGAACTAGCAACCTTAGTTAAAGGCCAGTTAATGGATATTACATCTGAACAAGCCACTAGCCTTAAAACTGGACTATAGATACCAATAGTACAAATGGGTATTATCACTATCTTATACACTATTAGAACAAATGATGACCTTTTATGTACTTGCCAATGTATCAAGGGTAACTGTGCTTCATTGTGTGTATTTGTAGGGGGTTTCACACCTATGTATCTTGACATTCATGGTCTTGCCCTCACCACTGATCTAAGAAGCTGAAATTATCCTGTTGGCTTGTGGGAAGTATTATGTTGTGTTTTGTTTCATTCCTTTTTACTTTTCTCCCAGTTTCTTTTACTAGTACACACTGGGATACAAATACACAGTTTAATTAATATAGCCCAATTAATTTAAAAAAAATTCTTTGATGTGCAAATGATAACAAGTCACAGGCATAGAGAAACAGGTCAGCAGGAGTTTGTAATACAGGCAGATTTTTGAGCATGAAATGTAACGTGAAATAAATGCTGCACATTTTTTGGAGGAGAAAGGAACAAAAAAAATATAGTACCAAGCTAAATTTACAGCTATTAACACAATATTGCCACCACTGGGGCCCCAAAGTAGTACTGGGAGAAGAAAGGTGAGTAAAGGCTTGAAATCCAGCACTGCATGAAAGAAGAAGAGTATGTCCCCTGGACGCCATTCAGCTTATGCCTGTCAGTGGCAGGATACAGTCCCACAGAATCATATTGTGCAATGGGCCACACATGGCAGGAGCAGGTAGTGAAGTGAGAGACAGATAGAAAATATGAAGCCAGGACTGGTCTATGTGCCATCTGGGGTAGTAGGAGATTTCTATCCTCCGACCTCAACCTTAGCCTCATATCATACTTTTAGATCGTACAATTTCTGTTTGGATTTACTGTTAGAATTGATCAGATTTATAGATGGTTAGGTTGAGTGTATGCTGAGACTCCTCACTAATGGATGTTATAGTGAAGTTTAGTCTCTCACCACGTGTATCAAGACATTTTACTCATATTCAGTTTTGATTTACATATTGTAGTTAGCTAGCGCAGCTTCTTTACCCAGAAGTAGGTGCCCTCGAAGGCACAGTGAGACTCTTTCTGTTATATAGCACGATATCTATCACTCGAATCCATGTAGATTGTAGTCAGCTAGCCCAGCCTCTTTACCTTGAAGGAGGTGCCCTCGAAGGCCCTCGAAGGCACAGTAAGATTCTTTTTGTTATACAGCACGATATCTATCACTCGAATTCATGTAGATTGTAGTCAGCTAGCGCAGCCTCTTTACCTTGAAGCAGGTGCCCTCGAAGGCACAGTAAGACTCTTTCTTTTACACAATACGATATTGAGTCGAATTCATACTATCATATTTTATGAAAAGAAACTTTATATCTTTTTAGCTGTGACCTGAGGGGTTTTTCAAACACTTCTGGTGATAGAGAACTTTCTAGCCGTGATTTTACACTCTCTTATCTATTGAGGTATATACCAGTTAGCTGTTTGGAGTCTGACTAGACAGCACAGCTTTTTGGTTTAAAAGCAGATGCCATCGTGGACACAGTAAGATCTGTTCCACTATTCGGTACAACAACACTCAATTACTATACTTCTTTGTATTCTATGTAAATTATACCGAGTGAATATCATACGTCAGTTAGTTAGTCAGACTGACGAGGATCTCTTTATAGACCCTTTTTTCTCCCCATATCCTCTGGACGAATATGAGTACATTGTAGGGAGTCAGACTGAGAAGGACTCTCTACGGATTTGTTTTACCGCATATCTCCTGTTTAAATATAAAACCTAGCATTAGACGGACTAAGCCCAGACCCAATAATCAAATCCAGATAAATTAAGATTCAGACTGTGCAAGACAATGCAGACGTTTGTCCGTCTACACTAGATTCAGCAAGTGATCGAAACAAATTGATACATTACAATATTTGGCAACATGAATTCATATCCAGCTGGCACTTTCTATTCATACATTCTGTTATAACTATATAGTTACAATATATTGAATGCTAACTTTGATTCTGTGTCAGCAAATACGATCATTTGTCTATATTTTCCTACAAATCTTTTGTGGGAAACTGAGGTTTTTATAACCAACATTCATTTATTTATTTATTTATTTACTTGTTTTCTTTTTCTTTTCTTTGTATATTTCTTGTTCACTTTATAGATTTTTCTAATAAAAGTTACGTTTTAAGATATCAATAACATCTCTTTAGGGCAGTGCTTTCCTCCTTTCACTATATCCTATGTGCCATCTGGTTTCCGCCCCCTTGGATAACCCGGATTGTGGGGGGTGATTGCTCCGCTTTAGTGTAGCGCTGCGTTCAGCCTTTTTCTTCCATTGCAGATGCAGTCTTCGCCACTTGAGGTGGGCCACTATAAGGGTCTGAGCAACTCATCGGTTCTGGGAGCCTCTGGGTACCTTCGTAGGTGTGGTAGGCAGTGGGGCTTGTTGCGCAGTAAGGAAATACTTATGTCGTAGTTGAACACAGAACTGGTGAAAGAGGGTGTCCAGGTTAGACCACGCTCGCTGGTGCGCCTGATAACATGCTGCCTCCGCCATTTTAACTGCGCTGCCCTTGTAGGAGCCATGCTTCACGGTATTGTTTTCTCGCGGAGCATAGGTGCTCCCTGGGTGAGGACCAGGATAACCCCCGCCGGTCCATATGGGGGTAACGGGGCAGCATCTTCTTAGTGCTTGAGTCAGCACGCGTTGGGCCGGGAGATTGGCCACCTCTCCCTAACACAGCACCCGCCAGGCCCTGCTCCCTCTCGGCAGAAAGACCTCCAGCTGTGTAGTGCTCGTGACCGCTGGATGCAACCCCAAGCCGGTCAAACATTGCAGGACATTGTGGAGTTTCAAACTGCTCAAGGTAGGGTATGAAGAACCTTGGTGGCTGGACTAAATCTGGTTATGCTGGAGGAGCTCGTAGAAAACACGTCCAGCCGCCATGGCTGCCAGGCCCCGCCCCCCGACCCAATTTTTATTTGCGCATTACACTAGGAGGACCCAATCTCTTACCATGATTTGAATCTCTCTCTTGCAAACTTGTAGGTCTTGCTCATTATTCACATACATGCGTTTTAGTGCTCGGCGCATCCCATTGCTGGTTCGAACCAGGAAAACAAGAGCAAATCCTCCTGTGGAAGACACATTGCATGTTAAAATATTACCAAAATTATTAATTATATACGGTCATCACATGTATTAAGGATCCAAAGATGCAAATATTTTCACTGAGATCATTAATGCCTGAAAGGTTTTCAGTATTGTAATTGTGGTAAACAAATGCAAAAATCTAGGTACTAGTCACCTTTAACCAGCTCCTTTTCCTGTTATTTAGATAACTGCTGAATAAAAATACCTGACAATGGAAAAAATACAGTGTCTTTGATTAGGACACCTATAATCAGCTGATTAGGTTTTACATAATTTTTTTTACTATGTGGGTTCACTGCAATCTCCACTCAAGTAATTCTGGATTCACTTACTGGAAGACCTGGGTGTCTTTTTCATGAATCAACTTCTGTTTACTGAAAACAGTATCTTGTCACATTTATCAGAGACACCCACCTTACATGATACATAATAGCCAGGAGTAAGAAGCATTGCAGTTCTGCACCCACTGTGCTACTGTCAGTTCCCATAATCCTTTGCCAGTCATCCAGGTTTCCTGTGTTTAATCAATAAGTCCAGCTGTCGTGGACTACTTTGTCATGACTCTCAACCAGCCAATGACAAATCAAATACGTGTTAGTCATCCTACATTAGTGGACACGGTGTTGCCATTTAGGGGATATCAGACTTTAACTACCAAAAACCATGATTAAATTCACTGACTGGACAATGTAAAACATCGTGACTTTGTTCTCTTTGGATGGCAACATATGATGAGTGTTTACGTGCCCACCGTTGCTCTAGGTGCATGTATGTATAGGAGTTAGGCACTGAGTTTCTGCAGGTTTTGCAAGGAGGTCTTTAAGGATGAGAATATTTTCCTCCTACCTGGGCACTGATTCTATTATTAATAGGATGCAGGAAGCAGTCAGGACGGTTTATAAAAATAACTTAGAAAGGCGAGAGAAGATAACGAGGCAAAAATTGTTCATAATCATTTGTGCAGCTGCAAAAGACCTCCTTTTATATTGACTATTAACAGAACCACAAAAGCAAATAAGATAATTTTTTTTTTAAAAAGACAGACCTGTTCTAGGTTCTGCCGATTATTAGAGCCGATATTCAGCATATTAATGATAATCTGTACCAGCCTTGTAATTTACTGTTCTTACCGATAACTTACTCACCTGTCCCAGTCACTACATGTATCTGGAAACTTCAGCCTCAAGCAAAAGAAGAGTCATTTAGTGACCTCACGCCACCGCTTTCTGTGAGTCATGTGGAGCTAAAGCTGAAGGCATGGAGATGAAACAGTAATACACTGGGCTGGCTGACAGTGATAGGAGTATGATTGCTACCACAATCACACTCCTATCAGTAACAGCATGTACCGGCTGTCAGAGAATGATAGAAGTGTAATTGCTGTCAGAATGTTCAATTAATGCAAGATTTGTGTAGAAACTGTGTTGCTTTTTTTAAACTTTAAATGTACAGAATATCGGCACCAGATATTGGCAATCAGCCCAAAAGGTGACAGATAATCGGTATCGGCTCAGGAAAAATTATATTGTTTGATCCCTACTGTGTTCGTACTTGACAACTCACTTGCAAGATTTTAACAGTCTATGTGAAGGAGTTTAGCATTGCGTCATTCCACAGCACGTAACCTATGTCATTAGATCCTATGTCAGCACATTATACAGGCCAAGAGTGACACAGCATGAGTAACAACAAATTCCAGTTTATCAGCAAACCTACAATTACATTCATTCACTCTGTACAGAAAGAGGACGTCAATAGAGGTGAACCTGTATAAACAGCAGCAAAACAGCCTGTTTTCTTGCCCAAGTGAAACTATACTTATGAATGACACATAGGAGACACATACAACAAGACAGCATCACTGGAATCTCAGCATGTCTAACAAGGTCATTGTTAGGCTTCAGCACCACCTGGGGCTTGAGTCCAAAACAAATCTTGATGACCCCTACACTAACAGAGAGGTAGAGATGTGTTGCCGTATCCCTACCTCTCTAGGATATGTTGCTTGCCACCTACGAACAACATGCTGCTTATGTTCCTTGAGTTCTTAATGAAAGTATAGCCAGGAACAAGTAGATGCAGGTATTCAATGTGACCCTGCCATGCTACCTAACTAATAGAGGGGTGTGCAGCAAAGTTCCCTTCCCCAGCACGCCATCTCAAAAGTTACCTGGGGTGGCACAACTCCCCCACTCCACCTTAGTAGCCTGAAGGAGCGGTGATCTACTCAGATCAGGGGCTACAAAGTCAAATATCTGGGGAGTCAGCCCACAATTCCCCCCTAGCAACACCTATGATGTTAGCCCAGGAGTGGAATGGAATGATTACTATAACCTTTTCACTAGGCAACTGGTGCCAGATTAGTCTGTCCATTATTCTAAACAGGTAAATAGACAGTCCTTTGTGGATGAACATCCTGATTCTTAACTTCATCAAATTAAAAAAAAAATAATAATAATAATATACACACATATATAAAATTTATTGAGAATATATATGTATCCTCTTTGCATATCAAAATTAACAGCAAATTCACAAGTTCTGATTCCACTGCAGTGGTGCCCCATTCAACCAAGAAATGGATGAGATCTCTCAATCAAAAATCTATTGACAATAATAAATGGCAGTCATAGGGTTTTGTGCCGATTTCCCCAATTTCCTGAGGACAATGGACAGCAGTAAGGTGACAAAACAAGCTATAAGTAAGGGGATAAAAAGACAAGTATATAAATGTCATGTATAAAATAGAACAGCACAGTATATCATGAACAACGTTACCCTGATAGCTGTACTAACAATATATAAATATATTTAAATTATAGTGCCCGGTAATTGCAGAGTAGGTGGTAGAGTAGGGTTAGTGTCGACAAAATAGAGAACAGATGTGTAGCAGCTAAATGGAGACTAAATAGCATGATGGCTTAACACACTGCTATTTTAGATTTATTATAACATGTCTAGTTTGGATTTTAACATTATAGGGACAAGTACGGTGCTCTACTATTTTGTATGCATTAAGTGCCAATAATCTGATCTTGAAAACTTGTCAGTTTTTTTGTTTTTAAAGCACAGACTCCATGTGAGTTGATGCAACATCCAACACTATAGCTGTCTCCCATAGTCCTACATCCTCATTTGGTGTGAGGTGCAGGTGGTAGAGCACACCGGACCTGTATGTCACAAAATGTTACTGCATAGAGCATGGTCGAACATCACTTGCATGCAACAAGCAAAACTTGGCACACTCACCAAGTATGTTTAACCCCTTAAGGACACATGACATGTGTGACATGTCATGATTCCCTTTTATTCCAGAAGTTTGGTCCTTAAGGGGTTAATGGGACACTCCAGACTCCTAAAGCACTTGATCTTACTGAAATGGTTGATATGTAAAGAGTGTGTCTTTTTGCTCTTCCTTTTCATTTTACAAAAAGTACAGGTTTCAATACAATTTGACACTCTTATGAATTTACCTGGTTACACCACCTGGCTTTCAAGAAGACAACAGACAATGTTACATCCTGGTTTGGTTAGCTCATTGGAGCTAAATTTAAGAGGCAGCAATCGCCCAATGCACCTGCCTTGCAAAGACTTCTCATTGAGAAGTCTGTTATTGGATATAAACAGAAAGTCTGGACGGGGTTAGAAAGGGAGGGTTTGCAAAGGCAGCAAGCAAGAGATGGACAGATTGTGCATGCTGTTTTTAGATATCCTCCCAAGGAAAAAAATACACGCATGTTTTCATATAGGGTGTAACTACTAAAAGTGGTGGGGGGGTTTTTACATGTATTTTGGCAGTGGAATGTCCCTTCAAATTAAAAAACAAAAATGTAATTTCTAAACGAATTTCATTGCCGTTATCAGCAAACTGGCATTGCCAATGCTTGAATTTTAAAGTGTGACACAGACCCAAGGGAAGGCAGTAGTAGCAAGCCAGCGCCCTCCCAAACGTCTTTGAACCAAGACACACTTCAATAAAAGAACAATTGCCAAGGCACACCTACTTTTTTTTTTATCTTTTAACCTTCATCAAAAGCTTATAAATGCCACCAGCATTAGACACCTTATTAAATATATATGCGTACTTCTATCCTAATCAGCTCATTAATTTTAGTTGTCAATTTTAAATACTGACATTTATTACAAAACACATTTTAAGGACTGCATTCAATCTATTACAGCCTTAAAGTAAACATGTCCATGGCATACTTTGGCGTGCTTGAGGTACACTGCTCTACAGCACTTTCTACATACACAGAGACAGTGACTGACAAGGGAGGACAGAAAAGACCTCTGGCGCCAGCTAAGAAGTATAGAAATGGAGTGATATCATGTAACTCCGTTCCGACGCATGCACACTGCCAACGAAGCCAGAATGCCGACGTCACAAGAGAAGACCTACATGAACATGCGTCCTAAGCACGGCAAATCGGTGAAGAACAAAGGTGGAGTGCAGGTGGAGGCATGCCGAGGCATTGGTTGACAAGGAAGAGCAGAAAAGATCTCCCCCAGGAGGTACCTCTGCTCTCCTCCCATAGCAACCACAGCGCATGCGCTGCAGTTGATATGGAAACTCCTTATCCAGCACTTCTAGTGTTGGCTAGGGAGTATAGGTGTGAAGTGACGCGGCTAAGGCGTCCCAAGCAGGGCAAATCAAGTAAGACTGCAGGCAGAATGGAAGACGACAAGGAGGTGGATATTACAAAAAGAGTAACACCCATGAAGCAGTGCTAGAATGGAGGTAAAGTGAGACAAATGGAGGTAAAGTGAGACAATCTTGATATTTCACACTGAATACATCTTATGACACTGAATATATGATATTTCACACTTAATATATCTTTATGATATAAGGTGTATTAGCCCTGGATTGGGTGCCACTGATAGGCTGAGGGTTTCAACTGACCCTTTCAGCCTATCAGTAGTTCCCCATTTACAAAATGGAGTGAAAAACATACGTATAGTTTTCTCTCTATTTTGTGAATGAGACCCACTTGCACCATAACAACTTCTTACAAATAAAGCAGTTAAGGTACCCGAAGTGGTCCTTTAAATTTAGAAAACATTATAAACACATACATTAGACTATGAACAGTATAAATTATAAAATGCTGTATATGTATAGGTTATTCTATTGTATGCAACTATAAATATATATATGACAATTTTAAAGAGTTACTCTGAACATCATGACCTCTACAATCCCGCTGTAGTGGTTATGATGTCAGGAGTATCTAGATGCCGTTCCCTGAAAATGGAGCAAATTGTTTGGCAAATGTTTACCTTGTACCTGGGTTCTGCAGGGTGATAAGGCTCCTCTTATGTTGGTTGAACGAGTGCAGCGTGTGCATTAGGCCATACCCCTAGGAAAGCATAGAATCAATGTTTTCCTATGTGCTATTTCAAGATACTGCACGTCCTCATGCTAAACCTGAGGATGTCCAGCAATAAATAAACATTATAGGGTCAGGAACACAAACATGTATTCCTGACCCTGAAGTGTTAAAACCACCATCTAACCCCCCCTCCCCCCAGCCTTCCTTAATATAGTAAAATCTTACTTGCATTCAAGTCTGCTGCTGCCTCTGCAACTGACATGCCTGACATAATCAGAAAACGTATAATCATAGCTGGAAGTGCACTCAGCTCCTCACTAGGGAATCCAGGGTGCTCTTGAAAAAGTCCCAGTACCCAAAAGGACCAAGCGGATAATTTGTAGAAAATGATCAAGGCACTCCAATAGTTTCCAATTCTTAAGGCAATTTATTTGGACCAGGAACTACAAAGCAACATTTCAGCCCCAACAGGGCTTTTTTCAAGCTCAAAAAAAGCCCTGTTGGGGCTGAAATGTTGCTTTGTAGTTCCTGGTCCAAATAAATTGCCTTAAGAATTGGAAACTATTGGACTGCCTTGATCATTTTCTACTGACATAATCAGAAGTGATTCTGTGAGCCAATAACAATGCTTTCCCATAGACTTTCAAAGAGGCAGATCAGGGGCAGAGCCAGCACAAACCAAACACAGCCCTGGTCAAATCAGCAGCTCCTCATAGAGATCCATTGAATCAATGCATCTCTATGAGGAAAGTTCCGTGTCTGCATGCATAGGGTGGAGACACTGAATGGCAGTGCTGCTTACTCTGCAGCACTGCCCAAGGAAGCACATATAGTAGCCAGCTGAGGAGTGGCCAGTGGAGTTATTATTTTCTCGAAAAAGACAGTGTTTACTGCAAAATGCCTGCAGGGAAGGATTCTACTGACCAGAACAAATACAATAAGCTGTAGTTGTTCTGGTGACTATAGTGTCCCTTTAAGTGTCAAGTACCTGTCTGGGGGCAGGGCCACTACACCCAGACCACTTCAATGAGATGAAGTGGTCTGGGTGCCTATAATGTATGTACCTTTGAAGTGACACTGCATGCTAGAACTGATCAATTCTTGTTTAATGTACTTTCATATAAAAACATATGTAATATAATAAACTTAGTTAACATGTCCCAGACAAGGAGGTGATCAGCCAATCAGGATGTTCTACAGTAGTGCTGACATCCCATGAATTCATGTGCACTTGAAGTAATATTATTAGCTTATACTTACAAAAGCAAATGGCTGAACTCCAACTCACAGAAATCTTTGCTGTGCTTTATGATAATGTCACTATGTGGAGAAATACAGCACTGATGTCTAGGGAAGATCCTGTGAAATTGGCGGTATTACAATTTCAATGAAATTCCAAAGCAGTCAATATGAGGTTTTAATAAAGATTTTAGCTTCATGAAATGCTCATAAATACCTTTTTGGTGTCAGAGCAAATTTTGTAAAAAGTATTAACCTCAGGTTGGTGCCTGTAGTGTTCCTTTAATACTATTATGGAAATGGTAACAAGCAATGAAGAAAGAAAAAAAAAAAAAGAGCTTAAATTATTTTAGCTTCACATTGTAGCAATGTACTGAAATAAATTAAAATAATTTTCACATCTTATATCTAAAGGTGTGAGTGTGGTGCAGGTTGATAAAAAGCATTGTATTGTAACATGGCTGGTGTATTGCAAGTGTGTTTTAAACTAAAATATATTTTAATTCACATATTTTAGGATTATGGCTACCATTACATTGGTCAAATATTGTGCTCTATCCCAAAGGACATTTTATATTAACATTAGGCAAATGTATACTTATCTCTATGCAGCCTGCAGGGTGGAGATAACACACCTTTATAAGAGGCCGAAATTTCAACATATTACATTTTTCTTTGATATAAAATTGCTAATATGTATTTGCCTTTATACACAGAATGTAGTGTTACAGTTTGAATTATTTTATATTATTATTATTATTGTTAATTTTTATTTATATAGCACCAGCAAATTTCGTAGCGCTGCACAATGGGACGTTTGTACGCTGAACTCTTGCCTTCCACAGCTTCTTTTAAAATTAAATAAAAATGTGTGCGGGGGTGAGCTTTAAATCAGGCAGTTCCAATTGTGTAAACATTTGCTTATACAAGGATAATCTAGGATATATTAGTTCCCAACTAATGGCACACCAGTAGGCCAGGGTTTGTTCTTATTGCTGAAGGTATAGAACCGGAAGGTAGCTAAATCCTTTATTTCTGGTATAATTAATATCAAGTTCACCCAAATTGCCTGAGAGCACTGAGGGCTAGTTAACCTAAAAGTGTAAAATCTACATTTGCATAATTGTCAAAGAGGATGTGGCCTCCAGGTACTGGGGAAAGATTCAGATTTTGTCAAAACACTTCTAACTATTTGACATTAAACAAAACGGAAAATGTGCAGAGACTCCAAGCACATAGCCACTTCTCCAGCCGCAGTGATTATATTAGAGAGTTCCTTCAACCCCTTAAGGACACAGTTTCAGAAATAAAATGGAATCATGACAGAATATTTCCGTCATGTGTCCTTAAGGGGTTAAAGTAAAACGATCACAACATCCCCTTTAGCAGTAAACATTATATTTCTATTCTTTAGCGCTGTCATTCTCTGAGGTCCGTAGGTGATCCTGCCTCTGTGAATATCGATTCCTTGGGTATGCCACCTCAAACAAGTCAATTCACTTCCATAATTGTATCAAAAGTTTCAAGTCAACTTTTCAGTTGGAAGGAAACAGGAAATGGTTCTCTGAACTCTCTGATTATGCCCTATGCACAGCATATTTAGCAGGAACATTGCATATTATTTCATGCATTGAAAAAAACAAGACGGGGCAGAGCCTAACAGCCGTGCTGACCGGTTGCACATCGTGTGAGCTACAATCAGAAAATCTTTAAAAACAGTCTTAACTACCACTTTGAGTCCTGAATCTTAGTAGTGAACATACCCTGTGAACGGCAGGCATCCGATACAGGGGTAATCGTCTTATTTCCAAATCCGACAGCTTTTACTGGAGGTGGATCTGGGCCTACAAGTGTCCTGACAAGCTGGCTTGAGGGAGGCGGCCAACCCCTCAGCCTCTTGCTGCTCAATACCCCGAGGACATCACCATCACACTCTTCCTCCTAACCCCCTCCGTTGACAGATATCCCGGAACCTCTGCTCGGTGTTACACTGGCTACCACTAAGCACCCTCTCAACTGTGGCAGCCAGCTTACTGTAACCAAGATGGGGGTCAGCACAAGGGGACCTGCACCACGAGACAAGCACTGCGCTCTCTCACGGAGAAACCGGATGCCTTATTTGCTGACTTCTACACCAAAGCCGAATGTCGCCTGCGTACTCGAGGCAAACCCGCTGACACAACCCCTACATAGAACAACAGCCTGTGACTTCTGGGCCACGCTCTGACGCAGCATTGAAGGTGCAGAAACTGAGGTGGGCACCCCGGAAAGGATTTCAGCACGAAGGCCCGTTCCTGCTGTGGACCATCTTCCTATGCCACGGCCTAAATCAGGACAGTTCCCTACTCACAGCTCACTACTTCAGAAGGTCACCACTCCTCTTATGAAGCAACCTGATAGAGAGCCTCGAGACCTAGTCCTTGTCGTAATCCACGAAGGGACTTGTGGGCACGTTGATCTGGGTTATGTAAGGGAGTAGATGTCTGGGACCTGAGTCCTTCATATTGCTGGGGTAGTGTCCGTCATACGACAGGTGTAGGCTGAGCCCCCAGCTCATGTATTGCCATCGCATCACAGCTCAGAACTCAACCTTCCTATAGGCAATAGGCTTACTGTGAATTCTACCACTTTCCTTTGTCTTTATTGTTTTCTACCTCCTAATGTCTAACAGGGATATCGCTATACAATTATTTTTTTAGGTTATGCTTAACTCCATCTAATTACCATGCAGTTTTATCTGACACTCGATACGATCACAAGGAGGCCTGTAGAGTATACATTCTTTACTCCCGTTCCTATAGGGCCTTTTATTACCTGTTAGTTAACCTAACATTTCTTGTGCAGACTCACCCTTTGGTCTCACTACTGATACCACAATCAGACTTACGCCAGTGAACACATATATGTCCAAGTTATGTACTTCCTTATAAAAACACTCACAATGTACGGAATTAGTTTGCTAACATTAATATTTCTTTAACAAGAATAGTGCTGTTATATATTTGGCATGACCATTATGTGTTTTGAGAAGCCTGCTGATGCTGTTGTGGCATGACAAACGTGTTGTAAATTTATGCACTGGAAAAATTAAAGGGACACTATAGTCACCAGAACAACTATAGCTTATTGAATTTGTTCTGGTGTGTAGAATCATTACCTTCAGGCTTTTTGCTGTAAACACTGTCTTTTCAGAGAAAATGCAGTGTTTACATTACAGCTTAGTGATAACTTCACTGGCCACTCCTTAGATGGCTGTTAGAGATCCTTCCTGGGTCATGGCTGCCTAAAATGCATCCAAACATTCAGTATCTCCTCCCTCTGCATGCAGACACTGAACTTTCCTCATAGAGATTCATTGATTCAATTCATCTCTATGAGGAAATGCTGATTGGCCAGGGCTGTGTTTGAATCATGCTGCCTCTGCCCCTGATCTGCCTCCTTGTCAGTCGCAGCCAATCCTACCGGGAAGCACTGTGATTGGATCAGGCTACCACTTCTGATGATGTAAGCAGACTGCTTGTTTTTCTGGGTCAAACAACATGCAGAGTTACAGCTTCAGGCTTGAATACAGTAAGATGTTGCTATATTTATGGAGCCATGAGGGGCCCAGGAGGGGCTAGATGGTGGTTTTAACACTATAGGGTCAGGAATACATGTTTGTGTTCCTGACCGTATAGTTATCCTTTAAGAATGACAAAATAAACAAAAAAACAACAGCAACAATAGAACAGAAGAGACAGTTGATAAGATAAACAGGCTTTTTTTTTTTTTTTTAAACATGTTATATGATGGTGCATAAACTGCACGCCTGATGATAAATCTACTTTAAAATGTGCTAAAGTGCATAGTTTGAGTTACTAAACAAGGAATTAGGGATTCTCTACAGGAGGCAGCAAGCACATTTAGATGGCTGCATTGCTTTTACTGCACTGATGCTATAAATATGACTCAACTTAGAATAATATGTATATTTTTCTAAGCTTGTCAGGAAATGGCTGAACAAACAGCCTGGACTGACTCCACAGTAAGCCTTTCGTTTAAAGCTGCATTTCTGATGTTTAAACAGACAGAAGATAGGAAGAGCCACACCCAAAGATGCCATAATCAGAAAATAATGGATTCTCAAACTACAATTTCAACGCAAATCTGTCACAAGAGCTTTTCTAATAACACAAACTAAGGTTGTATAACTTTTAAGGGGTTACTCCAACGAAAAACCAATGTTTTCATAAATTTTTTTTTTTATTTTTTTTTTGCAGTATCCCCTTCTGTGCTGGTCCACCCAAACACCAAACAATGTGAATAATTTGAAAAAAATAAAAAAAACATATAACATACTTTTCCCTTGCCGAGGCAAAGTTCTCTCTCAGCTCGATCCTCCCTGGCTGACGTCAATACCATTTGACAGAGGAGAAGGGATATCAGAGAGGACAGATTGAGGGAATGACAGAGGTGGTATGGATGAGGGTGTACTGGCACTGTCTGGAGCCAGTATACTGTATGAAGCCCATGGAGCAGCAAAGCTATATGGAATGGGCCCTGACAGAGCTGGGAGGTAATCCAGGCACTCCAAAATGTTCCAAAGAATAGGCAATTTTATTGGACCCAAGAACCAAAATGCAACGTTTCGACCCCTTAGGGCCTTTGTCAAGCTTGCCTATTCTTTGGAACATTTTGGAATGCCTGGATTACTTTTCTACTAATATATGCTATATTTGGTCTCTTTGGTACTGGGACTAATCCAAGAGCACCCTAGGATTCCAGGGCGAAGGGCTGAGTGCAGTTCCACAACTTGTCTAGAGCATATGGAGAATGAGGACTTTAAGTGGAGGATTAATAAGAGCGGGCGGGGCTTAAGGAGTTGATATAAATAGCAAAACATTTTAGGAAATAAGCCATTTTAAATTTAAATTCTCAACTTCTTGTGCCTGTCCCACCCTCCCTATTTAATTTGCAGTTAGGTGGAGTATGTTGGATTTATTTCTCCTGTTTGGTCACAGCGGCAGGGGATGAATAGGATAATTTGGGGGTAGGTAGGCTTGGTAGGTGGGATAGTTAAGTTCAGGAGGAATACTTAACGGTATGTTTGTTTTTGGTTTGGTAGGTTTGAGCTTGTCGGTAGCGCAGAACCTGGGGGAATAGTGGTATCTTGTTATGTCCCGGTCATGGTCCTCCCCGTGCCAGAAGGCTAGGCGTGGCCACCCCACAGGTGCCTTACAGGGGAATTGATCCTGGGTCCTTGTATATCTTAAGCCTGCTCTTCTGTCTCTGAGCCACTTCTGAACGTAAAACTGTACCTAGATGGCAATTCGAAACCACCGAACCGATCTGAGTGCTTTTTGGATATGTTAGGCACTCCAATCAGGGCTATCAGGGGATGTGACTCAAGGCGTTTCCATGGATTTTGGGGTGTTGAAATTTTTTCATATTTTTCTGTACCTGGGAGATAATGGAGTTGTAAGTTTCCTGCCTCAATTATCTCTCAGGCACAGGGAGGAGTTTATTGTATGTATAAATTGAGAATGCTTGCCATAAACATATCTACTCCCAGCATTCAGTCTCAACTAATGTGTGGGGGGAAAGGCTATACCAGCGATATTTACTCTCATGGTCGATAGAACTACTTTACTTTGGGAAAGGGAACCCTTGGCAGCGATTTACTGGCAATCTGCCACAATGTTATATAGTTGCATTGATGTATTACTGTTATTTATGGTTGGGTCATTGTCTGCGGGTATACTTATGTAAAATGTTTGATGGGATGATGTCATACTAAGTGTTTGTTTGAAAATGGCCTATTTAAGTACATTTTTATCAATATTAATTAAAGCTGTGATCATTTTTTTTACCAAAACTATGGTGTCTGTAGTTCTTTTCAGGGGGTTATGGGGTAATATCATAAATATGTCATGAGGGACAACTATGCGCGTGTCACGTGCTGGCGTCAGATTCCAATTTTGCAAAGAATTTACTTTAGCCAACCCGGAACTTTGTACACCTCCAGCAGTGAAGGGGTTAATCTCTGCATGTACTGCGTTTTAAAGCCAAATGCTACATATAAAAACACTAGGCACCATGACCATTTCAAATTAATGAAGGGGCCATGATGCTTTGCGTAATCCTGAAAATTTAAGCTATTGTTAAACATTCACAAAGATAATGTATAAAAACGGGAAAGTAAATAGAGAAAAAAAAAAACCTGCTAACTTAAAGGACCACTATAGTGCCAGGAAAACACTCATTTTCCTGGCTCTATAGGGTCCTTGGGTCCCCCTCACCCTCTGGATCCCCTCCAGCCGGGCTCTAGGGCGTGGAAGGGGTTAAATCTTACCTAGTTTTCCCCCGGTCATTTAACATTTTGTTCGGACCATTTTTTTATTACATTTTTTATTTTCATTACACATGTGGTTACAGTATTAACGACATACGCCACAACAGCGTACGTGTACATATTTAAACAGTAGCATCAACTGTAGCGCATTCTTGTTTGTGGTTACATGCACAATTTTTAACCAGTGGACCTTACAATTGCAACTGTTACATGTCTACAGTTCAGGTGTATCAAGGTTGAAGCAATTAGCTCTATATGCTGGCTTAAGTTTCACTTTTAAGGCGTGAAGGTGATTATGCCATGTTCTACATTCTGGCTGCATCATATTTAAAAAGCTAGATTTTCCACAGTAATATCGATAGTATAATGGTGAGATACACTTAGAAGGAGTTGTTCAACCCGAACGGTCTGTACTAGCGCAGATATCGTGTTTACGTCTTATTGTGCCCTATGACTGTCCTGTTAGACAGCATGTCAACCGCAAGTAATCCTAATTCTATAACCGGGGACTGGTAGGTCCCAACTTCTTAGCCAGGTCTGTGGCTTGTTTATTGCTGCGTCTGGGGAGAGGGGGGAGAGGGAGGGTGAGGGTTGGGGTGAAGGAGGGGGGGTGTATGCATTGCCATTGGGCAGTCTTGGAGACGGCCCTGAGCAACTCGAGTTCTCATGATGTTGTGGTATTGTCTATGTATTTGGACCAGGGTTCCCATGCGGAGGCATATTGGGCGTATTTGTCATTTATAGAGGCTGTCAGTTCCTCCATTATTCGAATAGACTCGACTTTCTGGAGCCATTCCCTCACCGATGGTGCCTTAGAGGCCTTCCAATGTATTGGAATGAGGAGGTTGGCCGCAGTGAGCAGGTGGGTCGTTAGGACCCTCTGTGGTTTGGCGATGGGGTCTGAAAATAATAGGAAGAGCATTGTCTCCGGGTTGAGAGGTAAGTTCCCCCCTGTTACAGTGTTAATTATCTCCCTCACTCTTTTCCAGTAGAGTTGTATGGTTGGGCAGTGCCACCAAATATGAGCTGTTGTTCCTCCCAATTGCCCGCATCTCCAGCATGTATCTGGCATGTGCGGGAAGATACGTTGTAATTTAGTGGGCGAGTAATGCCACCTGGAGATTTTCTTGTAAGTGCTTTCCTGGATAGCAGTGCTGACGGAAGATCTCTGTATGCCCTGAAAGATGATGCCCCAGCCCCCCTGGGTAATGTTAGTGGAGAGTTCCCTATTCCATGTTTGTGTGTAATGTGGCATTTGTCCCTTAAGCTCCCCTTGAATCATCTTATAAAAAAAAAAAAATCGATAAGTGCTTTCTTTTGAGGGATTGGGAGGTACAATATAATTCATACGTTGTGAACGTCCGGGAGCCAGCTAGAAGTAATCGCGTGGATCGTATGTAGTGTGTCAATTGCGCATATTTGAAGATCTGTAGTGTCGTGGGTCGTTCTGGTCCCATTAGGGATTCGAGTGGTTTGACTGAGCCGCCCTCTAAGACCGTATGGAGTCTCAGATAGGGCGTTTCCTGGGGTATTTTTAAGAAGTCAAAGGAGTGGTTCGGCAGCCCGGGTTGGAACTGTATGTTTCCTGTTAGAGGATAGAGGGGGGATGGATGAGGGGATATTGAGGTCCCCAGTCTCATGAGCTTCCAGGTTCGGAGTGTGGGTGTAATGGTGGGGTGACGGGAGTGGTGTGGGGATAGGGATGTAGATCCTGTGTTTAGCCATGGGATCCCTTGGAGCGGGGTTGTGAAAAAGGTTTTCTCCAGTTGCACCCATTGTAGTTGTGGGCGTGGGTTGGCCCATTCATATATCCTTGTGAGGATGGTCGCTTTGTGATATAGCTCTATGTGTGGCATCCCCAGTCCGCCTTGGCTTTTAGGTTTAGTGAGTGTGGCGAAAGCTATTCTGGGGTGTTTGTCTGCCCATATAAATTTGGTGAAGAGGTTCTTGATCTTTTGGAAGAATGATTTGGGGATGTGGACTGGTAGTGTTTGTAGAAGGTATAACAGTCTTGGGAGCGTGTTCATTTTTAGGATGTTGATGCGGCACAGCCATCCAAAGTGGTGCTTGTGCCATTTAGTCAGATCTATTTCTATTTGTTGGAGGAGTGGGAGAAAGTTGATGTTGTACGTGGTGGCGAGGTTATGCGTTAGGTGTTCCCCCAGGTATTTGATGTGGGCTGCAGCCCACGAGAAGGGGTATTTCTCCTTTAGTGTGGATTGTAGTGGCTGGGTGATTTTCAGGGGTAGGATCTCGCTCTTGGTAAAGTTAACTTGGAAGTTGGATATCTTATTATATGTGGCTATCTCTTCTAAGAGAGGCTGCATGGATGTGCTGGGATTGATTATTGTAAAGAGTAGATCGTCAGCGAACGCTGAGATCTTGTATTCCTGGTGTTCCACCCGGAAGCCTGTGATATCTTTGTTATCTCTGATCCCCTGAAGGAATGGCTCCAACGTAAGGATGAAGAGGAGAGGGGATAGGGGGCACCCCTGTCTCGTGCCGTTCCTTATATGCACTGGCTTCGACAGTTGTCCGTTAATTTTAAGTTTGGCCGTGGGGGTGGAATATATAGCCCCAAGCCACTTGTCCCAATTTGGCCCAAAGCCCATAGCTTGCAATGTGGCTCTAAGAAGAGACCAGTCTACTCGGTCGAATGCTTTTTCGGCATCGACCGAGAGCAGGAGGCTGGGTAGATTGTGGGACTGAGACAAATGGATGAGGTTGAGAAGTTTTGTCGTGTTGTGCTTTGCTTCCCTTCCTGGGACAAAGCCCGCTTGGTCTGTGTGTATGAGGTTGGATAGTAGGGTGCGTAATCGATTTGCTAGAATTTTAGTGAAAATTTTTAGGTCTACATTGATCAGTGATATTGGGCGATAACTTCCACAGTTGGTGGGGTCTTTTCCTGGCTTTGGCAATAAGGTAATATGGGCCTCTAGAGCAGGAGTCTGTAGGGCTGGGGTGTCGGTGAGGAAATTAAAGGCGTCTAGAAAGGGATCTGCCAGAATGTCTCTGAATGTTTTGAAGTATTTGGCCGTGTAACCATCTGGGCCCGGGCTTTTCCGCAGGGGCAAAGAGCTCACTACTTTAAGGAATTTGTCTCTCGTCAAGGGGCTGTCTAGGGATTGCAGTGCTTCACTGGGGATTTTTTTATGCACCCTGGGAGTCAGGAAGCGTTCAATGTCTGTTGCTAGCGGGGGGGAGCTCCTGAGGTTATATAGTTCTGTGTAGAACTTGTGGAAGGCTTCCATTATATCTGGTAGGGTTCGTGATACGCCCTTTTCCGGGTGTTTAACCTTTGCTATGAAAGTTGTTTGTCTGCTTTGTTTTAATGCAGAGGCCAGGAGGCGACCTCATTTGCCTCCGGAATAGAAGTAGGAATGTTTGGTGCGTAATAGTGTGCGTTGGACCTGTGTGTTTAATATTTGTTGTAGCTCTGTGCGCTTTGCGAGCAACGCCTTATATGTCTGGAAGACGTCCTTACTGTGGTGGGCCGCCTCCAGGGCCCGTATGTCTTTTGTGAGGGATGCAATTTTATTGTCTCTCCTTTTTTTCTGTGTGGAGGCTATGGCTATGAGCTGTCCCCGAAGCACACACTTATGTGCTTCCCATGTTATTGGGGGGGAGGTTTGTTGGGAGGAGTTCTCTGTGAAGTACTGTTGAATGGAAGTGCGTATTTTTTCAGTCACTGATTTGTCATTTAGTAGCAAGTCATTTAATTTCCATTGGTAAGTTTTTAGGGGAAGGGAGGGTATATGAACGGCAAGAGACAGGGGCGCATGGTCTGACCATGTGATAGGGCCGTAGGAGCATGCTGTCACTAAATGCAATAACCGCTGAGGTAGGAAGAACATATCCAACCTAGAGTAGGTACGATTTGCATGTGAATAGTATGAGTAGTCTTTTCTATTGGGGTGACTTACTCTCCAGCATTCGTATAGTTGGGAGCTGTCTAAGAGGCGGGAGAAGCACTTGCGTTTTGAGTCATCTCTGTTAGGAGTTGCCGATGTGGTGTCTAGAGCCGAGTCTAGAGACAAGTTGCAGTCACCCCCCATGATGAGTATACCCTCTGCAAAGGTCTCTATCTATCTTAGGCATTTTTTGAGGGTCTTGCATTGGCCCGTGTTGGGTAGGTACATGTTTACAAAGGTAATTTTGTTTTGTCCCATGGTCCCCTTTACAAGCAGTAACCTCCCTGAATCGTCTGTTTTCTGGTCTATGAGTGTGAAAGGTACCTGTGCGGAGAGTAATATGGCCACTCCCCGAGTCTTTTTCTCAGCGAAGTGGCCATAGTAGCTTGTGGGATATGTACTGTTCCTCAGATTGGGAGCTTTGTCTTTTTTTAAATGGGTTTCCTGGAGGAACGCCACGTCGGCTCTCAGTCTGTGCAACTCGTTGAGGGTCAGGGAACGTTTTTCTGGGGAGTTTAACCCTTTCACATTGAGAGTGATTATGCGTAGGGTGGTCATCGTTGGTCGGTTATTTTAGGGGTGAATGGGGTAGGTGTCTTGTCTCCACCCAGCGCTCGGCCACAGACCTGTCTATATAGAAATATTTGGATATTTACAAGTAGTAATACAACAAACAAAACAAGTAAAAAAAAAAAAATTTTCAGTAAACACTCAAGAACAAGAAAAAAAAAAATAAAACATATGAATATCACACACTTGGACTTATAACCTGCACCTGGGTCTGGTGCTTAAATACCTATGGTAACTGTCTCGGGTGAGATGATCCTTCTCTCCGAGAGCCTATCTGTCACCTTGGTGTAGGCCTGAGGGGCCTAAGTTCAAATAATATCTGGTATAGGCATACGTGTGTGTATGCCCATACTCCTAGGAGTATTATCTTGGGGGGGGGGGGGAGAGGGTATATAATAGACCGCAAGTCTAGTTGTGGGTGAAGAGAGGGGTATGGCTAATCGCTATCCTGTTCGGTGTGAACCTCGCTTGAAGTGGTACATTTAGCTTTGTGGGCGGGTGCGTATTAGGCTTGGGACCCCTGGGACAAGGCTTGGTGTGTTGGGCTTTTCGGGCACCTTGGAGTTCAGGTGGGATACTCTTATGGCGTCTCTTTCCCCTCCGCCCGGTCATGTGGCTAAGGGCCTGTGTTTTTATTTGGTAGCCCTTAAGTGGGCATTTCGTATTTTGGGGGGGGGGGAGGGTTCTATTGAAGGGGGGGGGACATTGTGAGGGCCCTTGGGAGATAAGTTCCCGAGACTTTCGGGTATATCTATCTCGACTCTGTGGCTTGGGTCGATTATGGCCGCTAGGTAGGTGTAATAGGTGGCATATGGTACAGTGCCCCGGTATCTTTTACCTTGCGGTGGTTATCGCTAGTCTGCGCTGCTGGTTGTTTTTTTAGGCTAGTGGGCACCATGTCGTATTCTTCCCTGCAATATCTATATACATTTGTGTTAAGTTGTGTTAACCCAGGGTAGAAAGGGGGTGTCTAAACAGATTCAAACAATAACCATATTACCCGCCCTCATGAGAGTCTTTGGCGTGGGCAGAGGAATCTCCCAACTCGTCCACCTGTGCCTCGGAGGGAGAAAGTCCCGGTATCGTGGGAGGTAGTGTGCCTCAGCTTCGACTGGTTTTATCTCTGTTCGGGTCCCCGGTAAGTCAAGAGTATCACATGCGAGTGTCATCGGTGACTCTTACCCAATGTGGGTCCGACCCCTACGATAAAGCTTGTAATAGAAAGTCACCTTTCTCCAATGCTTTTGTCCTTTCTGGGCTTTTTTTTTATTTTTTCCTTTTTCTTTCCTTTTTTTTTTTTTTTAAATTGGAATTCCATCATCTGCGAGTAGCTGTGGTATCTTTAGCGTGCTGATTTTCTGCTGTTTTGGGTAGTTGAGTAGGTTATTGCCTTCTTGTGGAAGGTGGTCTCGTATCCCCTTGGAATGTGGTGTCCGTGGCCTCCGTGTGTCTTTTCCTTGTCTCCTGCTGCCAGCGGGAGCGTTGGGGCGCCGGAGGTATCCCATGAGGTGGCGTCGGGCCATACCAGTCGCTGACGTGAGTCATGGGGAGGTCTAGTTCCCTCTGGAATATTGGGACATCCTGTATGGTGTGGATGTTGTGCTGGGTGCCATTAATCGTGGTGCTTAAGGCAAATGGAAAGCCCCACCTGTATCTGATGTTCCTCACCCTCAGCTGGTCCGTGATGAGTTTCAGTGAGCGTCTGGCTTGTAGTGTGAGCCAGGATAGATCTGGATAAATACTGATTTGGTTGTTATGGAATAGCAACGGCTGGGTAGAGTTTCGTAGCGCTGCCAGGATGTCTTCTTTGCATCTGTAATAGTGCAGCCGGCATATCACGTCTCTGGATCTGTCTGTGGACAGGCCCCTGGGTCTTAGGGCTCTATGGGCTCTGTCAAATATTATAGTTGAGTCAGGAGCTCTGCCAAGGATTAAATTGAAAAGCTCAGTAAGTGTTGCTATGATGTCTTCATTGTCATTTTCAGGGATGCCTCTCACCCTCAGGTTATTCCTTCTCCCCCTGTTATCCAGATCATCTAGTGAGCGCTGTAATTCCGTTAGCTGGGCTGTGTGGGCTCTCATAGTTTCCTGGAGGGATTGTACCTGCGTGTGGGTGACATCCCTGTCCTCTTCCAGTGACCCAATCCTATCACCCATGTGGCGTATGTCTGCTCCTATGGCGTCCAATTTGCCTTGGAAGGACATCTCCAGCTAACCCAGCATGTTCGCCAGGTCTTGCTTAGACGGCATGTTACGAAGGAGATCTCTTACTTCTGTGTCCCCAGGTATGCCTGACCATTCTGAGTCTGCCGGACTGGATGGTGGGGAGCTGTGATGGGGTGATTCCGGCGCCATGTTTGGGCCTACCCCGCCGGGCTGGAGTTCCGCATTATCGTGGAAGTATTTGGTGTGGGCTCCCGTTTTTCCCACGGGCTGCTTACCGGAGGTGTGGGGAGTGGATGCCGCTCTTTTAGGGTGTCCCATGGTTAGTTTATCCGCCCGATGTCCGCGGATTCACACCGTCAGGAGAGGAGCTTGTTTAGCTTGCGGCCATCTCGTTCCGTGGTTGGCTCCGCCCCCCTTCGGACCATTTTTTAGTGGGTCTGCATGCCGCTGCAAGAGGATGCCTCTCACACCTGAAAGAAACGCTTACCCCATAAATCAAATGGTTGACAGGAGCCGGATGTGGCGCTACACCCTAGTAAGACATGTAAAATTCAAAACTTGACTTCCCGGGAAAAATGTATTTGTTGGGAGGAAGACATTATATAAAAAAAAACAACCCAAAAAATAAAAATGTGAGAAGATTTTTTTAAATTTTAATTTAAACGGTTTTCCCTTCCCGCACCCAGATTCCTCTCCTGCAACTGTCAAAAATAACCCCCAACGCCATCAGTGAATACTTTTCTAGTAATCTGCTTTTCTACCCTACTCCATCTAGCATATAAGCTCATTGAGCAGGGCCCTCAACCCCTCTGTCCCTGTGCGTCTAACTTGTCTGGTTACAATTACGTGTCTCTTAGTCCACCCATTGTACAGCACTACAGAATTTGTTGATGCTTAATAAATAATAAAAATCAAAAAAAACAAACAAAACTGTATATTCAATGTACACACACACACACACACAAGCACAGATGCAATTTCTTCTTCAAAATTTGCTGTAGTGCATATTTCCACATTGGGAAAATAAATTCAGAGAAATCATGCTTCCTCACTTTCCAAAGAAATATAGCATTGTTTTAAGTACAACTCCTTAAACCAAAGTGAAATCTGAACGGTTAGAGTTTTTCCAAAATGTGATCAGAAATGAAAAACAACAATAAAAAACATGGCCTACTACTACTACTCTAAGCTACCTAGATCCTGAAGGAAAGAACGTCTCAGAATATATTAAACCATAACTATAACCTTTCCTTAGCACCAAACAACCAGTCCGAGCCTGATTTCTAAGAGGAATGTCAGAGAAGCAGTAACACTAGTCATTATTTATGACTTTATATTTTGGATTGACCAGTTGGTGGAGTGGTTACAGGTGTACAAAGTTATATAATGTACAGCTCATTCCAGCTTTATATAGGTCAGTATGATAAATGTTTATGCTAGATTAGTATGCAAAATATTCCCACAAAAAGGCATTGACATTTATTAAAGCAGGTTTTGTCACACAACACCCACCTTAAAAATAGAAGAGCATATATAAAGATAAAATCTTTATTAAAATGCTCATAAAGACTGTGTTGGAATTTCACTGAAATTCCAACACAGTCAAAAGACATAGTACGGACAACTTTGTCGTGTGTATTTTTCTTCCGCATGATAAAAAGGCGGAGCTACCGATGTCAAGCTGTCTGCTGTCATTTGTGAAGGCTGAGTGGAAAAAAGATTTGTCTATGCATCCCAGGGTAAGTAGAGACTACGTTTTACTGCACCCTGTGCCCACCACACTGAAAGCGGCAAGGTCACTAGATGCAAAGACCCCAGGTGACAGAGCCACTTTAAAATAAAGCAGTGTATGACACACAAGTGAAATTAACGCCTTGCATGTTTGTGACTTCATAGTGATTTTAAAGGGACACTGTAGGCAACCAAACCACTTTAGCTAACTGAAGTGGTCTGGGTGCTGTGTTTGTTTTGTACCTAGTGCTGCAATGTAAACCATTGCAATTCCATAGAAACAGCAATGTTTACACTGCAGCTCTAAGTCTACCCTCAGTGGCTAGATGGCTTGCAGAATCGAAACGGACCTTTGGTCCGTTACCCGACACTAGACGTCCTCATGCTCTGCAGAGCCTGACCTAGCGCCGGATTCAGGCAAGAGATCGAAGGGGTTTTAACCCCTTGAGCCCCGCAAGAGGCTACTTGGAAACATATCGTATGATCCCTTTAAATGCAGTGGCAATGAATTGGCAAATTTTCTTATCCATATCCTGGTCCTGAGAAACAAACAATGTGACACAGATATGCTGCAAGTGATGCACAAGTGTGACTTTTTTTTGCTACAACGTTAAAGGTAAAATGCATTAAAGCAACACTTAAGAGTTACAAATAAAATTAATTTCATAATTATGTAATAGTGTTGTAAATGCTATCTAAATTCAAGGCCCCTCCATTTCTCGCAAATAAAGAGGTTAAATAAATGAATAAAAAAATAAAAAAATATCTCTACCACAGCTCTACTCCACCCCCAAGAGATCAATGTTTCTCATTCGAAAGCATAGGAAACAAACTCTTGGTCTATGAGAAGCCTCACATCAACTTTTACAGAGGGTTTTGAAGCGTGTGAGGAAGAGGACCCAAAGCCCCAACCCCTCTTCAGCCATTTGGATTGTATGACCAAAGAGAGTTCCAAAACCAATATCCCTGGGCTAACATGTCCCAAAGTTCTGAGCCCATCATTGCAGAGAATTTCTTAAAACAAGTGATGCAGCAAACCTGTTACCAGGGGTGAGTCAATAAAGAAAGCTTAGTATAAAAGGTAAAGGCTTACGCTGTACCCCCTACCCTCTAGAATAGATGAAAACAGTGTAGATTTCTACATTAAAGTTTATGGTTCAGGCATCACAAACACATTTGTTCAGTTATTGTGGATATGTCAACATATTAAAGAAACACTATAGGGTCAGAAACACCAATATATTCCTGACCCTATAGTGTTTAACCCACCATTTAGGTGGTTTGCCCCTCTTAGCCCCCCATATAAAAGTATATGAAAACTCACCTTATTTCAAGCGCCGTGCGGGTCTGCCGCTGCTGGCTCCGTCCCCTTTGTGAATGGCCAATTGTTTAGCCAATCCAATGCTTTCCCATAGGAAATCAGCATGGGGCGGGACAAAATGCAGTTTTGGCCAATCAGGACCTCCTCATAGAGATGCATTGAATCAATGCATCGCTACGAGGAAAATTCAGAGTCTCCATGCAGAGGGTGGGGACGCTGAATGTCAGGGCTGCTTTTTCGGCAGCACTGACCCAGGAAGCACCTCCAGTGGCCATCTAAGGAGTGGCCACGTGGAGGTGTCCCTAGAGGCAATGTAAACACTACTTTTTATCTGAAAAGCCAGTGTTTGCATGAAAAAAGACTGAAGGGAACAATTATAATCTGTAGTTGTTCTGGTGACTATAGTGTCCCTTTAATTCAAATCCCGGGAAGGACAGTTCCCCATTAATTTAAACGTCTACATATGGTAGCACTTAGAACAATTAACTTGCAAATGATTTTAAATAAATAAATAAAAAGATAAAATATCCACTTTTCCCATTTAGTTTCATCTATTCACTGAGCACTCTTGCAAATTCACACACCAATAAAAGGGCCTGGTTTCCTAGATCATATACAAAACAAACTATTGACAAACATAAGTTAGTAATGCAATAGAGTTCCAACAAGTGAGACAAGTTTATAATGCTTTAATCTCCTGCAGGCAGAGCTCAGCAGTGTATATTCCTAGTTTAGATAGCGCAGCACTTGTGATGCAATAGCAAGGCCCAAATCCATCACTACTAATATTGCCATGGAAACCATAAAGGTTACACCATGCAAACATAAAACAGGCCTAGAGTGATGGGTATATCTTTAAAACCGGAGGAATAGAGATACATTACTTAATTATATAGAATAGTATCAATATAGCTAGTTAAAAGAGATATCTATATAAAAAAAAAAAAATACTGCTCCATTATTAGTTGTACCTTGATTCACCTCGTCTTGTATATTATTTTGTATGTCAATTACTTGACTTCTCTATAATTGAAAAACAATGCAGAACATATTATTTATATATAAATGCTAATAATACATTAGCAACACTATGCCATCAGCTGCCAAAAATGATGACATGGATGCCTACCTTGAAAGTACTAAAAATGCTTCAGGCATACCTTAAACCAAAGTGAAAAAAAAAAAAAAAAAAGAGAAAGTTTTGTTTTCAGCACCTTTTGTAATGCATAGAAAAAAAACCTCTAATGTAGTCACAACCCTTTGTAGGGCAGCTCTGTAACTGATTAGCCTGGAGAGAATGTGAAAGAGCCATTACAGAGCAGTGATGCCTGTTTACTGCAGCCTTGACCTATTCTGCTTGATGAGGTAAGAGTATGCCTGGCCTTCATGCATGGAGGAATTTTTAAAAGTTAGAATTCACCCATATCCCGTGTCATTAAACCTGTGCAGGGTACCGTTTACTAGCAGATAAAAACTACCTATTTATATAGAAAGACGCATATACATCTCCTTTTATGTCCACCTATGGCTGTTTCCTCCAGGTTTACTAAAGATGCATTTAAAGGGTTTCCCAGCCCTTTTAAGTGTAAAATAGTATAATGCCCTATTGACATTATTCCCTCAAAATAAACGCCATTTTGAATGTAGTTTAAATTACCTTAACCAGTGCCAGGCAAAGCTCCCAACACTGCACAACGTACGCCCGTCAGCTGAACCAAGGTTCAATCAAAGGCTCCTTATAGAGAAGCTTATAATTGGAGGATTTAACAGAAGACAGGGTATTACAACAAATTGCAGAGGGTATGGGGAGGACTTTAATCAGTGTTAAAGTGTCGAGCTCTGCCTATAAGGGAGAAACTGTGATGTCTGATAGCAGCGTGCTGTTGACACTTTTTTTTTTTTTTTAAATGCACAGAATTGACATTAGGCAGCCCGGATCAGACTTCTTGGCTGCCTAAGTCACATGTGATGGTGCAACTTGCACATAATTAAAAAATATATCTGAATGTGCAGTGTTTTAAGCTGAAACACTGCACATCAGACTCCTATCACCATGACCACTTCATAACGTAGAAGTAGTGATTGGTGGATGGAGTAACCCTCTAAGAATGTCTAAACAAAAAAAACAAACAAAAAAAAAAAAAGAAACAAAAAAAACTTTTGGGCATTATTTGCATATCTAAGTGGAACCCCTTGGACACAGAATTTCCAGCTTGACATGCAAATGAGCACAGACAGGCATTGTGTTTCAGACCTCATTCTGCTTTTCTGCAGGTGCCCTTAGCAATGGACACTCTTTAAAACACAATTTTTTCCCCCTCTTCATAGCATGGGTTATGATCCAGAAGATCCAGTGACCAGAAAACCGACATGACTACAGGTTGGACCTTGTGGGTCTAGTCAGCATGGCTTCAATCCTGGTCTGAAAGATAAGGTTTCTCTGAGAGCGTATAAGATAGGTAGGTGAGTGTGTTAGTCAGAGTATCAAACAAATAACTGTAGCAGCCATTACCTGAAAAACCTCCCTGCCTGTTAATATTTATGAATTGAGGTTAGTGATGCTATGTTAATGCAGTACCACCCCTGTACCTATTCAGAGTAACACCCTTTGTTTGGGAATCCCTCTTACTACAATCAGAATGCTGTCCTGAACCTACATTTATTTTATACTTGTTAATCGGTTTGTTCCATAGGCAGATCACTGTATTAAGAGGGTCTACGTGGGATAACATGGGGCACTGTGACTGTGCTGTATTCCAGGAGCCGATCATTGGAATGAGACAGGAAAAGCCGGATGTCCCATGGGCATTTAATAATGAAGCTCTGTAGACCAGCTCTAGCCAGAGAAAACTGCTGAGCCAGCAATTCATGAAACGGTAAAAGAGAAGGAGAGAGGGTAGAATTAAAAGAGAGAGGGATGGAGAGAGAGACAAAATACGTGTTGATAAATTGAAGACTCATTTAATAAGGAGAGTGAGCAATAAAGAAAAAAAAAAATCAAGAGATGGAGGAATAAAATGATGTGAAAGGAAAAAGTGGAAAAAAACAGTGTCTAAAGGGAGCAGGGTGTGCGTGAAAAGGCACACACTGCTCCTATTTACTCTAAAGCATTTACCTCCTTGTTAAAAGGATTATGATCTCCATTCACTTCAAGGAGGCCTGACACATCACTGCTTTAGCCGTTCATTAACCTATTAATGTGCTAGCTTTGAATAGGCCCTCTCAATTACCTACCAACCATAAAAAAAAAAAAAAGAATAGAAGAGGGATTTCAAAACAAATCAGGGTTTTCAATATAAATTTGCATTCCTCACCCTCAGCCCCTTTTTCCTTATAGAAGGCAGTTGATAGTAAAGATAAACATCCGTATGTCCTTTTCAAGAATACAGAATGAAGGGACTGTGCAGAGAGCCACATTCAGTGTAGGCCTGCAAGTATTGCATACTAAAGATCAGAATTTGATTTCAAACAAGGATGTCTCAGTCCCCCGAAGCTTACACTCGCTGCCCCCATAAGTGTGGTTAAGAATAGAAATTATTGGATTTAAAGGCAGTTTTTAGATCTGCCCGTGTTTAATATGAAGTCATTGCTTGCCGTAATGATGACTCATTCATACATATATAAAAATTTACTGGGCCCAGAGAAGACAAATATATTTCTATGTACCATGATTCAGGTTAACTGAATGCTCACAAAAACAGAGAGAGATTGCCCAAGTGAAGGTAAAACGCTTGGGCAACCGTACTTCACACTGCTTGAGGGAAACTTATATTACAGGGAGGCTTTGGCAAAAATGCTACCCTGCATGATGCTTAGCAAACCATCTCTATTTACAGAGGCAAAATGTACCATCAGTAAAATATCTTGGCTTTTTTAAATTTTACCCACTTCATGAAAGGAGACTTTACAGGATTCTCATGGGACTTGTCTAACCCTTTGCCACATAGGGTTACAGGGTCAAGAAAACTGTGGAGTGTATTGAAATTAGAAAGGGTTAAATTAAACTTTGGGCTGAACAGACAAGTCAGATGGCAGAAACTATAATAATCATAATCATGAAAAAAAACAGAGACATTTTCTAAATCTGTGATCCAGTTCAGGAGAGAACGGAACACAAAGATATGAGTTTAATAGATATAAGCCTTAAAGGGAAACTCTACACACCACAACTACTTGAAGTTTTCAAAGTATTAGTTACTGAAATAGTTACATAAGCTGAAAAGAGACGTGTCCATCAAGTTCAGCCTTCCTCACTAGTTAACCCAGGACCCAGTTTGTTAAATTTGTAAAAATAAAAAAAATAAAATAAAAAAAACATTTACAGTATATACATAAAAAAAAAAGACCTAGAGGCAGTGTTTATAGCTCCACCTCAAGAAAGCCAGGAATTACACTTGTCAGCTTGGATACCAACTTATACCAGATCTGACAGAGAGGAACTGGCAGGCAGTCATCGCTTGCAAGTCCATAGAGTGCTCCGGCCACTAATGAGGTGTGCCTTATGGGTTGTTTTGGCTTCGGTGTTCTGCTTTAAAGCCCTGTTTTGTCAGTTTAACAAATCTGTCAAATGAAAAGCTGCAGGAAAAGGGACCTTGCATAATAACCACTTCAATATGTGGAAGAGTGCATAAACTTTGCTTATACAACTTGTGATTGCAACTTTAAATACCCATTAAATACCCTTCATACACAATATTCGATCCAGCAAATATCAGCTATGCCTAAAATAGTCATAGTGAAAGGAAGTAGAATTTGTCAATAACAAAGGGGCAAATTCGGATTTTAAGAGTAATATACTGCTTTATGACAAAAATTGTGAATGAAAGACAAAAATGGTTCTGAAAAATGTATATGAGAGATTTAGCAGTTCCTCCAAAAAAAAAAATAAAAAAGAAAACTTTTCTCAAGTATGGCACAGACAAAACTATGAACGCAATAAACAAATCTATAGCTTGTTTTATGTTTTTCAATAAACAAACTTTTGTTACAAGAGTTATTGCGGAGTTATCTTCAAAACCCAGATTTTTTGTGAACTCAATTTCCCATGATGCTTGACTGTTACAATGGCCATTAGCCATTGCTTGGTTTTGGACTCCACAAGTGACAATCCAGCTATCATAACAGAAGAACCGATCTTTCCAATACAGTACATACTAGAAGCAAGTACTACATAGTTCACATAGGTTGCTATTAATCCCCTTTCAAATATTTAGGAACAGGCACTCTAACCAATACCCACATACACTATCTTCAGCAGACTTGGAACTGGATTGGTCATAGTACATTTTATTTAGCCATAATGGAATAAAAACTGCATCCATTTTTCCCCATCATTTCCCAATAATGTCTATTTTTATGAATAACCCTGTCAATAACCACACATCATGGTCTGCACACTTCTTTCTTGACCAACTACACAAAAGATCGTATTACAAGATGATTTAGGTCTCTAGCTGGCCCAAATTGGGCAAAGCATTGCACTAGTTCGAGGGCATGCGTTTCTTTTGCACAAATGGATTGTATTGGTAATTTCCACAATTTTGGAATATTGTTTTGTATTCTCTCTCAATCTGGACTCCCATGTATTTACTGCAAACACAAGGAGTACTTTGCACAACAAAATGATGGCCCTATGTAGGAAATCCTAATGTTGTTGGTCTATGACCCCTATCATTCTCTGCCAGGCATAGGGTTGAGAAGAATTATGGGAGGTCTAAGTCAATAACCTGGAACAGACCTGCTTAGACAGTTAGGGCCGGTGTTTTTTCATGACCTCTGTACTTTCATGGGCTATAAAGACCAGGAAAATAACTGCAATATTACGTATGTGTGAATATTTGAATACATGTCTACTAAAGGCAGTGTGAATGAATATTAACAAGTACATGTTTCCAACATTTACCCCTGATAACACATACCTGCTGTAAACAGCAATATTATTTAACCCCTTGGTGCTTTCGCAAGCATTTATCTAGAATAAAAGGTTAAGCAATTAAATACTATTAAGGAATATGTATACCTCCCCATCAACCTATCACATCTCTACTTTGTAAAATCACCCCATATAATACTTTGATATGGTTTCAACTGGAAAAATATGCACTGCAAATATAAAATGTTACCTTCAGCCAAAACTTCATCCACTGTCACTTGGTGTCGCCCAATATTAAAGACTCGTCCGATGTAACCGGTCCCTAAGCCACTGGATGACCCACCACCGACTCCAGATCCTGCTCCCCCAAGTTCACGCCGGGAGTCAAAAAACTTCTTCATGATATTGACCCCCAAAAGTCTTCTACAAGCAAAATGATGCCTCCCACAAGATCAGATGAATGATTTCATTCAATAGCTATCACGCCCTAAATATAATGTTCTAAACAAAAATGGCAGAAAAAAATAAATAAAGAAGAATTCTCCACTTAAACTGCAGCAGGGGTTAACATGCATATACATATATTAAAACGGTGACAGTCCTGCATAAACTAATTATGCCGGGTTAGTATAACCAACCCTATACCAGCGATGGAGTCAGGGTAGAAATTGAAATATCCCATTAAATGCTACATAAATGGAAGCCAAGCATGCTCTCCAAAAACATGCATCACAGGCAGTCCCTCAGCACATCAACCTTGCAGGAGATTGAGATGCTTTGAAGCAATTAGATCCATGAAGTATTAAATTGAATATTGTGTATGGGAACAGCACAGCAGCTGATATCTGGGTCTTAACCAGGAAATGATCCTTAACAGGAAATGACTTAGATTTTCAAAAATCCTGCCCCTCTCCTCCCCTATACATTCTGCTGATCAGCAATAAGGTGGGCAAAAAAATAAAGCGAGCCCTCTAAGGATGCCCCCTTCCTGTGCAAATCCCCGGCTCCAACACATCAATGATTGTAAAGGCTGGATCTCTAACGATAGCCACGGAGGGAAGGGAAGCAGAGATAGAACACTTACAGCCGCTCTGATGTGCCACGCCTCGCGTTGCATGCTGGAAGTTGTAGTCTTTTGGGAGCCATAGTTTATGAGGCTTGACGAACATATAAACTACAACTCCCATGGGGCCTCAGTCAGAAGCTTAGCCATCTGCCTTGTCCTTCTGTAGCTACAATGTTTTAGTGTGTGCAATTATCCGAGTCCCATGTAGATGACCTACATAATATTTGTGTTTGAGCAGTGACCTTTCCCAGATGTTGGTATAGGTGTTAAAAGCACTCATCCATCTATCACCCGGTGTAACACCCAGAAGCCCTTGCTGACAGTGACAGTAACCTATTACTTCATTGAATGAAATTCGGATGTTAGAATGTTGATATTAAATAAATAAGCTGCATAATGCAGGGGTTTATTCACTAAACGGGCAATTGTGTAGAACTCAAATGAGAATTGTGAGTTTGGTAAAAAAACAAACAAAAAAACCCCCCCACAATTTAGAAATATTTTTTATCATGGATTCTGAACTAAAAAATATCTTTTCTGTCAGTTCAAAACATTTACTAGTTTTGTGTATTTGTACAAAACCAAAAATGTACAAAGTGTGCTGACACTCTAAGCACCATTATTATTATTTATAGAGCACCAACAAGTTTGCAGCGCTGTAAAATAGGGGATTAACAAAGAAGTATTTACAACAAGACAAGTTGGACGTACAGGTACAGAGGGTGTTGAGAACCATGTTTCTTACATTCTTCTGGGCAGTGGGGTAAATTGTATTCTATGTATGGGAAAAGTAAGTTGCTAGAAGAGTTTACAGATTTTTTTTGATAACACTGTACCAGGAGAGGAGGCAAAGTGGGGTAATAAGGTGTTGGGAAGGAAAGCTGCTGTGAAGAACGCTTGTGAACAAAACACACTTACACTCCAATCATGGGCTTCTCATTGAGAAGCCTGTGTTCAATCCGCGCACATGCACAGGTGGTCTAAACTTTCCTATGCTAGCATAGTGCTTCGGTCACTTCTTTTAGCTCTGTGGAGTTAGTGGAGACTGACGAAAACATCCCTGACTGTCCGATTGATTGTTTCTGCCCCTAATTATAAAATTTTAAATTTCTAGTGAAACCGGCACTTTAAGTTCACAAACTATATGTATGTTTGTTTATTTATTTAGTTGCTTGCAGGACACAGTCAACAGTGAGGAGTCGGCTCACAGGCCAAGTAACTGATTTGTCAGCAGAATATGATGGCTGATAATCACATTGGGCAGATTTAGCTTTTCAATCCTACATGTTCCTGTTTGGTAGATTTATAGGAACGTGTAAAGAGGAAATATATAATTATAGGGCTGTTGTATAAAGACTGACCTGCTTGGCTATTTACAAGAGCACACAGAGGTCAAGATGTCCTTTGGGTATCATCCTATATTATCAATAGCAATGGTGTTTTAAATTGTAATTGTCTATGTCTGCTGAAAGGTGATTTCTGGTAATGTGATGGAATTTCCACGTGGCATATGTGTATGTTGTATCAGTTAGTTAGTTACACGTAGCTAAGATACTGTCATCAATGTACTGAGCATGTGCAGGAATGCAGGAACTGAAATCACATTCCTTTCTCCTTTGTTTTGGATGAGCCATGTGGTCTGCCCATATAAGGAAATCCAAATCCTGTCCACTGATTGGTTAAGGGTATGTGCGGGTGGAGCTATTAATGGGAGGAGTTATAGTTCTATAAAAAGCATGTACTCCATGTGTTCGGCCCTCAGACCTGTTTTGGAACGTTAGTTCATCTGAGACCCGATTGGTATGTTAATAAAGACCTCATACTTCCTGAAAACCTGCATCCATCTCTCTGTGTCTGGCTTCTGCAAGTTTACTCGGTTACAGTAATTAACACCAAAATACAGTTTCTCTCAGGAGCTAGCAGGACTTGTAAATCTGGAATGCCAAATTGAAACCTACATATGAACTCATCATACTTTACATGAGGCAATCTAAATCTGTAACCTGTTTTGTTGCAGTGTAAGCATGCAGAAGCCAAACACAGAAATATTGGACACAGGTCTTCAGGAAGTAACAGGCCTTTATTCACATTACCGATCGGGTCTCAGATGAACTCCTGTTCCAACATTCTGAGAGACCAACACATAGTGTACATTCCTTATATAGCACTATAACTCCTCCCATTAATAGCTACACCCACATACACCTTTAACCAATCAATGAGCAGAATATAGACTTGTACATCTAGTCAAACCACATGGCTCATCCAAGACAAAGGAAATAAGTGCAATTTCAGTTCCTGCATTCCTGCACATGCTCAGTACACTGATGACAGTATCCTAGCTACATGTAGCTAACCAACTGACACAACATACACATATGCCACATGGAGATTTTGGCCTACTAAATTTTGACCATGCTGGAATCCCATCACATTCCCCCCTTTTGATGCCTCTGATATAACATTATTCCAGATGCATCACCAATCACAGTTTTACCTACATCTCTCAAGTAGCCATTGAACCAGAGTAGACCTTGTAAGCATCTTAAAAACTCATTCAACATTCTTCATCCTGAATATATTCTCTTCGGGCTAGGGGATCATATCTTCCAGACAGCCATTACATGAGCCGCTGTCTTTCTCTCTATAGTACTCTCTATAATACTACGTAGGGACCTTACCACTAGTGGAATTAGACAGGGCAGGAGGAGGCACAAAAAAATATAATAAATTCTACTCCTCCTACTAATGTCTTAATTCCTCCAAGCTGCTCATACCAACTTCCAAACCAACTACTTAGGTTATACCCATTCCAGACCTGAGTAGGTACATGCTCAAATTTAACCATGTGGCTTGTAAGTTCAGCCACTGCCTGCCCTTCATCATCTATGTGCAGACAACAGTTACTTAGATTAAACTTTCCGCATACACCTCCTTCTACTGTTAGTAAGTAATCAAGGGCTAGCCTATTCTGGTATATGGCTGATCACATCTTGGTATTTTGCCTAGCTAGAAGATTAAGCACTTGAGCTGTCTCATTAGTAATAATCTCAACTACCGCCCGTAGTCTAATAATGCGGTTGAGCATATATAATCGGAGTTCTATATCCATAAGTGCCATCTTCTGCCCAAGTAGTAGGTCCATAATAATTAATAATACGTTGAGGGGGCCACTCATTATCTTCCCATCTACCTATATTCAAGGATGCTCTCTCCCTTTTATGATTTACATCGTAAACCTTAACTCCCAAGGTCTCTCCTGTTTCAATTGGCAACAAGAAGAAGGATGGCTTTGGCATACCTAATACACATGCCCCTTCCCAATCTTGTGGTAACTCCGAATAAGTTTTCTTACCACAGATCCAGTATAAATTTGCTGGGGCTTTCCAACTAGATGTAGCCGATAAGTCAAACCATACCTCCTTTAAATGAGTGTAATTGGCAAACGGATTAGTAGGTTCCGAGACATTTGAAGCTGACCACCAAGTAGTATTTTTAGTATTAACATTATAGGCTTTTTGTCCCAAGCAAGTTAGCTCACCTACAGACGTGTTATACATTGTCCCTTTCCTGGCTATACAAACATGACCTATAATGGAGGTTTTTAACCACCATTCCAATTTACTTCTAGTACTTACTTGATGATCAGACTGGAAAGGTATCTGTTGTTCATATGTCTCAGAGCCAGGGTACCATATTTCCTTTGCCTCCCATGGCCACTGGTCTCCCATATTAGTACCTCCACACACATAGCAATTAGTTACATTAAGACTACCTGCAATACCCTCAGCCAAATCAATAAATAGGTTGTTAACATTATGGGGAATTTTATCCTCAATACTCATCTCCTCATAGAAGGAATGAGAAACCTGATGAGTTTGAGTTGCCACTGTCTCAGTTTCAAGACCTACATATATTATTGTTCCTGAATCTACTCCTGTGCCATATATTTGAACCCAAACAGACCTCCAAACCTGTCAATAAAGTACTGCAGATTGGAAATGGTCATGTGAACGGGGTTGCACACATAGTTTTACAGTATGGTGTGGTAGGCAACCTTTGGATAATCATATCTTGATCCACTGTTTTTCCAGGTTGCCCAACCTACACATGACCAATAGGGGCAGAAGTTAGTCTCTATTTGGGCAATCAGGATCAGTAGATCTTATACTGGGACATAAGTATTTATCATTAAACCCATAAGTTCGTTCCCATTTAAGATTACCACATACATTCCAAAGTCTTCCACTACCCGAAATCGCCTTACATGCATCAAATAGTAGAATACCCGTGGAATGTATGGTGCTTATCACAGTCCTATTTATTAATGTCCCCTGGGAGTTACTATTCCGAATTACCAACCAAATTGTACGGGGTTGGAAATGGGGATCAAAACATTTAGATTCTCCTGATATTGGCTTGCACACACTATAATCAATATCCAAATATCTACATTTAGATACAGATCCCTTACATTCATACTGTGAGTGCCAGATGAGAGTTTGGGATATTTGGTTACCTGTTTTAGTAGTCTTAATGCAACTATCGCAATTCGGTATGTCTGTACTCCTACCTTCCTGAAAAATCATAAAAATACTAAGACACAATAAAACACATTATTCCTGAAATCCTCATTTTTCTTCAACCGTGCGATGGCCTCTCAGCTTCCCGATTGTGAGGGCTGCAAGGATGTTGTTCTTCTGATCCTCACTTTCCTTCACAGAGATCCCTTCAAGATACTCTGGCTATGACACGTAGGCAGGTGGTCAGGCTTTATTATGGCCGTCAAAACACCTACTTGATGATCTTTGTAGACTTTTAACTAGAATGTCTCGATATCCCCTCGTCACTCCGACTAAGTTGCACGCTTCAACCGGGTCCTGCAAGGATTCTCAGGATCTGGAGTAGTTTGCCAAGAGTCTGCTGCTGGTTTAACCTTAGAATGATGAATCCAAGGAGTCACTTCCGCCACCTTTACAGCTGTTGGGGTAGATAAAAGAACATACAAAGGCTAACAGGATACACCCCGAGCTTTAACTCAATA